TTTATTATTATATTTTTTATTTATAAATTTATATTATAATTTTTTTTAATAAATTTTACTAGTTAAAATATAAATTTTACTTAATAATTTTAAAATTTTTATATTTTTTTTATACTTAAAATTAAATTAAAAAAATTATATTTATATATTTTTATAATAATTTTAAATATTTTTAATTTATTTATAAATATAATCTTTATTTTTTTATAATATTTAATTTTTTTAAAAATTAATATAATAATTTTTTTATATATTTACTAATTAATTTAACTTTTTAAATAATTTTTTTTATTAATAAAAAAATTAAAATATTTTTATTTTAAAATTATATTAATTATAATAAATATTAACGTTTTATATTTTTTCTTTAATTTTTTATTTTTTTTTATTTAAATTTAACAATTAATTAAATAATAATAATTTTATTAATTTTATTAATTTTATTAATTTTAATAATTTTAATAATTTTAATAAATTTAATAAATTTAACAATTTTAAATTATTATTTATAATAATTAAATTATTAAAAATTATTTTTTTTATAAATTTTTTTTTTAATTTTTTATTATTGCGTTTAATTGGATCTTGTATAGGCGTTAAAAAACGTTTTTTTTTAACTTAATATATAATAAGTTTATTATTTTTAATAAAAATTATTTTATTTTTCCGTTTTATATCCAACCTTAATATTTATAAAGAAAAAATTTACTTTATAATTTTTAACAATATTATATTTATTAAATTATTTAAATTATTTTTAAATATTAATTAAATTAAACTATTAAATTTAATAAGAAATAAATTTAATATAAATAATTAATTATATATTTTTATTTTTAAAATAAATAGCGTTTATTATAATATTATTATTTATATTAAAAACGTTTAAAATATATTTATATAATTTTTGTTATTTTATTATATTATTTATTAATTTCGATTTATTTATATTAATATTTTTATAATATTTTTAAATTTAATTTTTTTAAAAAACTTATTATTTTATTAATTATTATATTTACCATTAAAATAAAAACTTTTTTTGCTTATTTTATTTTTAAATTTGCAATTTTTTTTTTTATTAATAATTTAATTTTTAGCCTAATTTTAACTAATCTTTTATAAAATATTTAATTATTTCTTTTTATTTATTAATTTAATTTTATAAATTAAATATTATTTATTTTTATTACTTTTTAATAATTATTATTTATTAAACTATTTTTATTTAGTTTTTAAGATTTTATATCTTTTAATTTAATTATTAAGATTTATATATTTTATTTAATATATAAAGTTTTCTTAATAAATAAAAAAAAATTTATAATAATTTAATTAATATTTAATTTTATTAATAATAATAAAATATTACTATAAAAAAATACAAAATATAATAATATTTATATATATTATTATATATATAATTAAGGTTTATAAAAATATAATATTTATATATAGCCTTATTAATATAATAAAATTTAAACCAATTACTGTAACTTCTTTACTACTATATATTTCTATTTACAAGGCAAATGCATCCTACAGGAAATAAAATAAACCCCCCATATCACTGATATCTACCAAAAACGCCCTCCAAATGCTACTCACTAATAACCGTTATGGCCATAATACAAACAATGATCGAATCATCATAGATATTTCTCACTCTAATCCCATTTGAGCCTCGTCTCCAATGCCCCATTGGCCTTGGTCTCTCTGATGTCCCTGAATCTCCAGCTCTAAGGCTGGAGTTAAACTACCTTCATCGTCGTTAGAACGTAAACTAGCGGTCTCGCTTGTGCGCCTAGATCTATGCGTGCCACCTGTATTTCGTCGACGTAGTTGAGGGCTGGACAATCTGAACCTCGCAGATTTTGATGACGTGCTAAGGACCGAAACCGCATCGTCCTCCTCCTTTAATCTATCTTTGGCAGATCCTTGGTTTGAAGATGTATCCGGAATGGAAGTCGAGAGGGCAGACGTTGTATCTATCTTCTCCGAACTAGGCACCGAAGCAGGGGGCGGCCGAGCCGGTAATTCGGGTGGCGGGGGAGAAGCCGTCTCGTCTGAAACCTCAACAAGTTCGGCGTCGCGATACCATTTTCGTCGGCGTGTCCAACGACCCCAGCCATCATTACCTCTACGACCGTTCTGCCACTATTTAATTGTAAGCAAGATCAACCAGCCAACTTGGGTCTAGTATGAATCGTACCTTGTTATCATAGAAGATCCATCCGTTTTTGCCGGCATCTGTATCGTAATCTGTCTCATCCATATCAGGCACACCGTCGACTCGCCATTTGCTTCCCTCGACCCATCTCCACTTTGCACGCCCATCTTCTACCTCTGGTAACTCAAACTCGTCTCTAGGTGGGACTTGATTATTGTGCTCGTCTGTCCAAGCCGCTCGTTCGTAAGCAAATAAACTGTTGGTCCAGCCTAACCCTAGCCAGCGTCTCTGGTTTTCGTAAATAATAAAAGTGAAGCGTACGCCCGAGTCCTTAGCTCCGGAGCGACTGCTCCGTTTCAAAGCCTCTGTCAGAGCAGATTTTGATATTTTTGTAACTTCGCGTGGCTGCTTTATCTTAGTGGTCGTGAGAGTTCCATTTTCTTCGGCACCTTTAGGCTTTGTCTTAACTGGCTCTTCAAATTGCAATCCCGTAACCAATCTCGCAAATCTTCGTATAGTAGCACTTCGCCAAAGCAGCGTTCTGGATACTTGGCATACTTTCGAGTGCCATGTAAGCACTAAGGTCCCGAATACTAAAACTACTCTCTTCGTTGTTAAAATTCTTAGCGGCGGGAGCGTTAGGACTATCCAAGCGGGTGTAATAGCCAGTATTCGAACAAACAATGTAGTGAGTGCTGGTCTCGTAGTAGCGCTAGTAGCGGTCCGTTGGGTAGATAGGAAGTCGGTCATCTCGAGAAGAGGTTCGAGTAGAATGTTACACCTGGTCGTAAAGACCTTGACAGTATCGACGATCTCATCCAATGTCTTTTGATGCCTCGTACTAGTAAGTTCGCTCGAATTTCGCTGGTGTGAGCCGCCTGCGCCTCCTCCGGCGGATGCGCTCGATGTCTTCTTTTCCTTATTATTCGCCATACTCGGATGTTCAGCCCAGCCGCTACTTGATAATGGACTATATCGTCGCCCGTACATACCCCCTATAAGGCCCATGACCACAACGATAGGGCCGGCAAATCGTACAATGACGTCGCCATACTGAACAGCTGCCCAGAAAATAGCAAGCAGTATAAAACTCTCCCATGGATCGCCAGTAGTCCAGGTCAATAAGCCTACAAGCTTATTCAGAGGTAAAAGGAAAGGGTGACTATATGCGAGAGCACGGGTAATCTGAGGCGGCGTGGCGAGCAATAGAGGCGACTTCTGGTGGACTAGGATAGTCGATCTCCGCTTCGCAGCGGAGGCAGCAGTTGATAGGTTCGCTGTAGAAAAGGAAGCATATGTGGGAGGGGCGTATGTAGGAGGAGGGTCGGAAGGGGTAGAGGAGCCGTCGACGTCGCCGCGGGAAGTATGTTTCGGGGTCGACATGTGTGTCAGCCAAGGCGTGTCCTATAACGCGGAAACAAGGTAGAATAGAGGGTCAGTTTTAATGCACGATCATATTCGAACTGTACATAGTATGGGGTATATGCGTATAAGTGGATGTTGGAAGAAATGGAAGAGCCGGTAGAAGGTCTGGGCGCAAATTGCCGAGGCTTATGCACTTTTGATGACGCCTTCAATAAACATAGACCATAATGTATTATAGTATGTAAGAGATGGAGGGAGAAGTTGAAAAATAAGAAGAAGAAGAAGAAGAAGAGAGGAAGAAAACTTGTAAGAGTAAATTCTGTAAATTCTAGTAATTGATAATGGTATGTATGCGAAAGGAGAAATTATATTATTAGGCAGAAGCAGAAAGTAATAAAACTTACAAGAGCAGCCATTAAGTGCTGAAGTTGAAGTGGTTTGTATCTGCGCGCGATGAGATGCGATGCGGCAGATTATCGATCCTTGAAGACTGAAGTAGGTAAGAAGTAAATAAAGTATGAAGGAAATATTACATGAAAGGCTCTTATTAAATCGGACGACTCGGACTTGCTCATTCGAGTCCCTTCCTCAACCTTATTATTGTCGTTGCTGCTGCTGTTGCTGCTGTCACCGTTTCCTTATGAACGCGACGTCATTCAGCGATAGTGCAACTTGGTTATGTAACGCGGTAATGTATAATGGTACACTCTTGTATATAGGTATGTTAGAAGGTAGTGCTAGGTGTTTGAATTGTAATCTATCGCAATGCTACATATAAAGAAACAAAAAACAAAAAAAGACATTGAACGTATAGAAAATGAAAAGAAAATAAGAAATAATTCAAAGAAATCTCATTTCAATCTGGCTTGTGATGATCCCGTACCTTGAGAGCCGACGAATGCCTTACAAGACAAGACATTGCGCGCCAATAGGTACATAAGATGATGCAGGTTAAAAGTAACTTTAATAGAGCCTTAGTTGCTTTAAGCACCTTAGGTACCCCCCTACTACCCGAGTCGCAATGCGGGGCAGTAGCGCTAAGCACACTCTCACAGCCCTCGGTGTTTTCACATGTGATAAGAGGTATGGAGCTACCCAGGTAGGCGGTAACTCTAATACAGTAAAACCTCGCCATAACGAATTAAATCAGACAACAAATCGGATTCGTTATATAGTAGATTTATAATGGCTGTACGTAATAAGAAATTGTTAGTTACCTAACATCCATATGTACTACCATACTATGTATATAACATATACGACCCGCGTAACTAATAACCCAAGAAAAACATCAATTAAGGCTATATTCCTCCCTTTCGTAAAGTCATCGTAAACCACGGTGAGAAATAAGCACAAGCTGTGTTTCCCTCTCTTAAATTTTATACCCAGACGATTAGCTTTATGCTAGTTATTTAAAACCCGAACCCACCTCCGAGATAACGACTCATTCTAATATCCATACAGGCTAGACCTTCTCCAAGCATCTAACATCAGGATTCGCGTTTCGAAGCTGTCGTATAAACCCACGACTCTGGATCTTGCCAGCTAAGAGTTTACTTTCCTTACTCTGGCCAAAAACGAGTTTCCATGATGAACCATCCTTGTTGTTCAATACTATAACGCTATTCCCGTCGGATCCTGGGATGTACTCTCGCGAGAAGCTGGCTATTTCCGTTAAGTTAATCGTAACGTCTACCGGACTTCTCCAGGTCGCCATTATCTTTCGATCCTTATCGTGGAAGAGTTTGACACAATCTTCTTCTTCGTTCAATCTCACCCACGATGTTACTCCATTGCTACATTGCGATAATTCAAAGTCCGCACTGCCTGGGGACGATGTGGCATCGGTAAAGGGGTTATTAGTGGATTGGTTAGATGTAGGAACATTTGCGTCTGCTGTTTGGTTGGTAGAGGGAGTAATCAGTCCGCCTTCAGGGAGCTGGTCTTCCTTATGCTTGCTTGACTCATTCTTGTCTTCTTCTTTATGTTGTGTTGTCTGGATCGTTTCCTCAGTGGTAGCCTGTCTATTTTCGGCAAGGTGTTCTTTATCCACCATCATTTCATCTCCCGCACTTATGTCATCGCGCCCCTTATCGATATTGGCGGCCTGTTTCGAGTTTGAGGCCTGGAGGTTTCCATAAGGTTTGCATTCAATCTTGTCGCCAGTTTTCGACTTGACATCATTAGACGCCTCGTAAACGAGAGGCGGGATATCCCTATCTCCATCAATATATCTATCGGCAACATGTGCTTCATTACTTCCTTTTAATTCGGGGATCGGTGTTGTAATGAGATTGTGGATGATTGCTGCAAGGGTTGATTCCGGCGATGCAATGCGACCGACATCAGTTTGAGGGGCGCTGGCAGCTCTATCCCCTAATGGCAAATCAACTAACTGGTCAGCACGTTGTATTGTATGGGAACCTTTTGGCCTTTTCGTGCTAGATGTATGACTTTCGTGAGATTCTTGTGGGTTTATAGGATATGAATACGCCCGTTCCGTGAGCGCCCGTGCTGATTCCATTCCTGTAACCACCGACGTAGAGAGTTGGTTCTCTCCTGACTCTCGCGATTTTTCAATTGATTTTTTTAATTCTCCGGTATCTTCTATACTCCGTAGGCCGTAAAATGCCCAGGGGCGATCCGAGGAACCGCTTGGCTTTATAGCATGTGAAGAGGGTTTGTCCCAATCATCTTTTTCGGCGTCGAAAGTATCGTCAACATCAGATCCGGAAGCAGAATAATCCTCATCGCCAGGAATTTCCCCCCCATTCTTCTGCCATTCTTCTACCAACATCTCCGTATTTTCAGTGGAAATTGACATCGCGTCTGAGTTAGAGAAGAGGCTATCTGAATCGTCTTTATCTGCCGACGGATCATGACTCGTAGCAGGATATCTTTCAGACCCTTCGGGTTCTTCACATCCCCTGGGATGGACGATTAGTTTCGCAGACTCATCCGCAATCGGTGTGATTGGTGAGATCGACGGTTGCCGCGATGTTGGTGCTAGTTCACCAATTAATACAATTATACTTGCTCTGCTTGGATAGATTACTTACGATAAAGACGAGCTTTTTCCCTGTCTTCCCACGTACGGAAGCCTTCCCTCTCAGCAATCCAGCGACAGGCAGCATTGAAAGGATGGTCTGGTTCGGATGGTGGTGTGCGTTTGTATAGAGGGAATTTGGTCAGATATCGAGCTGGGAGCCACGCTACAGTCTGAGATTCATCAAAAAACATAACGGGAAATTTCCTTGAGTCAGCTTTAACGCCGCCATCTTCATATCCTGGTGCCCAACCAACTATTTTGTCCGATTCGTAAATATAGCAGTTTGGTGGGGAGGAACTCTTATTAAGGAGACCAGTAGCACTGAGGGTAGTGTCCTTCAGGCCGCTTCCGTTCTGACTATCCCACCCGAGTATCATGACAGGATAAATTTCATTATTATCCTCCGAACCACTGTTAGACTTCCAGCGGCCGTAATAAATATTGAACGTCTTAGGGTTAGTAATTACTTTTTGTGAGTTGGAGGTGTTCTGGCGACTCGTCGGTGTGCCTGAATTCTGGCGAGCCCGAACTTTTGGTTTCTTTGGGGTGAGATCCGCGTCCAGCTTTACTGTCCATGACGAAGACGACTTTTTCCCTTCCTTATGTACCCTTTTTTGCATCTTATCTCTTTTTTTAGACTGCTTTTCTGTCTTAGCAAGGGGTGGTTTATATCCACTTTTGTAGCTTTCCTCTGCAACCTGGTTGTTAAGCTTTACCAGTTCCTCGTTGCAGTCAACCACTAAGTAACCCAGTGTTTTGACAGCCATATCCCAGTTTCTATCAGGGAAGCCATGACCTCGACCATTGAGATGTCTAGCGGCCCCTGGAATGGCATTTTTGGTGAAACGAGCCTCGTGTTTCTCACACTTTAGAATGTACCATTGTTGACTATCGCTCGGCCACTCCACAATTGTATCTTTGTGTTTTGCGGCACCATTCTGGTAGACCTCGTCAAATGTGATCATTCGAGTTGGTAGATGGGCATTTTCGTCTAAAGGTTTGCCAACAAAAGTTTGGTGGGAATCGGTAAATGTTTCGACGCGTGGTTTCTTAGAGGAATGTTCTTTCGACTTGGATGCTTTGCGTTTCTTGGACTGGACTCGCATTATCAGACGTCTCTCTCCACACATGGTTTCATGCTGGACGGTGCAAGTCAGGGATTCATCGGCCTGGTTTTGATTATGAGACTCGGAAGAGATCCATGGCATATGTTGATGATTCCCCCCCGTGCGATTGGATTCAGTACTTACATCTTGAGGTTGTGAGATGAGACTGCCTTTAACACCGGCAGCTGAATTCGTATCTCCATTTATAGCCAAGGAGACTTTAAGTTTCTCGTGATAAGCAATCTCATGACGAGCACGTTCCGCCTTCTGTTCCTTCTCAACGATTATAGTTCTTTTCTGGTGGCTAGCCTCAATCTGCCGTATATCATTCTTAAGGCTTTTTTCGGCCATGGGCAAGATTATCTGCCTGTACAAGGCCGGTGGTACCGTTGCCTTTAATTTTAGTAGGTCGCCTTCGCTGCTCTCGCGGAGATCTTGCTTCTCTTTTTCAAGTAGATCCTCTAGAAAAGCAAGTTCCTTGGCATGCTTGACTATCATGCATTTCTTCTCCTCGTTCCATGTTTCATGGATATCTAGAGAGGCTGGAGGATCCATTTGGTGAAAGATGGTATGATTGCGTGCAGTAAAAACCACGTATCGATCGCTTGACAGAAACCAGTGGATCAGATGAAGCAGATGGTATGTACGTGAAAGTATGAGAAGTACAATCCTGTGGTTAATATAACATGGAGTGTTGTTACCATGTAATTCCAGGGGATGTCAAAGAAATCACTCTAAAACTAGGCATACAAGTCAGTGAGTGTAAGAATAAAAGACAATACGATGAGAAACAAATATGAAGGGAAGGAAAGGGGAGAGGGAAAATGCCAACCGGGAGGTGTAGTATAGAAGCGCTTGTTTATCGTTTATTTTCGGGCCGCTACCTTAAGGCCGAGTTTGCATTGTGAGGTCAGTCGCGCCGAAATTCGAAATTAACACGACGAATGGAAGTTGATTTTTATTAAAAAGGAGAATGAAAATATTGGCAAGTAATATTTGAATTGGTTGAATAAGGTAAGTAACTCTTTTACTTGATGAAAAAGAGTTGATGTGAGTTGAAATGAGATTAATGTAGCAATTGGAGTCCGACGTCAAAAATCGACAGTTGGGGCAAAAAAAATCTTATAGATACGATGCGAGTAGATGATAGGAACGACTCTTTTGGTGGGTTTGCAAACTCGTCCTTGATAGGCTCTGAATAGTGCAAATAAAAATAAAAATAAAAATAACATCCCTTAAAAAAAAAGATGTCGGGTTGTTTGCTCTTACCTCAAAATTTAAGCTTTAAAGATTCATTAAACCTCCTATTGAAAGAAGTAGGCGCATCGGACGCGTAGGTACCTCTAAGGCAATTGCAATAAATGGAAAGGTGAATAATTGAAAAGGAGGTACCCCCTATGTTACAAGATTCAGAAACAGGCGCGACCAGCAAGATTAATTTATTTATACGTGCTAAGGTTCTCTCCTATGTATGTACAGCTACCTGTTTCCATACGATATGATAAGTGTTTGTTATCTACTTACTGGGTTAGAATATATTTCTTTTTATTTGATTTTCATTACTTGGCGCTATCGCTCGTATGTAAATGTTAATAATAAAATACCTTGTCAACTAACGATTTATCGGGATGCATTTATCAAAGTACATAAATTTAAATACATAGGTAAATTCTCGTATATGTACTGGATCATTACATGTACACAAAGTTTTAATGCTTGCCTTGTCTAATGCTATGTTTTATTAAATACATGGGTGTTGCCAAGTGATCCACATTATTGGGGTAAAAGACAGTTGCATGGCACTTGGCAGGTATTAAAACAGGCACAAACGAGGCATCAAAGGCAGGATTGGGGTAAATATACCTATGTAAAGGTAATCCCGTAGTCTTTACAAACCAACATCGCACTTTCGTAATAGGTATAAGACCAGCTCTTTAATAGATATAAAACTAAGCGGTTTAAGCGCTTCTTTGATAAATCAATAAGTGGGGCAAATAACTCAAATGTTAAATGTTACAAACATTAACAATAACTTACGTTACAACCCGAATATTTGGAACTCGGCATCCCGATAATCCTCGGAATGAGATATCATTGGTTTATACCAGCATACCTTGTAACCATTAAGTACTTGCTCTTACATGCATACCTAGGTACCCATGGTACATTAAGTACCTAAGTACCTAATGCAATAGGTAATACATAAGCCAAAAAGCAAACCGAATGGCTGTAAACCTTCGGTACCGTTTCCCTCACCACGTTTCACAGAAAATAATTAATACAACTTGCTTTACAGGATAATCCCCCCAATAATATCGTGGGATTTATGCAAGTCTTGGACTTCCCGGCACACTGCTTCTTAAATGTGACTCATTACCACCGCTTACCCCCCACGTTCATCTCTACCGCAGTCATGATATGTACATCTTTCCTAGATGAAAAAGTTTTATAGCATGCTTAAGGTGGCAAAACAAGAGCTGGTAAGTATACTTGCCCAAAAATGAGATATATCACAATACGAGTACGAAAAAGTCCAAGTATAACTACAACAAGCTACATGTATATACGTGTAAGCCGACTAAAGTATACGATACAAGCAAAGAGATGTTCAGCTAGATAATAAAAAATATTAACCACAATACTTTGATAAAAAACAAATATCACTCTAGGAAACACTGCTATCTCTATATACGAGAACTCATTTAGTATTAGTAAACCGACCTACCCCAAGGACTTGGTTTATTCTAGGCACCTATCCAATTACTCCATACTCAAAAGTATATACTCCTGTCTATCTTATACATTACAATCGTTTATATGTAAGACTTGTAGACGTTCCATTAAAAGAGAATAATTGATAATTGGTATGATTTTTTAATCTACCTTAGATTCGACACCACAAGGGTCAATCGAGAGGGCAAGAAAATAGGTCAATGATCCCATAGGGACCTAAGCATTTAGACGTGAGAAGACTTACAAGTCTAATGTCACAAAATGTTTAAATACTAGGTATATCATTATGGCAAAGCTGCTAATATGAATGAGGCATGTACGTGCCCTAGCAAATTGCTTTACCTTGCATCACCGCTCATAATTGTCATCCCATACCAACTCCGTACCAAATCTACCCATCTACTAGTTTACAAAACTCCCTTTCGATACAGATATAGCCAACGTGGGCGTATGCGGTGCGTTTACCAGAACGAACACCAACCAATATAATGCTGACAGAGATTTTCGAGCTTAGTTGCTTCCATGATTAACTTGTTCACCTGTGTTAAGATATCCAACTCGTCGGTTGGCTTGAAATCCCGGCCAGTCAGCTTCTGGTTCACGCGGTCTAGCACTTCGACTGCGCGAGCGTTTTGTATCTCGGCCATCTCGCCGTCAAGCATCTGGCCTGTACCATTAATCAGACTTGAGTTTGTGCGTGCTCTAGCGCGAGAAGCGAGTGGACCGCCGGGATGGCCTGAATCAACGGCGCCGGCTGCTTGCTGTGCAGCGAGAAATTCGGAAGGCGGGTGCTCGGAATCTAGGATACTCGGTCTACGGGTTCGCTGAGCACCAGCACCTAAGGACGATTCGCGTTCGGAACGGAAGTTGGGGCCAACAGGAGAGGCGGCATTGGTGAGACGCCAGGTAAGTAACGGATCGTGGATAAACTATAATGACCCAGTGTTAATAACAAGATAACTTTTAATAGTAATGACAATCACTTACAGCTTCTAGGACGGCCATGACACTTTCTTTATTCTCCCTAAGAACGCGCATGACATGCTCACACGTAATCCGGAAGCTACCCTCGATGTTGCTGACTTCCATTGCGTATGTGAGCATTCTAGTAAGACGGAACGGGACGCGCTCGGGATATTTATCTCGCTTCATGGCAACTTCGAAACAGTCACCGAAATCGATATGAATAATCTTCCCAGTAATGCGGTCGAGCATTAAGTTGCTCGGGTGCCTGTCACCGAGACCGAGAATGTAGCCAACCATGCTCATGACACCTAGACTACGCGTATAGTTCGTACGCCTTTCTAGCCAGGCCTCAGAGCTCTTACTCTTTAGCCATAAGACACGGTATAGATCTTGGCCAGTCGTGTTGTCTAGCGCGTAACCAAAGACTTCAACCTTTTGCATGAGAGTAAGGTTGTCGTAGTCGGGTGCCATCTGTAACATGATACGGTGCTCTATATTAAGGAGAATCTTTCGGCTCTCCCGATACTCGCGAATTAGGACATGTAATGTGTCGCTGTTTGGCACCCAGCCGAGAAGTCCCGAATTCTGGCTGAGAGGTATTGCTGGATATTGCTGAATGCTAAGATGGCGTTTGTAACACTCGGAGTCGTTAGCGAGTAGAGTATTGCACAAACCAAATAGCTGCATGACACGTTCGTCTTGCCGAATATCCTCGTGCCCCTTCAATAAGAAGGAATATTGGATTCCATCGCTCCCGTTAGTGTTTAACTTTCTTGGTCGCTGCTTGGAGTTGATCACGCTAAAGGTTGTATCGAATGAGAGGATGCGAACAATAGGGGCGCCGCTCTTGTATTGACCGGGAACTGCCAGATCGAGGTTCTTGGCTGCTAGCAGTTTCGGAGAACAATACGCAAGCTCCAGAGACGACATTTGCGGCAGTTGCCTCCCAATCCGACGGAACACCTGGTAATATAGATCCCATGCCTGATTGAGATCGTTCACATCATGACTAGACTCGTATTGGCGACACCACTCCCGAGCTTCGGTGAGGTCCCGACCGAAGGTCTGCGCGAAACTAATCTCGCGCAGGGTCTCTGGTCCTCGCTCCAGTAACTCATGCAATGGCCCAAGAGTAGTGAACATGCCCTCGATGTTGTGATCTCCAAAGTACAGCCGAGAGGCCTCTTCGAGTCCCTCGTGCCAAAGCTCGTGCCATAGTACCGCGACACGGATAAGCTCGTGACTGACCGTGTCGGCCTGTTCTACAAGTTTGGCGCTGTGTGCACGCATGCTGTCCATAATTAGGGCCGCCGACTTCGATCTCCTTGAACTCTGGGCCGATTTCATCGCTACGGTTAGAGGATATACTAAGGCTTGAGGATGATTGCGCCCGACATCGGCGAGTAGATTGTGAATAGATTGGCGTACTCGCGTGTTAGGTTGATTGATCCGGGCGATGAGCTGTGGAATTACTTCTAGCCACGTATCAACGCTGACGGTCCCGAAGCCTTGAGTAACGGCTGCGTTGACTTCGCTGCTGCCACCGTGCGCAAACCACAAAGTAAGGAGACGTAGGGTATCCTGAAGGGCACTTCCAGATGATAACGCGATAGACTTGAAGAAACCCTGCACGGCAGGGACGACATGGTTGATGATGATAGTCGAATCTGGCCTCGGGACGTTCCTATCGGCCGGAGGTGTGAGAGCCTGGACGATTTCGAAGTTGGCTAAGGCCCACGCGTGCCATGCCTTGTACCATTTCGGATTATATTGCGTGGCTTTTGAGTAGGAAGTTAAGATGTCCTGAACATTATGGTGCTGCCAATCGTGTTTGTTTAAGGATACTTGCCACTCTCCCTGCTTCAGGAAGCATTTTGCAAGAAGCACCGTTTGGTCTTGAATTAGCTTTTGCGTTCTGGAGCTGGGCATACCCGCGTCTGTACCGTTATGATAGCCGTAGTCACTCATCGGGTCTGTTCCGTTGGGCACGGCTTGTATCGACGCTCTAGCTATGTCAAGGCTCTGTGCAGAATCAGCCGTGAACTTCCTCAAGCAGAATAGCGTCTTCTCAGGGTGGCCTGTTTGGCGTAGCTTCGCCTGTTGTCCGTACTCCCAATAGAATTTCAGAACGGCGTAGACAACTTGTGGGGGAATCCTCGCGGGCGCGCCTTGCTGAGGGGGGCCGTTCTGGCTCCAGTAGGGTATTATCGTCTCGAGGGGGTGGTCGGTGCCGATGAGTTGTTTGAGCGACTTCTCCGCCAAACCCATCCTTCCGGATTTTCGACACAGGTTTGCAAATTTAATCCACATGTGCATATTCTCCGCGGGGCTAATAACCAAGCCGCGGAGTCTTAGCATGCGCTGCCATACCTCAACGTTCCTCTGACATCCTTTCAGACGGCTCTCCCACGTGCGTCGCATCGTAGCCTTCTTCCTCTCATCAGCCTGTTTATAGACGATGATCTCTTCGAGTTCTGCAAGCATTTGCACTCGGACGATCACTTGATACGCACGGTTGTAGGACTCGCTCACGAGCGCGCTCAGTTCCGTATCGAGACCCTCTCGCGTCTGTTGGATACAGGCAGCGGCTTCTCGGAATTGGTTGCGATGCAACGCTAGTATTGCACCGAAGAATGAGCGGTCGGGTGAGTTTCGCTTCATGGACTGTAGATAATTGTCCATCGAGTCCCATTTGCCAAGACCCCAAGCGGCTGCGGTCGCGAGTGGTGCAATACGCCTTTGTATTTCGGGCGCTGAGTTCGCCCACGTATTGCTGGTTAAGCTGGCTAGGGCATCCCACTCTCCAAGAGCATGCAAGCAGCGCATCTTGCCCATGACGATTTCGAGCGGAACCGCTTGATCTCTCGGCATCTCAGCCTCTCTCTTGTTGTAAAATTGCAAGGCCTCTTCCCATCGTTCCAACTTCTCGAACCAGGTTTCTCTGAGCTGGATGCCGTCTTTATAAAGCTGCGCCTTGCGAAGAATGCCGATCGCGGCGTCGTACTGCTGGAGCTGATTATTTATGACGATCAAGGCTTCAACAGCTGGTCCGCTCTGGTCCTGTAGGAACTCTAATTCCTTGTAATGGAGGGCTTTCGCGTATGCATGACAGCGGCCGGCCTCCCTACCAAGCACCCTAATATCAATAGGCAAGGCCTTGTCGTCATGCTCCATGAATTCGGCCAGGTTGAGTAAAAGCCCAAGTAGGTCTGGCGGCACGTTCTGGGATCGTATGGCATTTTCGATGTTCTGAATAAGCTCGTCCTGGAACTGCTCGTAGAGCTCGCTCCAACATGAGACGAAAGCCGAATTAAACAACTCACGAGCAAGGGGAAGATGCACACTACCCAAAATAGCACATGCACGCAGGGCATGATTTGGCGACTCCGTAAGAAGAGTTGTGCTGAAGCGTCGGAGCCATTCTTGCCAGTCTTCCTTAGTAGACTTGCCTTTGGTATCCCAAGCGGCCTTCAAGTGAATCGCATTCATCTCGAGTTTCTTATTGCCAAGGTCGGCAAAAGATGGCTCGTCTAACTGGTCAATGAACCGCGTCTCCGAACTCAAATCTTGCGGCAGGGCTTCTCCTTTCTGTAGCTTGCTGACGAGAAGCTCGTAATTTTGATGTTGGATCTGGCTGGCCTGCAGAACTTTGTTGACGGTGCCCATGAAGTGCAGGTAATCCCGCCCGAGCTGTTGAATCAATGCACAAAGAGTATCTAGCGCTGCTACGCGTAGGGAAGATTCTCCACTAGCAAGAATTCTAGTCAGTGGATGGATGATTTTGGCGGCGTAGTCGTTCAGGTTGACCTGGCGAGAGATCTTGCCAATAGTCTCGATAGCCGACTTCCTCAAGAATGTTGGCTGGCCCTGCTTCTCGAACGTCCGCACGACTACGGGGATGATTAAATGCATATATTCTTCGCTGCTGGAGCCAAACACTAGGAAAGCATGCAGGACTTTCTCAGAAGGAATTCGCTTAGTAGTCGCATCCTTCTCTAGTACGCCAAGCATCGCAGGGAGGAGGCCTGCGAGATAGATCTTGAACTCTCCCTCCAATGACCTCGAAATGGCCTCAACGAGTGATAATATTGTAGCTTGGAGTGAGGGCGACGTATCCCAGTAATTATGGAGCGTGTCGATAATCTGTGGTAGGTAATTCCTGATATGCTGTCGTACGATACTAACTAGCGTGGCTAACTGGTTGAAATATGATTCGAGACGATTCTGTGGGCAGTCTTTGATAACTTCTAAAAATGCCGGAATGATGCGGTCCAGGAATTGGACACACTCTAGCCCGAGCGTGCGAAAGATATTCATGATGGCTTCGATAACCGCGGCATGGTGCGGGGCGAGCGAATTGTCTTTTAGGATGTTTAGTAGAGCGTTGATTACGACAGTAGGATAATACTCCTTATTAGAGGGTGTTAACCCTGTCATCATGAGCGAGATATCGGTCATCCTATTGGTCTCGACGCGCCGTTTGGCATCGGGAGCACGCTCTTCTACTTGCTGTTCATTGTTTTGGTTAGCTTTCTGTTTATACAAATGTGATTTTCCCCGGGAATGCTTTGGGGTTCTGTTAAGGGGGTTTATGGAAATTCCCTGATGCTTCACTTCAGCAACGGGGTCCTGGTCCAGGGTGAGCGGACTTCCAGCCTCACCCGCGTGTTTTTTTAATCCATGGACACGTCGCCAGGTATGGTCATCTTGGGGATTCTGTACCTGATATCTGTAAGGATCCAACGCGCCTAAAATTCCCATCAGTTTAATCGTCCCCTGTCGTAGAGGCCCTCGCTGGGGTTCGGCGCGAATGATGTGTTGAAGTAGGTCCAGGAGCTCGGGATACTCGAGATAAGGGTCAATAACGTAGCCAGAATTACTGGCAAGCTGACCAAGAGTATGCAAGGCAGCTTCTCGCTTAACATTAGAGGCGTGGTCCTTCAACGCAGCGATAATGATCGGCATAAGCTTATCCTTATAGGGAAGCATATCTTCTCCCCCTACCGTCGCAAGTTCGCCGATTGCCTTGAGAATAGTGGCTGCAACGGCATGATTCGAGTCGCTAGCCTTCGGGAGGAGTACCGAAATCATGGGCTCGACATACGGCTTGATTAATCCTTGGGCGTTCTGCACCAAGTGGCTGAGGAGTTTTGCGCTTTCCTCCTTGTTGCGTGGGGCATCCGAAAACTCGAGCTCGGTAAGCATCTGTATCAGTGTCTTCCGCAGAGAAGGGATCACATAGGCTGGATTATGTCGTGCCAGCCGCCCTATGATTGAGATTGCTACTTCCCTGATTTCGAACACTTCATCATTGAGCGCGAAGAATAACGTCCGGATGTTTTCAGCTTTTGCTAGGTGGGGGTCAAACCGCTCGTCGAGGGCCGCAAGCACAGTCCGCCGTATATTCGGTTCCGGATCGGATACACCTACAGTTAGTAGCTTCTCAATAACATCGCCGACAACCTGCAGTGCGTGGTAGCTTGTCTGATTCACGATGGGATCTCGAACATAGAGTTGGCAGCAAGTGAGGGCGGCTGCTTCGCGGATCTCAGGATCGTCATCTTCGACGTATTTGATGGCAACGTCGCGGACGAATTCATTTAAAATGTGACCTCCATATACCGTTAGCATCTGGCGTTCCTAAGACCGAATCATGCTCGTTGTAGGGAAAAGGGGTAGTTGAGCCAATAATTGACTGAGCTCGTGTGCTAACCAAGGATTTGGGTAATAAAATGAGATATAATTATTACCTGAGAAGTCAAAGCTTCCTAACGTATTCAAAGCCAGCTTCACCTCAGCCTTCCGGTGTTCGTAAGCTTGCGGGTCCTTCGCATCTTTAGGTATGATAGGAACGGACGAAAGCGTATTCGGAGTAGGAGCTCCAAGGGGTTTAAAGGGTTCTCCACACAAGACTTTACTTAACATATCAAGGAGCCTCTCCTGGATGGTAGCTTTCACAGGCGGTATATAAAATGCCATATCAACCAAGGCCTGCGTGAGTTTCGGAGTAAGCTCACACGCAAATATAGGATCTAGAAGCGCTTCCATATATTTGCTAAGAGTCTGGCCGACCGCAACGGCGAGTCTGCTAATACAATCGAAAACGGGATCAACAGACCCCCGTTTTCTAGATTGAATGCTGAGGCCATCTCGGACATAAATAAGAACACTGTCAAGATACGGAGCGATGGCGCTCTTCACCGAGTTGGCAATATTTCCAATAGCCAAGAAAGCGTCATTCCGCTCCTTATCTTTCTTAAGCATGCCGGATAGATATAGCATGAACTTGTGAAGATAGGTATGGGCAAAATCGGCAGGGGAATAATTGGCCAAGTCTGGGATGAGTAGGACTACCGTCTTACGGATAGTTACGTCACGATGATCTTTGTTACGGAAGACGATCTCGCACGCCTCCTGATAGTGCTCCTGCATATACATGCCTCCCTGCTCAAGGAGCTCCTTGAGAACTAGGAGGGACGCATGGACGTATTCAACAGTGTTTGTCCTGAGGCCGGTGATGGTTTCATTGTACATCTTGGTCATCCACGCCTGCTTCATCTCCTGGTCTCGCTCTCGAATAATGTGGAAACAGGCACTAACCGTCTCTGCAGATGTCGCGCGGATTAGTTGGCGCTGGTCACGAAGACCTACCCATATTAAGTCGAAGATGAGGCCAACGTAGGTGTACATTAAGGTGGGCGCATTTCGGGCCAGCTCGCGGAGGACCAAGACAGCACTATATCTCTTTTCCTCCACCCTGTCCGATTGGAGCCATTCAAGAGCCGTCTTGACCTCAGATTCGACCAACTCAGATATCAGTGATCCACCAGGTCGACAGAGCTTTCCGAGAGCGATGGCTGCAGGTTGCATAGGTACGATATCCTTTCCTCTAAGGATAGTCTTGAGGTTCGCTGTGAATCGGGTGTATTTGGCAGTGACGTCGACGCCTTCGAAGTCGACTAGCGCGTCAAGGGCATAAACACCACCCAGACGTTCAGAGGAATCGTTGCCATGAAGCATCAAGGTTGTTATCTTATTATTAACGGAATTATAGAATATATGGAATTGTTCTGACTGGAAGTCTGTGTTGAATCGTGGTCAGCTCATGTAGATACAGACTAGAAGGTAAAGGCTGTCGCGACGTATTTCCTAGGAGCGCAGACAAGAATCATAAAATACACACCTCTGAAGCAAACAGCGACTAAATCTCGTAGTTGAGCAGCCGCCCGCTTTCTTACTTCATCTCCAGCCCTATTCGGAATCGCAATAAATTAGTTGGAACAGCGGGGTTTAGCAGAAAGAAGAGTCGCACCTTGATTTTAATTCTCTAGTAATAGTATCAAGGGCCTCTAAGGCCAGCTGCTGTTGTTGCGCCATGATAGGCGGCGGCTGGAGGGGATATCGGCCTCGTTACCCTTCAGCCGCGTCGAGAACAGCTTCAGGAAATAACTTCGAAATGCATCAAGATCAAGGGTACTATTAGAACCACTGCGACATCCGATCGCAAGGACTTGTTAAGAGAAAATTAACTGGGCAATGATAATAATAAAAATGGGAGGGAAGTGAACGAAGAATAAAAAGGTTATGTAAAGGCTGTTGTTGTTATTGGAGGTTGTCAAGGTTGTCAAGGTTGTCTACAAGCCTTCACCTTTGCTTGATGGGTTGTATTCAAGCTCGTGACGAAAGGTAACAGGAGAATGGAAGAGCTGTTATAAGGTCAAGGTATGTAAGAGGTAGGTAGGTACCTATGCACTGAACTACCGGTGACCTTAGGATCTAAATCCAACATTAAAGTAGGTTAGTTCTTATCGGTTAAGTGCACTGTGAGGCATATGCAAGATATGAATGGTGTCTCGGACCAATCATTTAATCATTCATGTACATTGATCTCCATAATTCAGCGCTATTAACTCACTAAATGCGCTTTCACTTACCGCTAAGCTTTATCTTATCGATAGTACCTAAGATAATAGGTAAGTACCTGTTCTGAACGCCACTGTCATTTCTTATCGCGCTGGTCGCATAACATTTGAACTTCTAAGATCATGCGATAGCCTTATTTCCCTTCCTTCAATTACTCAAATACTTATTCTGCAATTCCCTCTTTTAACTACCTCTTAAATACGCCAATCCACGAATAGCCTTACTATTCTTCCACTCGCAGGCCGAGCAAACTCCTATCTCATACAATACCGTCCTATAATCGTATACCACATTCTTTCTTCATCATGGGAAACGATGGAGGCTCCATCCCTAAACGGCGCGAGCTTGTAAGAGAAGCCGCCCGACTGCCAACCGCCTCCGAATTGAAAGCCACAGCCTTAGAGTCCTTAACGCATGCCTGGACGATGTGCCCCTTATCCGACGCGCCACTCGATTTCTCCAACACGGTGTCAGACTGGCGGGGGCGACTCTACAACTACGAATCTGTGCTACAATGCTTAATGCCCTCATCTTCCGAGACGCCTGTATCAGAGACTCAAGAGTCTGAGTTTTCTCGCACGGGAATAAAGAGCTTGAAAGACGTTTTAAAACTCAAGATTACAACAAAGAAGGATGAGAAGGGACGTGAGTTCGCAGCCTGCCCCGTCAGCATGAAGGAGCTAGGTGCCGCCACTAAGAGCGTATATATTGTCCCATGCGGCCACGTCTTCGCGGAGGTGACCATGAAAGAGATATCCGACACCGAGAAGCAATGTCCCGAGTGTAGCTCATCTTTCGAGAAGCGAGACGTCATACCTATATTACCAACGGACGAGGCCGAAGTAGAGAAGCTAGCTAAAAGAGTTGACGATCTGAGGGTATTGGGTTTAACGCATAGCTTAAAGAAAGATAAGAGTACCGGCAAGAAGAAGCGCAAGGCCGATGAAACGAAAGAGAATAAGTCCAGTAACGAACAGAAAGAGAAAGATCTTTGCAAGACGGATAAGAGTAAGGAGGATAAGAATGGCATCGCAAGCCGGATAAATAATCCCATGACTGCGTCTCTCACAGCCAAAGTGCTAGCTGAGCAAGAAGAAAGGGCTAAGCGGAGGAAGATAGCAGATGGATATAAAAGGAGCGAGGCTGTGAGATGATGTGCCGAGATAGATACCCAAGGGAATTAGCGTGTAGTCAGGTAATACCACAAGCTATAAACAAACAATGTCGATAACTTTGCATATTAGTGATTCTATTCGTATCTTGTTTGTTTTAAAGGCTCTTTCTCAGAACCGAGCTGATCGTATATCGTAAATTCTTATTTAATTTGCAGTATATGCCTCCAAGGAATTGATTCTAAAGCACTCACTTATAGGTACAAGGACCACATCACAATTCGTCCTTAGCATGACCAGGCTCTACTGTCTCTTCGCAGACAGCAGGCGTGCCCACTTCCATCTTGTAAACACACTTCTCCAACTCGCTAACCCGCCATAACTCTTCGGTCTCAGCACAAGCAAGCCAAACATCCGTCTTGCGGTTGGGGCCATTCCAGCAGCCCTGGCCGTTTTCGTACCTTAGAACCACACGCTTACCCCGACCTAGGCCCTTACCGTCATGACGCTCTTCCTCGTCCGATTCATCAAAATCGAACCGATCGAAGTTACCCATGGTGGTCTTTCCTCCTCCCTTCTTACTCTTCTGGCTCGTCTTGTCCATCCAGCATAGCTCGTATTCGTACTCGCCGGCCTCAGTTGTAATGCACTTGCCCTTCAGATACCGGAAGATATCGTCTTGGCCGTAGTCCTTCTTTAGGTCCTGCTGTTGCTCTTCTAGCGTCCGCCTCTTAGCGTTGACATCATTAGCAACGGAGTCGTGAGCCTCCCGAGCAGCCCTAACGAGACGAGACTCGCTCTTCTCGGAACCTGTATCAGCCAACATGCCATTTTCGATTAGCCACACCCGGAGGGAGTTGATCTTGTCGTGGAGGAATTCACGAAGCGGACCAGGGAGATAAGCCTCGAAACTGTATACTGCATTGAATTAGCTTATGCACAAACATAAAAGGCCCGGGTATCTCTAGAGACGTACGAATATCAGTGTCAGTTGCTTCATCTTCATCAAACTCCTTCCAGTTAATGCCAGACTCCTCACTGTCCTCCTTCATAACTTCTGTGACATCATCCTCGTTGAGCTGTTCCTGAGCTTCTCCGGCCTTCTTGGCGGCGTAATCTTCCCAAGCTCTAACAGCCTTCTTCACGCCTTCGTCGTTGAAATTAGGGTTATATTCCTCCTTGAACGCTGCCAAAATGCTTTCCAGCTCCTGGACCTTAGCTGTGAGCTTGTTACGCTCGCCCATGACTTTGCTCAGGGTGTCTCGTAGTTCGTTGACTCTCGTCTTAGCTAGTCCAGCGAGTACACCAAGTTTTCCAGGTCCTTCATTTTTGACGACTTTGAAGCGCTCTTGGCGCTCGACCTCGTCCAGCTTAGCTTTTAATTCGTCTCGTTTGACTTCGAGCTCCTTAATTTCATCCGTGAGACTGACAATTTTGACCTCGACCCGGCGGCGGAATTCCTTAGACTCCTTCACCATGGTCCTCCGGCGCTTATTAGCTCTCTCCAGGTTGTCTTTCCGCTCCTTTTCTATTCTTCTCCATTCTTTGCCGATTTCTGCACACTTGTTCTCGCATTTAACTCCGCCCACATTTCCGTATTCCTCACTACCATCGCAGCAAAGATCGTAGTCGCAGACACCATCATTCACGTACATAAAAGGGACATATGTGCCGATATGGCCCTTGTTGGCACACCAAAAGCCAGGTAGAGCATTTGTGGTGTTTGTAGTACCGGAGAGGGAAGCAGGCAAAGGTTGCTCCGGGGAGAGACGATCTAGTAGAGCACACGCCGCAGTGCCAGGTTCGTCTGTGCCATCAGGACAGTCGCACGAATTGTCATTGACTCGAGAGGCAGGGATAGTTATCGAAGGGTGGCCAATGCATGTGAAGGTATCTTTGATTTCGTAGAATTTTACAACTATGAAATTAATTAGTCAATATAATTGAACTTTCAACTCAATACAGTTCATTTTAAAGAAGTGAGGAAATATAAGAGAACTAACATTCTGGACCAACACCACGTGGTAAGGAACCAGCTGTAACGAACCCATTTTGAGCTATGACGCCCAAAAGCACCAAAGCCTGAGATTGGCGCATCTTCACGAAGGTGGAAGATGGAAGGAATTATTCATGGATATGGAGAATCAATTGGAATTTTGGAGTTTCTTAGGAAGAGTTTAACGTTTAACACAAAAAGTTAGGTTAATAAAGTTAATAGTTAACTAACACAAAAGTTAACACGAAAGCATCTCCAGCATTTAGCATTTTGGTCCCCACTACAGCTGGCAAAGCTTGGCAATCTTATCTTAGGGTTCCCTGCTAAAGTTGCGTGGGGGAAATAAACCCTTGTTTATCCTTATGTAATTAGCCACATGTCAATGTCCCAGTGCTCTGGGGTAAGTCATCTAAGTACCCAAGTACCTTAACTATACCAGACTTAAGTATACCAGAGATGCCTCACCTCAAAGGAGTGAGAAAACTATATTTTCTCTACTAAATCCACGGCATAAAAAAATACAAGAAACTTTTATAAAAATGTCAGAGTATAATATTTGTTTAAGTTTAACTTCTTAACCTGGTTGAGAAAAGCACCAGCTCGTCTACTTAAAAAATAGGGGTTCAAGAATCGAAGCACCAGAATATTTATTAAAATGATAGAAACCCTTATACGTTCCTATACATCATACAGACCAACCCAGACTCATGTAAATCCGTTTTCATTGCTATAATAAGCTGATCCTTAACGAGTTGCTGCTGTTAGGTGGCTAATCAACACCCTTCTTTAGCTCCTTAATAGTCTTTACCGACTCGTATTACTACTTTTCATTATCGAAATCCACGATAGAATCTCACTTGGCAAATAGTTATTATATCTCCCCGGTGATAAGTTTTGGTTCATTTTTAATAATATACCATTCGATTATGGGTTGTCACCTTTACACTCATGATAAAATATAAAAACAAATCTAAAATAGTACAGTAGTATACATCTATCATATTCTTACTCGTATATGTAATCTCACATTTCTATACTATCCATCATCCCCTAATTAAAGCCATGTATGATAACCATTAAATATTTGACGAGATACCAGGTTGGATATCTTCTAGTTTATCCATAAGTTCACCGAAAAACTTCTTTTGAACCTTTTGACCCCATTTCCCAGTGATGTGGTACGCAGGGCTTTTAAAACGGTTAGACAGAGATATTTCAACAAAATGGTATAGACCACTTACACTTCGACATGACAGTTTGACAGATACTGACCATTAGTTTCTTGCCCAGCCAGCAAGCCATGAACTAAGACACGGCTACCTTCTTCCGTAGATCGAGCTAAGAGCTTCTCGAATATCTTAAAGCCACGGGTTCCTTGGGATTCGTTTGCTAGGTTAGACTTGCAGAAGCTTGGATTCGGCGTATTGATGATGCACGCCCCCTTTCCGGAAGAACTAGTCCTTTCGGCAAACTCGCGCACGGCGTAGAGAACGAGTACCTTACTCAGAGAATATCGACCAGCCATATTAGCTTTCTGGGGATCATTCAGCCGGTTGATAATGCTGGGACTGTTAGGGTCCAACTCGGCGAGCGGAGCAATGTAGTGTAGCGCACTGTTTGGGATCGCATAACGGCAGACGTGTCCTGTATTCTGGCTAGATTCGCGCATTTTTGGCAGGAGGAGCAAGTACAGCAGAAAGGTACTGATGACGTTGACGTTGAGATTCTTTTCGTTGTGTTCGCTCAAGCTGAAATTGGAGGTCATAACACCAGCATTGGCTAACACGCCATCAAGGCGAGGAAGTTGAGAGGTGCGGTTCGCGAATGACTTGACCGAATCATAGCTATCCATGTCGATAGGCCATACTTCTATAGAGAACTCAGGTCGACCAGTGGAATTGAGGATCTTTTTTCTCGCATCGTCGCCCTTGGCTATAGTTCGTACGGCCATGATGAGTTTCCCAACACCAAGTCGTGATAGGTGAAGACAGGCTTCAAATCCAAGGCCAGTATTAGCGCCAGTCACAACAATAGTTTGGTTAGAAAGCTCGGAATTCCCACTTGGAACTGGAAGCTTCACGAAAATCTTTGAAGAGATGACGGAGCTAACTCCATATAGCGCTGAAAAGGCAGACATAGCGACTTGAGGGCCTATTGGAATTATGTCTTATTGATAAAAGATCACAATGCTTTGATGTTGAGAAGTTAGCTAAATGAGAAATACATCACATCCCAAAAAGCTATTTTATATTCCATTTTACCTTACCCTCTCGAGGGGCTATGCTATGTTAATAATTTCTACTTACACGGATTTTATACGTCCTTTCATCCATGCCGTCTGGTGTGTATTATTATGTCGCTTACATGTTGATTTACGGAGGATTCTAATTAGGCCTGGGCTTATGGGCCTCATCTCCGTCCGCTACCTACTGCTTATTAGCGGGGATAATATCTCCGCGTCCTTCTCCTGTGCTCTAAGCTCCGGCTCCACTACCACACACAACCCGCCGCCGTGCTGTAGCGCATATAATGTCTCCGACCCGCCGTAAACTGCGGATTCCTTCTTAGCCGTGAGAATAGAACCTTTACATCTAAGCATAATAAGCTCCTCCCCATTCCTATAATTACCGTACAGGAAAAACGAAACTTTGGATTAATCTCATCTGTGCTTCCATGGCCAGCAGTGACATCGGACGTAAAAAGGTGGAAAAAAGGAACCGGCCACCTGTTTCTTGTGAGCCATGTCGAACCAGAAAGTATGCTGTATCATTGTGCCCTTAATATTACTGCGCACCTAAAATACCTATGCTTACGTGCGTCTCATAGACTGAAGTGTAACCGAGGTTCACCATGCGATTCCTGTATAAGACGGGATAAGGCCTCACTTTGTAACTATGCGGCCAATGCTAGTCGAAGCGAGCCTAGTAATAACAAGCCGCGCGACTTGAAAGATAGACTTAATACTCTAGAGAATTTGGTATCCTCTTTACTGTCCGGTGATGCTGTGGTTCGGCCGGGACTGACTACAAGAAGACAACTTACCACAAAAGACGCCGAGGATATCACATCACCAGCAATACATTACAATAAGTCCGCAAATCATGATTCGAGTTTTACGAGTCAAAGCGCACGAGAAGATGCCCTTACCCCTGAGACACCCCACCTTCAGGAAACCGCGGATGGTCAAGTGAACTATATCGATCCTAGCCACTGGCTATCCATCTTGGACGATATAAAAGAGGTCAGAGAGCACTTATTGGCATCAAATCAGCCTATATCACAGAATGAGAAAGGGTTCGCCACAGATCACGTAGTATTAGACGCTAGTTTCTTGCTAAGCTCAGACCAAATTTCGAGTCTCGACGAGATTCTGAGCTCGTTACCATCCCAACCCATCTGCGACATGTTGCTTTCTTGGTACTTCGGATCCCGATTCATGGTCCTAGGTAAGAGCTCGAGTCTAGCATAGGTAAACTGGTCTACTAACTTTCACGATAACTAAGGCATTATACACCCGGATAAATTTCAAAGCGAAGTAAGCCTTCTATTCATGCCATACGTGGAACTATAACTTACGAATAATATAGTATGCTTCATTTTGGGAGTCACCATTAACGATGCCACCGCTCTGGGTAGCCCTTCTTTTCTCTGTTCTCAGTGTTTCGGTTAGCTTGCGAAAGGTATCGAACATAAGAGAGCCCGATGGGTTAATCCCTCATATAAGTATATTACAGCAGAGAGCGGTGCAGTGTCTGGTTCTCGGGCGATATGCCACTGCTAATGCACATGCGCTTGAGGCATTTATGCTTCATATCCAAAGCTGTTTTTTCAGTCGCGAAGGTAATCCAGTTGATTTGTGGTTCGAAATGGGCACAGCAATCCGGTTAGCATTTAGGATGGGTTATCATCGCGACCCAAGCAACCTAACTGGCATCTCCCCTTTTGATGGAGAGATGCGGCGACGAGTTTGGGTTAACATATTCCAAATAGACGCATTGATATCCTTTCAAATGGGCTTCCCAAGTATGATACCAACCGAATTTTGCGACACTGAGGTTCCAAGGAATCTAGAATACTCTGATCTCCATGTGGACATGACAGTACTGCCACCATCGAGACCCCTTTCTGAGAACACCCACATGCTTTACAATATTGTCAAAGCTAGTGTGATGGGAGTCTTCAAAAAAATAGTTGCAAATACGCAATCAATATCAGTTCCGGCTTACGACGAAACGATTGAGCTAGACGCTGAAATGAACCAAGTCTACAGCATGGTTCCAGAACTTTTGAAGAAACGGGATGTCAACCGTTCTTTTATAGATCACCCTTGTCTCATATGGCAACGATGCACAATAGAAATACTCTATCTAAAAGGTCTTATCATACTCCATCGACGATATATCAGTTATGAGTTAAGAAGCCCTAGATTCGAACGATCACGGCACGCATGCGTTGAAGCAGCTCTCGATATCGTTTCCCGACAGATAGATATACATAAGGCATGTGAGCCTGGTGGAAGATTATACGAAGACAGGTGGATGTTCTTTTCACTATCAGTGCATGATTTTCTTTTAGCTTCCATGGTTCTCTGTCTAGATTTGTCTGTTCGCATGCGATCTCGAAGTGGAGTCTTGACCGAAAGGGGAGATACGCAGCAACTTGCAAGTAGAGAGTATCGGGCGCTTCAGGAGTCTCAACGGATATGGGCAGTTAACAAAGCAGCTTCACCCGATGCACAGACTGCAGCACTCGCGCTTGACCTGATGATCAAGAAGGTTGCACAAAACGATGTTGGCCTATCTCTCGCGGAGGAAAATATATCGTCAGGGGTCACGGATCCTGTTGTCGATTCAGAGTTGCCATACGCGGTTACCATGTCACAGATGATCGACGGATCCGAGAGTATTGATTGGGTAAGTATCTACACGAGAGTGATACAGAACATAGCAACTAGCTTTCTAATCAAAATGATAGAGTCTGCTGGATCAGTATTTACAATATTGAGCGTAAAGCATACGACAAGAAGACCAGCTCTTATAAACAACTATCTCCTATATATAACCACTAACTAATACATGAACAAAGCTGTTATAAATTTTATTAGTTAATATAAAAATACTAATAAAATTTAACTTCTGATATACTTTTAAGAAATATCTATATGTAATACTTCTAATTATTTGGCTTCAACTCATGATTGTTTTCTTGAAGTATCTATAATGTTTACTCACATAATAAATATACTTGTACGGAATGATAGGTATATTCGTAACACTAGTTATTCGAAGCTTTAGTCTTGTAAGCCTTAGCTACAATTTCTAAGACTCTTTAATAGTCATCTATTACACAATCACTAATAGTCAAACTAGTAGTTAAATGTCTCTCCGTCTTAACATCCAGCCACCACACAGGTGCCGAACAATAAACCCGGGAAATGCGGGGCGACTCTCCAGCGGCTAATCCAAGCTCGACTTTTGATACTTGGCCAAGACAAACAGGATATGGCAATGGTATTTTGGTTTGGGGGCAAGGGTAGAGAGGGTCTAAGCTCCCCCACATTATTCCAACTCGCTATTCCCTAATAATCATAGCCTCATATGTAGTAGATAGACCCTTGACTCTTCTTTTCCCCTGAACATGGCAAAATGATGTTTATTCACCCACATTACATACATAGTGTCTAACCCCTGTCCCCCACAAACTGCCGTCCTAATAACCCCCCCAGTCTAATGGACTAGGCAAGCTAAAATCCCGAGGTCACCTTTCGGCTGTACTGTTGGCGCGTCGTATCGCTCCCTTCTTTTTTCTGAAGATGTTTTCTATCAGAATCCCGGCCGTCACCATGAATTGGTGGTAAGGATTAGATCTGAAATGCAACACCAACTTGTCTTCTTTTCGATTTTCTGCAACAACTAGTAGTATAGAATCGTATTTGGTACGCGGTATACATAGCTTCTACTACGTCCTTTTCTTTCCTTAAAAAGATACTGGTTTAGTAATAATAATTCTTAGAGGAAGGATGGCAGCAATTGGTAAGACATTGGCCATTTCCCATAACTTCACATGTACGAGGCAACTGACTGACCAACGCAGCTGCGGCGTCGATAGCTGCTACTGCGGCCGGTCTCACGTATCTCGACGGCAAATTCCATCTGCGACAGGATTGGCAGAATATCCGCGCAAAAAAGCAGGGCACGAAGCTCCTTCAGAAAGCTGGTGAGTCTACCTTCTAAACGCTACGACCTAGATGTGAACACAGCTTACAAAAACCCCTTCTGCATATGTAGTCCGAGAAAAGCGCATCTCGTCCTACTACTTCTTCGAGAAGCATGCTCAGACCAAACCCAGTAAGGAGTGCATCTGGTCGCGCCAGGGCAACTTCACTTATGCCGAGACTTACTACCGCGTCAACCAGTACGCTCAGTGGTTTTCACAAAATGCCGGTGTCAAGCCTGGTGACCTTGTTGCCTTCTTCATGGCCAACAGCCCCGAATTTGTCTTTGCTTGGATGGGTTTAATAGCTATCGGTGCAGCTCCAGCCCTCATTAACCACAACTTAACTAAACAGGCTCTACTGCACTGTCTGGGCATCTCCGAAGCGAAACTCATACTGGCTGATGGCGCACCTCAGCTATTGGAACGTCTCGATGCCGTTAAAGATGAGCTGGCTGCGCAAGGGGTGAGTATTGTGAATCTGGCTGATGTTAAACACGAAGTCAACGCGACCAAGGGCGAGCGGCCATCCGATGAGCTACGCGAGAACGTCCGGCCTGACTCGCCGTTTGGTCTGTTTTATACTAGCGGCACAACCGGATTACCCAAAGCTTGCATGCTGCCCGCGGCGGCCAGCTTCGGATACGGCGTTAGTATGGACTGCGGTTTCTCATATGTTAAGGGCGATGATCAACGCTACTACGATTGTATGCCTCTATATCACGGTACAGGAGGTATTAGTGGCATGACGCAGCTGTTGACCGGTCAGACGCTATGCATCGCGCCCAAGTTTAGCGTCTCAGGGTTCTGGGATGATATTCGAGATAGCAGAGCTACGTGGTTCGTCTACGTCGGCGAGACACTACGATATCTACTAGCAGCACCGCCGTCACCACGCGACAAAGAACATAACGTACACTCCATCTACGGCAACGGCCTGCGTCCGGATGTCTGGAAGCCATTCCGCGACCGTTTCGGTATCGACACCATCTTCGAGTTCTTCAACTCGACTGAGGGTATCATGCCGCTAGATAACCCAGCCCGGGGTGACTTCCGCGCCCATGCTGTCGGTCACCATGGTTTCCTTCAGCGATGGCGTTTCTATAACGTCTTCGTGCCAGTTGAAATTGACGTCGATACAGGGGACATCGCGCGAGATCCCAAAACGGGATTTGCGCGACGCGTCCCTTACTCGGTCGGCGGCGAAATACTTGTTACGCAGCCGCCTACGATTACACCGTCTTTCCCAGGGTATTACCGCAATGAAGAAGCAACATCGAAGAAATACGTGCGCGACGTATTCCGTAAAGGTGATTTATACTACCGAACGGGCGATGCGCTGCGGCGAGATGATGATGGGCGCTGGTTCTTCCTAGATAGGTTGGGTGATACATTCCGTTGGAAGGGAGAGAACGTATCCACGGCCGAAGTGTCCGAAGTACTTGGTCGATTCCCGGGTGTAAGTGAAGCGACCGTGTATGGTGTATCTCTACCGAACCACGACGGAAAGGCCGGCATGGCGGCTATTTTCATTGACCCGGCCGTCAAGACTTTTGACTATAACGGATTGCTGAAGTATGTCTAATATTTCCTTCCCCCCTTTTTTCAAAATAGAACTTTTCCTATGTCACCTTTGTTTGCCAACGCAACGCATTGAACTCTTCCCTCTCCGCCTCCCCGCTTCCGCATCCCAACAAAACGCCACCAATCCTCCCGTATATCACATATCCAATACAAATAAGCAGATAGAGTATCGACATATGCACATACCCTTCCTCCAACCTCCCTTACAAATGTTTGAAGAAGCGCCACTTCGCTCCCCTTGCTAATCACAAATCTCACCGGAAACAGACACGCCCGTGCCCACCTCCCTAAGTATGCCGTACCCATCTTCGTGCGCCGCATGTCCGCGCGCTCCGCTACCCACAACAACAAGCAAGATAAGGTTCCGCTCAAGCGCGCCGGCGTCGACCCAGCTCAGACTGTGCCTGACCCTGTCTTCTGGGTTCCCGACCACGCCAAGGGCGGCAGCGCCTATGTACCCTTTACGCAGCAGGACTGGGACGCGCTGAAAGGTGGTCGGGCCAAGCTATGAGGAGTCGAATGCGAATCGAACGCCTTTTTAGATCTCAGTTAGATATAACCATATGGGACGGAATGTCTGACGAATCGGGTGGGCTATGTATATAATATAAAAACTAGCGACATTGCTTTATATATACGGAGATACAATCTAATCTCATAAAGGACAATGCATGGGCGGGGATATTAGATCGATATATAACTCAAAGTACTTGCTGCGTGATATGTATACGAAGTGCCGACGAATCCTAGTCATGGCTCAACAGCTATGAGAGTGGTTGCGTCGTTAGCTTGAGATTTAAAGATCCCGCATAAGCATAATTACTTGCCTCTACGGGCCCTCGTATTCCCTGAACATTGAGAGGTACTTATTTAATGGATGTAGCTCACCATAATGCTAAAAATATACGAGGTACATAACCTAGGTATCTTTAAATCATGTCGACGTGGGTATAACTCATTTCGAAAATAGTAGCGTCATAAGGACATGAATAAGCAGAGCGTGGTTTACAATTATTTCCCCCTATGTGCTGACGCCAGGATCTTAAAGTTTATTTTCAAGAGATGTCCATCGATGAGCGCAACGCGTAGTCCGTTAGGTTGGCGCTGTCGATTCCTAACTGGGTGCGGACCGTCTCGGCCACTGCTCCGAGGTGTAACCAAAAGGTCTAGCCGTGTCAGACGGCGTTTTTATACAAGGGAAGAGGTGTCGACGTACTTACTCGGTTCCGATGTCTTCGCTCTTAGTATTGAAGGCCCCGGCGTTGATCTTTTCGACGAGCTGGGTGATCTACTACTCCCTGATCTCGTAGACTTGATAGCACCATTGCCGGGCGTCCGAGACTCTTTCATAGAACGGGGAATAACCTTCTACAGCTACTAGTTAGCAATGGTATAATATATTCTAGGTTTATGGGCCTAACGCACATCGCTGTCACCATCTGACAGATTCCAAGGATCCTTGTTCGCTACCAACTCCGCATAATCTGGGCGGGGTACGCTCCTGGGCGTGCGGCGTGGTTTCTCAGCCTCTAATTCCTCCTCGTCCGACTCATTGATTTCGTTAACCACTGTAGGATTCCGGGGTTTGCTAGACGGAGTGTAGTTCTTGTCGTCCTCTTTGCTCTTTCGTACATTAAGAGTATCCGCTGCTTGGATATTCTTAGATCTCGACCTTCCGGGAATGACTGGAGACATTAATAGTTGTTCCAATGAAGTTTCTAAGAACAAACTAGCCCTCCTCTAGGCGGATGACAAGGATGTCTTTACCTACAGGTGTGCGGTGATGGGCCAAGATGTTCCTTAATCCAATACTTGCTAACCAGACTGGAACCTTCAACTATAGGCAACGATTAGTACCTATGACAAACTCCTCTTCTATATATACAATATAAGACTACTCACTTTCGCATGCAAAGTTTTCGAAAATGTACTCGTTAGAGAGTTCTTCGCCGTCTTGTCCCGTTTCGCCGTGACTTTGGAAATGCTTCAAAGCTCTATTATATGCTAGAGGCGGATCCGTGAAGAAGCCCGTTTGACAGTTGGACCTGTTACATCGTATGACGAAGAAACCTTGACGTTCTGCATGACGAAATATACGCTCCCCTGTCTCTAGGTTCGGGAATGCGATCTTGCGGAATATATCCGATTGAGATCTACTCAGACTCTGGTCATATATTAGCTAGGTAGTCAAGTAGCAGCTTAAAGTCACTGCTCCAGTTCGTTCTTACCTTTCCGCCATCTACTCTCCGTCGCTTCCCACTTGCGGCGCTATCACCATCTGTGCTAACCCGCTTAGAAGCTTTGTTAGTCATGGGGTTTTCGGATAGAATTTGACTCTGTATTTGGTGGTCGAAATTCGAGCCTATGTTTGGCGATACGTTAATATTAGTAGGACTTGAAGAGTGATCTTTGATCGAATTAGAAGTTCCTTGGTCGTGAACTTGCGACGCTAATGGAGGTATGCTTGATAAGACATCTGCGCCAAGAACAGTGCTAAAATAATTATCGCGAACGGGTGACATAAAAGGTGTTGGGGGTCGAATAGTCAGGGTCGAAGCACTGGGAATAACGCTCAGATATTTTGGAATGACTGGGATAAGTTCCGAGACGGTACTCTCGATAGTATCAGGGTCGACTTCGAGTAATTGTAACTTCTTGCGCAGACCTAGGATTAACTTTTCCTTGTCTTGTTCATACGCCTGACGCTCCTTATCAACCTCTCTGAGGAGAGCTCTAAGCTTTGGCACGTGGCTCCGAGCCAACTCATCATCTCGCTCGCGGGTCAATTGCTGTAATTCCTTCTTGACATAAGAAGAGGCGAAATCAGAAATAGCATTATTGAGTTTGCCGACAGGACTGCCATGATCGCCCGGCGGCGTCTCGTCAGCCATCTCAATCTGGGGACTGAATGTTCATGGAACCGCTACGGATGTATAATCGGACATAGATGGTGTTCGTTCCAACCAGCAACTACCGATTAATACCTAGATCTTCTAGTTCTAGGGTAGAGCTTTAAGTCTGAAGATATGGAGAGAGAAGGGGAGGATAGAAAAATCCTGCGTTAAATCGACTTTGAAAAAAATGATAGAAATAGAGTTAAAATAGATAGTTAGATAGAAGAAGAAGAAGAATCGAACGAATAGATGATTAAACGATTAAACGGATGAATTAAAATGATCTGGGCCCGTTTGGCCAGAGCATAAGAAGAATAAGCGACACATGCAGCTCCAGCTTCTGTTCTCCGCACGAAGCGCCTGTACCGTAGAACGCCGCAGAATAAACCCGCCGAACACGCAAGACCCCCAGAGATGCGCACCGGGCCGTACCCCGAATAATTCTGGGCTTGATACCGCAGTGTGACGGAAAAGTTGTAACCAATCACAAGTTATGATTACTCACAAATATGTTGGTGCCGTAACCCGAATGGAAACGGGTTAATCAAAAGTTTTCGGAGATAAAATGAGATAGAGAAGTAAAATGTCTGGTAGAATAATAATTAAGGAGGGGAAAAAAAGGAGGAAACTTTTTTAAAACATCGGACATAACGAGGAAAAAGGAGGAGAGAAATTACCTAACATTAATAAAAAAGAATAAAAAAAAATAAACATGTGGAAGTATCAAATAATTTTTTTTTAGATGTTACACCATACTATTGACCTATTTTATGTACTACAGGAAAGTGCGAACAACCTCCTAAAATTGGGTTCTAGGAGGTAGCGAAGATACTATCTTTTAAAAAAAGAACGGACCTCAAGCACGCCGCTTTTAGCCGAATTTCATGTTACACAAACACCTAATATATAAGACACCTTATAAAATACTGGTAATATAAATCTCGGTTTCTTACACACGTTATAAACGGATAGCCAAATCATCTTATTATTATTATTATTATTATTATTATCAATATATATGACTATTAGCATCAATTATACCAACCATCACCTTAAGCAGCCCACAAGTTGCGACACGCACAACTACTATAATTCGTATTACATATCAAATGTAATATTGCATCCCAAGTTCTAATTCTAAAGACTACATTGGTATGGTATCAGAAGAAGAACTGTTTTCACTCCAGTTAACCACAGTCTCGACCGTGATAACTCCGAGCGGGACTTCATCGACCCCATCATCCCCAGTCTTTCTCACCACGGCATGACACTCGGCGGCATACCCTTGAGACCATGGACCAAATGTTTCTCGATTAACTTCCCTGCTATATCCATGGCTATGTACCTCAATACTATCTGAATCGTCTTCGAGATTCCTAAATGGTCTTATAGAACCGTGCGATATTCTAAAGTCCTGGCTTTTATTGCCCTTTCCTATTTTGCCCCTATGCATTGACGTGCCGCCTATGCTCCGAAGTGCACGCATTGCAACTAGAGTATTATCCCTCTCGACATTACCGTAATCACGACCTAAGGGTTTGCGAATCCCTGTGAAAGGACGCATTCTAAGTAGACCATTGAACAGCGGTCCAAGCACAGGAAGGCAACCGCAAATAATCGCTAGGTCGGGTTCCAGGACGGTCCATAAGAAAAAGTAAACCCTTATCACTAGGCCTATTAGCTATATTCCAAATTAAATAATAAGAGCTATGATTATTACAAGTAAAATCTGCATATGTGCCATAAGTCAGCTGGATTTGGTATCGTAACCGGATCCCACTTGCAGCAATTGTGCTTGTTCCAAGTAAAAAAATAACGGACAATATGACACGCTGACTACGCGTGAGATGTAAGCTCATGATCTCGTAGATGGGCAAGCATAGGATGGCGATATCGGTGACGATATTAGAAATCACAATTCCTAACAGGAAGTCAGAGATAGGAATACAGTAGCCGTTCATGTCAGGGTCGAATAGCTTCTTAACAGGAGTGCATTGAAAAGTCGCGACGAGGACGTAAACGGCCCACCACACTATAGTAATAGAGCCCAAGATAAGACACCCTATCTTCATCAATCGTACTGGGAAGATACGCCTATACATCATTAGGATGCTAAGTTTGGTAGTCAGGATAGTTGTCGCATAGATCCATCGGCTGGCAAAGATCGCCTTAGACAACAAGTTAGCACAATTAAATATATATCTTCGGAATCTCAGTATAATATAAGCAGGCTCGCCTTGAGGTCTATACTGATTCCTTCAGGTGTATTCCAGTTAATTGGTGGTCCCATTCCACCAAGCTTGACGAGTAGAACGATAAGAGCGTACTGTGCCCAAGAAAATACCTAGAACAATGTTAGAAACTTAGTTTCGTCAGGGGTTTACTTAGGAAGAAGTGTAGAGATTGGAGAGATGTATTAATTGTTTAGTGAGATAAGCTCGATGACTTACAAGAGAAACTATACTCAGCCAGTCATCAATTCCGATACCAGAAGTACGGCGTATCCTCATAACAATACGAAGACCAACGGCAAAAGTTACAATCACTGAGATCGGGGTTAATATGCGAAGTAGATAGGGGCCATAATCCATCTCAAGTAACGAAGGTGAATCTGAATCAGATGACATGTCTGCTGGTTTATCAATCTAGGAATTCTGCTAAGTGAATAGGGGTAGAACAGCTATCATTTCAGGGTAACTAGTGGAAAACGAGAACTTGAATATTTAGGATTTTAAACATATCTCTTAGCCATAGATGCACGTTAAATTCTCTATAGAGTGCGTCTCTGAACGCCCACATTGAGTTACACAGTAGAGCGTCTCATCTATCTATAGATTTAAGGTAAAGACAAGCTCAATATCATGTGTCGCCCTCGCCGTTTTCACACATGGCCGTATTTTTAGGAGACTACGCCACTTTTGATTAGCTTCCTTTCAACATAAGAAGTACGGGAGATCGACAAGAAAAGAGAACTAAGTGTGTATGTATGACGGCAAGTAGACTCTTGTGTAACCACACCCGGCTGCGGATGAGAGACGACTGACCGCCACATCGTTCGATATATAGATGTTTGCTACGACCATTTCCTATTAGATAGGTACTTACTAAAAGTATGATTGTGGTCTCTAGAATTACTTTGCATTAGATACCTAGCGTGTGGTATAACTGGGTACATATTGTAGAGTTTCGATGCGGAATTAGGTGACAGGCAACTATTTCAGAACTCGTATAGAAACATCTGAAGTTGTAATTGTAGATTGCGCAAATATCGCTCTAGAAATCTTAGCGTGGCAATGAGTTCGGGAGCTTGCGCCATGTCTTAAATATAGCACCTAGTCTGTGTTTGTTTTGGATCCGAGACACCGGTGACTGTTCGCTTTCGCATCGGACTCGGGCAATTAAAGGGGGTAATATGTAGTGAAGGGCTCGGCTTCAAACCGAGTAGCACGTAACCCAGTGTATAAAACACATCAAAAACGGGGTAATGCATGGTCACAGACCATCATGTATCTAATAAATTGGTTATAGATAAGTGTAAGGTACCTAAACTTATACCAGTGGGCGCAAAGATGCGGTATCTAAAATTGTACGACTCTATTATAACCTGAGCTATTTTGACTGGAATATGAGCATATTGCTATTTATATCAAGATATGTTACTCGGATATTAACTACAGGGTTGAAGCAATATGAGGATTAGTTGGTTCTAATTGACAAAGTTACTGGTTCTTCCGGTATCTTGGTGTATCAGGGTAAATGGAATCGGTTCTAAATATGAGCAACTATTCAAGTTAAAACATCATTAGGATAATGTTCGAAACATTTACTGCTACAACTACTTCGTCTTGATCTTCCGATACCGCACCACCTCCTTGCCGTCGTCTTCGACAATTCTATGAACTTCGATCCTATACCCACCGATCGCCGGCCAGATCTTAGACCAACATACCCAGTATACTCCACCTAGAAGTAAAACGCCAACTCCGACAACGGGGAATATAAAATAGGGATAGCCGTCGGCATTCCAGTCTCCAGACGGCGGGACGAAGGGGACAATAGCGAGGAAGATATTGGCTAAGAGATAGATGACGCTAATCGGTAAATATGTATGCCAAGGCGATGTCCAATTCTCCGACTTCTTGTAGTGGAGATAGATGAGGCCGGCAGTGACAAAACCATTGATCCAAGCACCAGGGTAGGTATATAAGTTGACGACGAAGTTGTAGGCGGGGCCTGCGGGAGGAGCGACGAGGATGATCACTGTGATAAGCCAATGGAGGAAAAGCTAGGTATATCAAGTTAATCATATAATTCATGAGAAGTTTCTAAGAGAAATACTTACAGCAGCAGCTGGCGCGTCAAAAGGCTTGATAGATGCCCAAAACTTTCCATACGGTAGAAGCGCTTCTTTTCCGAATTCTTGGTTGAGTCGAGCGTGTGCAAAACTCACGGCCAGCACGTTACCCAGATTGCTCAGTGCAACAAAAGCAGGGAGAGCCCGTGCGGCAGCACTATCACCGAAAACGTTGCGAAAGAATAACCCAGCTACTAACACTTCAGATGTAGCGAGGTCGTCCTTCGTTATTGCTGCGAAGTAGGCTACGTTGGCCAGAACATACAAGATGGTAACACCGCCGATAGCTATGGGTGCTGCAATCGCGAGGGTCTTGCGAGGATTCTTCAGTTCTCCAAGCACGTAGTTGGCGTTCTCCCAGCCCTTGTAACTGTAGATGATCTGCAATAGCGCTGTCGCGTACCCGTATGCGCCCCGGCCACCATAATTCTCTGTCACCTCGATGGCGAACGCGTTTTTGAAGTTACCGGGCGGCGGGATGAGAAGTCGACCAGAGATAGCGGCGAAGCCCGAAAATACGATGAAGATCACGATGACCACTTTGAATATTCCTAAGAGATTCACAAGCCTCAACCCCCATTTAGGAAAAATCGAATGGAGCGCGACGGCGAAAGTAATACACGCGATAGCGATGCCACGGGCCGTCCAACCATCTCCTTCTGTGCTTCCGGCAGCAGCTAAGACATACCGGCCGAACGCGAGAGAGTTTCCGGATGAGAATCCTAGAAGGATCATCTGTGATGCCAAAACACATGAAGCTAGGTAACGCGGGTGGCGGTAGACACGTTCGAGATAATTCTTCTCGCCACCGGAGAGCGGAATAGCTAAACCAAACTCAAGGAATACGCTCAGACCGCAGAATGTCAAAATACCACCAACAATCCATAATATTATCGATATGCCAACCGATCCAGTTGCGGCAAAGATGGCCGAGGGGGTAGAGAAAACTAGAATAAACTGGTCAGTCTACTCATAGCGTTTATGAAGGCATAAAGTTATTAGATTAATCGCTTCACTCACTTCCGGTTCCGATCATCTTATTCAAAATCAGAAACACAGCACCGGTAACACCGATTTTCCGTGAGTCGGAATAAGCGAACTGCTGAATTCCATCGTTAGTCGAGGAGGCATACTCCTCGTCCGTAGGAGCATTCAGTTCCCGTGTGTCGGGGTCTGAATCTTTCCCGACCTCTGTCGCTGATGACATCTTGGCTTTGATTCCTAGTATGACGGTCACAAAAGAGCGGAACTGAGGAAATGGCACGCGCTCCACAAGAACCTAAAGGGAATACGTCTCCTTTTTAACTCAGGGCCGGTCGTATGTTACACATGATATCAAGGTTAAGACAGCACAAGACCAGACAAGACAAGTCAAGACAATTAGACAATTCAAGCAAGTGGCACAGGTTATTAGGTTAGGTTCTAGAGCCTCTTGGGTTCGGGGGAGGATCTAGGATCAGGAGATGAGCGTTTGCGTATAAGTAAATACGCAGGGGCAGCTGAGAATTCGTGAGATTCGTGAGGTTCTTATGGATGCTTGGCAGATCGCACGCCATCGCACGCAAACGAAACCTTGTGATCTTCGGGGTCCCTGGGGTCCCAAGCAACAGTTTTTTATTAGATTTCCCGTCATCTCGGCGCATGGCAATGTAACATTGCTTTCGAGCTCAACCTTAAACCACGGGAAAGCGACATTTCGAAAACCTACTAGAGAATCACACAATCAAGCCTTTACGATCAACATGGAAGGTGGCTTACTTCCAAGAGTTAATACATTACCAAGACATCTTCTTGACGTAATTCGGTCTATCCGATCTCATCATTTATTCCAAGTAAAAGCTGAAAAGAGTCACCGTCTATTTTCTCTTAGCTTACCATGAGAGATCACAAGCGAATCTGTTGCCTGCAGTCGACCCGCGGCCCGGTCCTATTCCTGGTATTTTCTATGCAGAAATTCTTTTCAGCCCCATGCTACTGGCCGGGCCGATTGGCGGGTCCTTGACCTCGATGTCTACCTAGTAAGAAGAATCTTTAAGTCGAATATGCCTAGCCATAAAAAGGAAAGGTCTCTTTACCTAGCCCGTTTCCAGTTTCAACGTCTTCTTTTTAAAAAAGACTTGTTGGCACTGGTTGTCGCATCTTGATCAACTACGAAGTCACAGCGTCATATAGAATCAATAATAAGGCACTAGTAAGAGGTTAAGAGTATCGTTGGAGGACTGATATTACAAGAACTAAATTACCTAGATCTAATACGAGCTCACGTTCCGATTCGTTTCCTTGCTTACATGGAATGGAAATCGGCGACCGGCGCCATTCGTCGTCAAACTCTTTAATCAGAGTGTTTGCCACGGCCTCAAGTGTACCTTACGGCATATCTGTGGCAAATACTATATCATAGTAAGTCAAAGAATAGTGATAGATTTTATGTCCCTAATAACGAACCTGGCATCATGACTTCCCCCTTCTCTGCGTTCTATTCTTATCTAACGCAGCTACGGAATTCCTATATTTCGATTTACTGGTTCAAGGTGTATTCGGCATGCTCATAGATCCCCATTTAAGCTCGTCATCCCGTCGTCGTCGGCTACACCCTCATCCAACCAGATCGTCAATTTTCTCTATCCCTAATAAAATAATCGTCTCGTGATTATCGGATAGATCGACTGCGAACTTGATACCACCAAATTCGCCCATCTGCTCTTCGCTTATATCATTTGGAAGGATAGAGTACATCGGTGCCGGTGGTGCTAATCTTCTAGGTATGGAACCTTCGCAGTCTATAACTAGGGGATCGAATCTACAGTATCGACATTCTAAACGCGGCTCGACGTCAGAAGTTCTATCGGGCCCAGATATGTCGATGATATCTTGCATATTTCCCCGAAGCGTGTCGAATGCCTGCTTTATCCGACCTTCTAGTTGTGTCTTGTAAATGGGCCAGGGAAGATCAAGTCGGAGTTGCTCGCGACGAGTATCGAGTGTATTAGATGCCCCGTCGGTCTTGCTGTTGCGTAGAGGACTACTCTGTCTGCTTATTGATACCCCAGACTGATCTTTTAAATTCTTCTCTCGAGCTCGTCTTGAAGGTTGCACTCGCGTTGGTGCTGTGGGCCACTTGCTGGTCTTCTTAGCTTTTACCGTGTGGGTTTCAACTTTGAGCTTGAAGCACTCATTTTCCCATAAGTGATATAAAGAACACTCTTTTAAGAAAGGAAGTTTGCAATATGGTTGATACAGAGGCGGAGGCCAAAACCAGGACAGATCTCGGATCCAGTCATTAGCTAGCGAGCCTACTCTTGCACCGCTGTCTGGCTCGATCGTTACAACTCTACGGCTGCGTATATCTTCGACGTCGCTGATATCAACTAGCGTCATAGACATTACTTTGATGTTTGATGATTTATGATCAAATAATAAATTAATAACTTGTGAATCGGATTTTGAAATAACTTTGTTGCGAATTAGTGGTAAAGCTCTTGAAAACCCCAACTAATAAGTCCCAATAGAAAAGTTGCGCATACTTTAAATTTACGTTTCTTTGTTATGTATTGTTTAGAGTAGATAATGTGTTGTTACTATTACTACTAGATCATGAAACACAATGGGTGATATTTCCGGAAGCATCTTTAAAAAGTTTGTCTCAGCCTATAACAAAGACCGATTACAACATATTCCATGTCTCTTCGAAGCATAGTCATGGTTTGCTTTTATTAAGAAGATATACCATATAGTATTGAATACGATATTATCGTCTAAGTTGAGTTAAAAAATCCTATCAGCTTGAGTCTAAGAGTGGAATACAATACCTGCAGTCTCAACACCACTATAATCACACGCCCATATAGTGCATATATCACGCATTTCTATAGATTCTTATATATATCAAGTAGGTAATAGGGTTGAAAAAGAGCTTAACATATTACGTTTGAGAATATCATATCTTGTCCACTATACTCTCTGACCCCTATTCCCCTTCTACCGCTATCTAAGATGGTTTAGTAAATAGGATTTCCACTAGCATCAGTGACTGGCATGCCACCAGGAAGTTCTGTGAGCCCTAATTTCCTTCTGTTAGTAGTGAACCTTTCTTCCTAGTTGGAATACTTACACCCATCAATATCTTCGTCTACTACTGGTTTTACTGAGCACTTATTCCCCTCTTTAATCTCTTGGTATTGCAACTCTGGGCATTTGAACCCATTACAATTCGTGTCCATCGCGATTTGCAATGCGTTACCCTTCCAGCCGAACATATAATCACCGTGATTACCGAAGCCCGTGGCATCGCCGTAGCTCCATACGAACGGCTGCGAGCCGTCCTCAGGCCACTCAGACTTGTCGTTGAAAGGAGTCGTGTCCCAGACGATTTCGTAAAAGAGTTGGGGAATCTTGACGGGGTGCGTTGAAGGACACGGGCCCCCTTCTTCGAATGTGCCACTTTCGGGATACGAGACGTGGCTGGCATGGTCGGGGGAGTCTAAATTGATGCCATCCCAGCAGCTAGATAACCTATTAGCCAACTCGCTATCTCAAGTAATGACCCGTCACTCACGTCGGAAACCGTAGGTTTGCCATGATACCTGCAGGACATGGCTCTTTTGGCATGTCATGAGTCTCATTTGTCCTCGTCATAGGATCTTGAAGACAGGTGCTGTGAAAGTAATGTAAGTGTCTTTTTCACAAGATCCCGTAGTAAGGATGGTTTAATTCGTATGAGCTAAGATTAGACGCGTGTAAAAGACTTACTATGTGAGCTGGCGGAATTTCATTGCCTCTTCTTCGGTGCGTATCGCGGGGTTACCAGTAATCATCCGGAATCCCTTGTAAGAATAAGCCACGGCACACACGTTAGGTGTAGGGCTAATTAATATGGCTTACAGGTTTGAATGCGGTAACAGTTGTGTTCTGGTAACTCGGTATGTAGTAGATCGTCATACCACCACCGTTCGACTCTTCAAAATAAACGTTACCCTTTTGCGGAACACGCTTATACGTCCCATTTCGTGCGCGGAAAAACATGACTGCAGTCCAATAATTGGAAAAGTCCTCGGCAAAGGTACATGTCGTGCAAGTTGCCGTGCTGGGGATATCCATAACCTTTGGATCCATCGATGGGTTAAAGGCATTCTATAGATGACAATTTATCAGATTGAATTCCTATAACAAGTAGCTCATATTATATCAAGTATTTGTACATACTCCGCCGATAATCTGATGAAGATGTGGCGACCCGACAACGCCGGGGTTGACTAAGGGGTCCAGCCGTTCAACGACAAGTTGGGAACATGAAAAGCGAAGTAGAGCAGAGGCACCTGGCAAAATAGTGCCAGCGCCCACAAGTATGAAACTCCAATGCGGTCGCATCTTGAACTGCTGAAGTCTAGGTAGAGGCTCCCTCGAGTGAGAACCAAAGAATAATGTTATTATGTTTTGACTACCTTATAATCCGTTACTGGTTACTGCTATAGAGATATAGAGATCAAATAAGATTCGAGTAAGTCCTGGGAGCAAAGTATACATGGGGGATCCGTTCTATTAATAGTATAATGCCACCGGTCTGAAGTGCCGGCCTGAAGTCACCGTTTAATATATCATCATTCTAGCCATATTGCCGGTCGGGCGGGTGTTCTGCCCACCAATCAACATCTTCTAGATAGTACTAAGTCCGAATTTACATGATAAGGTCGTTATAGAATAATCCCATGCGCCGACCGGACGGACTTGAGCAATAGGTACAGTTGCTTAAGCTGTTCCTAGCGACGAATAGTCGGCTCATGTGAATGGATCTGATGTTATTTTGAAATATTGCGTATCCTTTACGTCAGAGTTCTACGATACTTGTTATCTGTATTAGACGCTATTCTATTTTTTTTATTAAAAAAAATTACTACCCAAGCTATTATACTAATTCAATGACTGTAGGCTTCTGTTCGCTTAGTCCAGGCGGAAGCCGATTTATCATGCCTAACCTCCGATATATAGGCTCCGTCCCTTCAACGAGACGAAGGACGAGTCCCGGGCCTTTTGTACCACAAATAATATAAACATCCATTGGACTTTCAGCGCCACAAGTTAGTTCCGAGGTTATGTCAACATACCAATCCTTCTCTTGAGTTTCTGCGGCTTGAATCCGCCGCCTTGGGTTAGGTATGTTCTTCTGATAGTCGAATGGAACCCAGGCACGAGCCCGGTATAATAACCCTCGAATAGTTATATTATTGGCAGAGATCTCTGCAAGAGGCCTTGATACTTCTGGGATGTATGAGATATGAAGTATTTCGATATTCTCAAATACGTAGGCGCTGTACCCGTATCGAAATGACCCGGACACCGATACCCATGACCACGATGGAACCATTATATTAGAATTACGCTTCGCAATGATATCATAGTTGGTGCCAAACGCTACGTCAGATTCCCAAAATAGATCAGAAAGTAAGGTTGTCTCCCATAATCCATTCACATATCGACCGAGACCCCTTTCGCAGAATTGTTGTGCTATTCCCGCTAAGGCAGGCAATCTGTCTGTGTCGTACGTTATTCCCTTTAGTAGATAAGCTTCGATTATATCTTCCCACAGTCGGTGCAAGTCTTTCAACGAGCCACCGCGAATCTGAGTGTCAAATCTAGCCTTTAGATCGCTTGAGGAGACAACTTCACGCGTGGTCTCAGTATACTCCCCGCAGTTACATGACCGCTTAGAGAGGCACACCCAAAGTATCTCCCACTGCGTAAACGATAATACGCGTGGGGATAGGAGATACTCTACTCTCATTATTAACTATGAGTATTTTCTAAGAAAGAGGGGTTTCAATCAACTCACCTTGGAAACACCAAGATCGTTCGAGCAAAGGTGCTTGTGTCGAGTACTCTAGGCCGTAATGGGTGCTGGCAAAGTAGGGCGTATGTTCTAGTGCTGGGCGTACACTCACGATGGTAGGTAGGCCTGCTTTAAGGCAACGTTCGGTAGTGTGCCGAGCATCTAGTATGTCGTGTCGATAGAATAAACCACCATTACTATCGGCTGATGCGGTTGCTGCGATAGTGACATATGAACTACCGTACACGTCTGTCATACGTGAGGCTTCACTTATCCAGTCTTCGAGGCTATCCTGGATAATGCAAAGGGAGTCGATCCAAAGATAGCGACACTGAAGCTGTCGTGTAACATATATCGCATCCTGGAATGTCCTCGGTAGCGATTCGATTGATATCCCACCTTTATTTTTACTTAGCGTTTCGGTCGTCGTTATAGAGGTGACAATGCCTCCCCAACAATGGCTCAGAGCTATGTAAGGACCCTTATCGGTCTTAACCGGCTCATATACGAAGACATTGTCTTGATCTAGCGACACATCCAGCACTCTAGTGGGGAGATAGTCGTTCAGACGACTTCTGCAGATATCATGCTTGTCGTTGCAATGGGTAACCCAACTTTTTATTTGTGAAAGATACTTCTCAGATGCAGTATTTGGCTCAAGGTCGCTGCTTGGTTTAAAAGTACCTGATAGCGGGTCGTGTGCTGATATTCTTTAGCTGATATAAACTTCACTAAGCCGTCTTCACGAGTTGTCCGATACCTACCTAAGTAGGCAGAATATACATACTGTCCTTGGTATAGTAATGAAGGCCTATCCATGCTTTATCTTTGGGTGATTGCTTATACTGAAGGCGGAATGGGCCTTCTTCCTGGCGCAACGCAATCCACTGAACTGTCCCCGGACTCACTAGGCAGAAGGCCTCTAGGCCTTCCCAAAGGATCGAGCATAGCTGACAAGTGGGCGCTGAACTTTCTAAATTATGACCCATACCACCGGTTATGAAACCTCCGGAAAGTCCTGGTAGAGGTTCCAGGTTGCGGCATGTAGCACATGAATCCATTTTCGACGCGTTTTGGTTGATGTTTTATGGTCATATGGATGAGTTCAGCTGGAGATAATTATTGATTCCTATTAGCGTCGTAGCCTGAAACTCCAGGCATTCAGGTTGTGTAGCTCCCAAGGGGCCTGTAACGCGTAGTATTCTCGTTAGGGAAAGTTATTGCCGATTTATTGACCTGTAATGTTTTACCTTAACCATGGTACTTCTTGTATCAGATCATCAGCTCATCCTATATCCACTTAACCAATAATATGGTGTGGTTCATCCTTCTACAGAAAACTTGGCCGAGGTCGTTATACAGATATAATAGAGGTCTAATGAAGTTTCATTATTCTTAGCTAGTTACTTTCTTCCATAAAGGTTCAACAGGGGTCAAAAATTACCCCTGAAGAGAAATCTGCGCAGCCAATCAAATAAAGAGAATCCATAATATTGAATCCTATCCACTAGAGTTTACTATATTATATTAACACTCTCTCGACTCAAATAGAAGCATAGAATAATATAGAATTACTAAATTATCGCGTATGCTAACCTCGATTTCTAAACTATTAAATTGTGGGTGAACATTCCAATTCCTTCAAAGAACAAACTCAAGGGGCGATCATAAAATGGTGCAAGATCACCATAATAATTATTTACCATCTAATCCTTAAACTTAACTCTTCTATTCGGAAAGACTTAAGTCTAGACACTTGCGCCAGTAATCTGCAACTGGTAATCCAAGCCCCGACTCACATCGCTAGTAAGTGAGAAGGGATCATACAGATAGAGCGTACTCGGCGTGTTCGCAACCACGAGAGTAGCCTCCTCTCCGCTGGCCAAATTTGCTTGCACCTTGTTGTTTGCCACCTCGATATACCTAACAGCTCCACTGGAACCCTTTACCGCCAGAGTAGCTGTATAGGGCGCCGTAGCAGTTACAGTAATGCTGATCGATGATCCAGTCGCCTTCAAGGGGATAATGTTGGCGCCCATATAACGCGGCTGTCGAGCTGATTTAACTCGATATTTCCCATTGCCTTGTGAATCCAAATTTGCGTAATTAAACTCTTTCCTCTGCTTGTTGAATAAAGCATTAGCCTTTTCGTGCCCGATGTCGACATACGCCATTCTAGCCCAGTAGCGACCGACAATTGTTTGGATTTTGGTAGGCGATGCGAGCTGATCCAAAATGTGCAGAGGGGTCTCATTGCTGTTTCTCTTATATCTTCTCCATACGTTCGGGAAATTCGCCATCCCTAAACCAGCATAGTTGTCTGGGTTGTTCGTAATGTATGTAAGGAATGGCCATGCTTCGTAATAGTTTCCGGTATTGCTTGATCCATCAACGATTACTTGGAAAGAATCGCTTATAACCTTCTTAAGATTCATAAGAGTGTCGCCACTTGGTTGATTATAGCGCGCCCTTGAGTCCGCACAAATCGAAGAAGTTATAAACGTGTCGGCGACGAAGTTAGCGACCGTCTCCCACCATGCTCCCGTCCGACCCTGGTTAATCCAATATCTCTCAGCATACGTGAGAGCATGTCCGAACTCGTGAACAGTAATCGAAGGTGTATTCATCCATTCTGTAACGACATTTAGGAAACTTAGGCCGGTTGCGCTGTCGGTTCCGGTATTGGCTGCAGTGTTAGCCCCTAGATCCGCAACGTCGTAGACATTCATCTTATACCAGGGCCCATTATCATTGTCTTGATTAAATGAGAGACCCGTCGACCTCCATCCTTGGCCAGTTACGAAACAGTCATATGCCGACTCAAGACTCTGGAGTACAGAGTTCGCGACAGAGTCGCTTGTCGCATCATAGACGCGAAAATGCGGCGAGTCCTTGTATTTACTTCCTCCGGGGCCGACCCTCGTGTTCGGTGTGAATTCAGCCGGAGGGGCAGCTTGAACTCGTGTAGGGGCTGCAATCACTCCAGCAGCCCACCACAAGGGGAAAATGGTCAAGGTGAGTCCTCTCATTACTCTGAATATATAAGGCCGTCTCAAATGCAATGCATGAGTAAGGCTTTAAACTAGTTGTAAAATCCTCAGAGCGACGATCATCACTTTTATGGCCGGAAGCTCAACTCATTATGGACTCTGATAACGGAGGCGAGATGTAGTCTTTCCCAAATTGGATGTTTCTTCAATCACATTAAGCGGACAGCCTAAAATGGGTTGTAACCAAACCAGACGACTTATCATCTGGTGTTAGCGCACCTATAAGAGCTAGCTTGAATCAATAGAACTCCTATTATTGTAGTTAAGAGTGAATGACTCTCTTATAGTCCACCTATAATAATCAAGAATTAGTTATACGAACAAACAACCACCGTAAGTTGATAACTTCTCTTTATGTTTATGTCGAGATATGTACCAGAGTATCAGCTAGTTATGCCACTATATATACTATTACTTCACAGCTAAGAAGTGTGCTCTTCGTTATTCGGAAAAGATGCTCAAATACATGGGCTTGTTCGTTTCCACATGCAATGATACGCATAGGGTTAGGACCGAAAATGCCAAGAGAGGTCGAGATCTACAGTTTTAGGCTAGGGCTGATGGTAACCTGGTCCCTTTTAATCTCAAGTCAGCGTTATACGAAGTCGACTCTATGTACAATACTCGAATCGGCCATAAGTATTTGCAGCGAATCAAGTTAATAATGCGATTGCTTAATACATCTTCTATTACCTTGGAAGAATTCCAAGGTTCACCCCCTGAGTATGCGATATTATCCCATACTTGGCTCGACGGAGAAGTAACACTACAAGACCTCACTCTGGATAAAGGCCGAACTAAGGCTGGCTGGGATAAGATTCTAAATTGCTGTCGAAAGTGCTTAAAGGATGGATGGAAATATGTTTGGATCGATACCTGCTGCATCGACAAAACTAGCAGCACCGAGCTATCGGAAGCTATCAACTCCATGTTCGCATGGTACCAACGTGCGGCCGTCTGCTACGCCTTCTTAAGTGATGTCTGGAGAGTCCGCAAAGGCGACGAGCTGGAAACACTTGCTAGGTCACGTTGGTTTACTCGAGGTTGGACGCTGCAAGAACTTCTAGCGCCCTTGTATCTCGTATTTATAGACAGCAGCTGGCGGGAAATCGGCTCGCGGTCGTTCCTTTCCTCGACGATTGAGACGATCACGGGAATCTCTGCATATCAGATGGCCCATTTTAGAGGCTGCAGTATTGCTACCAAGATGTCCTGGGCCGCAGGTCGACAGACCACTCGTATCGAAGACGAAGCTTACTGTCTACTCGGTTTATTTGGCATAAATATGCCTTTGCTATACGGCGAAGAAGAAAAAGCGTTCATACGTCTTCAGCAGGAGATTTTGAGAGTCTCAGATGACGAAACGATTTTTGCGTGGCGAGGTAAGTTAGTACGCCGAAGAGTAGCATCCCCTAGCCAGGTAACTTAACAGGAAAAATATCTTAGAAACAACAATATCCCCGAACCACCAAGATATTCTCTGCGGAATGCTTGCTAGATCCCCTATTTGCTTTGCTAGATCTTCTCACTATGAGCCGGCTATCATAGACGAGAAGCGAGCTGAGTATGCGATGACCAACAAAGGACTCGGTATGACCATTGACGTATGGAGGTATATTGGGCCCGAGATTGAAAAGGGTGCGCGACCGAGACGCTATCTCGCACCGTTAAACTGCTGGTCCATGATAGATAATAAAGCCGTGGCAGTAATCTTGTTACACGAAGGCGAGGAATCCTACGTTCGTACAGACCCTCACGAATTAGCCCTTTTCTACGACGAGGTTTCTAAGACTGATCTCTGGGAGTTGATCCCCAGGAAACGGCTGTATGTAAGACAGGTTGAAGAGTATTCCGGTGCCCCTAAAGACTTATTACAATCAGTATATCACTTCACCTTTCACGCCACGTATGCCATACATTTACGGAAGTTGTACGAATATCCAAGTGGATCATATATCACCGCTAGGATATTAGACTATGAGGATATATATCACGATTCTAATCATCTAACGGTGGCTAGACGCAGTTTTCAAATGCTCATACTCATGGATATTGCGGATATGGAGCTAGTTTTATGCGTTTCTACGTTCAATAACTTCTTTGCGTTATCAGTGTATGTGAAAAGCGACTTCCCGAAGATGACAGACATATTAGATGAAGCAGAGGCGGCATTGAAGCAAGCTACAGATACTGTGCATTTGGGGTTTCCAGAACAGAATTTCGTGTTCAAGGCAAGAATACGGCCCAAGCCAACATTAGACGATGAGGCTAAGGCGGAAATCATCGAAAAGTCCGTCCAACTCGACATAGATTGCCAAACTTACGATTATTTTGATCCATTTGAGGAATGGGATTTATTACCTGAACACTTGAACCCCGAGTGGCGTCCAGTGCCACAAGATCAAGAGCCGAGCCAGCATAGCAAGAGAAATTCAGAACCGAGACGCAGATATTCACCGTCGCCGTCGTCTCTACCATATCAAGAACCACCTACAGAGAGGGTATCTTCCGGAAGCGCTATAGACGACAGGATACAGCAGCAAGTTCGTTCCGCAAATGAAAGTATTTCGTACGCAAAGAAGCAAGTTGATGTCATTGCATCTTTTCGGCGTCTACAGGCACCTAGAGATGGCCGGCGACAGCGGAGTCGATAACCCCTTTTATACAAGTGGGGAAGTAAAAAAAGGGGGGGGAATCAATACTAGTGCTGCTCAAGTGATTGGTGTACATGTATTGTGAATGGGGTCAATTACCTATCAAATCCACATCTACTTATGCATTCAGATACTAGCGGGTAAATAAGTACTTATTATTTATTACAATTATCTACAGAAGGTAACCTACTTACTAACTAGAGCGTAGGTTACCTACCTAAAGTATATGATTTCTAGTAAGACCAAGTCTATAATCTCGACCAGACGATCAAGACTCGACTCAGTAGTATACTATACGGGCCATCTACTTATGATGACCCCTTCGCAAATGCTATCATGAGTTTTCTGCATTGAGCTTCTTCCCAGTCTGCTCCCCAGCGAACCTTGTGCCATCGTACGACGCGACTATTCCGCGCGGGGAGGATCGTGGCCTACTAAGACCTCAACATTATGCACATCGTCTCCTTCGTCCAACTCATTGTTATCTCCAACGGTGTTGGGGATAGGACTGGTACTCACACTTTCCTCCGACACAAGAGTTGATGCGGGAGATGAAGGTGTAGTAGCAGAGTGTGTAGGTAAGTAGGGCGAGGACGTAGGATAAATATGTGGCATACCAGGATTATTGATCATCTCAGGTTCGCGATGTTCCGGTAGCAAAACACGATTTAAATTCGAGTCAGATCCGGCCCTGCTTGGTCCTGCAGTCTGCCAAGCAGGAAATGGATCATCACGTAACGGGGCTATTCCGTCTCGAAACGCATCCCACAACTGTATGTAATGTGGCCAAGGGACCGGACTGGCGTCTAAAAACCGCCCCCTATCTGCGACTCGCAAACACAAGATTGTCGACACAAATTCGTTGAGCCTCGGGTCTGCTTCGCGGCCGGGGCGTGGGGGAAGCGCGCCGGGTCTCGAATTCGTATCCCAGAGTATAGAAAACTGAGCAAGGGAGTCCTCTGCTGAAGTAGCGATTTCTTCTAGTCGCGTTCGCAACCACTCGGCATTTGATAACTGGGTAATGTACGAGGATCCTTCTATAATAATGGGCGAGTTTCTCAGATGGTGATTAGAGAAATACAGCTCGACGCCGGATTTAAAAGCGACCCCGCAAGAATGATAGTAAGCGGATCATGTCCTATATACATACCTAGAAACGAGATGTCCTTGGTCTCACCATTTTCTTCGTTGACAAAGTGGTGATACTTGCATATAGTACAATTTTTCGACCAGCACCGATAATGTCGCTCAAGACGGCAGCATCCAGGGTGCCAAGGACAACGCTGATTTATGTCAATTTCCTCTGCGATATGAGGATATCTGCATATCATACCGTCTGGTTCCTGCCATGGGCTATAAACAGTGTAGCCCGTGATAGGATGTAGAATGCATAGATGACGAGTGTCATGTTCAGGGGTGGTACAATGGACGTAGATCTCAAGACACATCTTCAATCTCCTTAACTACCTATAATTATGTAAAGCAGGACTTTGAATAGAATACACTTTCAAGATAGAACACAGAGCCTAGTAGTGTTGATTAGCTTAATCTCTTAGAAAGTAACTTATGATAAGTAGGTACATCATAGATATATATACGATACCGCTTTGTCCTGGGTATATGATTGACAGTGAAGTCAAGTCTCATCAAATGTTCATCAACCCTATTATCACCCCTCAACGACGACATTGTAATCTAGACAAGCTCTTTGTTTACTATTTGTTAGAACAAAGCCCTTTCGATTTTCTATCACATTTCCTTTGTCTTTGCGGACAGCATCTTGTTACCGACAAAGAGCACCTAACCCAAACCGCTTTCTTTCTCCTAACCAAAGAAGCTTACTCCTACTCTTCCACTGTGCTCGCCCTCTCCCACCTCAATATTCATTTACCGACGCTGGGGTCCTGCACCTGACCCTCTCCCTCTCTTCCCTCACTTGACCTCGATGTGGTTAAGTCAATAAAGACGGTCGTAGTTGGGTTTTGGAGTCGGAGTCTGACGGCTGTGCTCGGTGGTCATCCGGGTATCAGGCTCGCGCCAAGAATCCGACCAAAAATAAATCAGCTCAATTACCCTCAACCGAAGACGCAGTTAGGAAAACAGCTCGGTTGGCTTGAAGTCAACAACCCGGAAATTTAAGTAGGTAGCGTCGTAATATGCGGCTGAGCAGCTTACGCGATGATTAGCATCGAAGCAAGGAAAAAGTGGGAATAGGGGCCAATTACCAGCTACGTACAAGATCCTCATCTGACCGGATGCCGACATTGAGCAAGTAAATTTAGCTTGTATTGTCTTCAATTTTCAATTATTTGGAGGCAACGGCAATATATCTGGTGACGTGGTCGGATACGCGGGACCTTTGTGTTCGCTAGGGTATTAATTCTACCCCATGAGCTTACTGTGACGATCAAACGTACCGCCAATCATGTTATCTGCACATTTTTGTATATCGTGACTTTTGTGTAACCGATTCATGCCGCCACGATACATCATTACGTTGTTGGTTATAAAGTCCTTAGTGTATATGAGATCCGCGATGCAGACCCATATATAGTCATACCCAAATACCGAAGCCACGCTGCTAATGGCACTTGTTGGGAAACACTCCAGAGAGGCGCGTGACCATGCGATGGGGATTACTTGCCTCGGATCTTGTAGCCTATCACTAGAACCTATTTCGTGAACTTCATGCACATGCTCACAAAGCTGTATTAGGAAAAGTCAACCGGTCTTGTCGGTAGTGTGGTAGTGTGGTAGTATGGTAGTAGGCGCTTCGAAGCCACGCTTGTGTAATTGCTTGGTAGACTACCTACGACCAAGTAACGACATGTTTCCTAATCACCGTTGAAATATTGTTTCGGTGGTCTCTCGTTACCATGGGTTCCCGTCTAGACACTAGCCATGAGCTATTCGTTCGTTCAACCAGTGAACAATAAACATACTGTAGCAGGCCGTTAAGAATAATATCTTCTCGAACAACCATGATATGCCGATTCCGATTCCGCTGCCGCATTCCTCTTGCTAGCAGTCCCGTAAATGCAGCCTCATATATGTGTGGTATCAATGTCGCTCCCCATATAACGCCAATTCCGAATCAAGTACCTAGATAGTTACGACCGCAATACTAAGTTGCCGTACTAAGTGACCATGCTGTCGTCTCCGATTCCTTTATCCTTTCGTTCGTCTTGGAGCATCCGAATTAGTTTGTTGATCGTGTTTCCGTCGCGTAGTCTTTCGACCTCTCTCACCGCCTCATCTTCATCCAACCCCTCTGCCATGTATTCTTTGATCTTGTCCCAGATGACTTTTCGCCTCGAGTACCATGTCCGGCCCCGCGGCTCCGGCCGCCAGCGCGAACCCCACGCAGCATCCAATTCCTCAATAGCAGGCTGTCCATCCATTCCCTCCCGGTACTCTTTCCAAACCTCCTCTACCGTGCCGACAGTCCCATATTTATACTGAGGAGGCCCTGCAGATCCTGGTGTTTGCGCAGCCGGTCTAGGTTGAACCGCCTGAGAAGAAGTGGATGGGGAAGTTGGAGGAGGCCTAGCAGGGCGGCTTGGCGTTTGCATAGAAATCGGCGGTCCCCGAGGGTATGAAGCAGCCGATAGTTGCGGAGGGGGCGGGGGTATAATGGGTCGTACGGAGGAATCGCGGGAGCTGAGTGCCTAAAAAAAAGGTGCAACGGGTTAGTGGATAATATAAATAAATTTTGAATACGGGGAATGGCATGAGTTTTTGGGGCATGGCACATACCGAAGCTGCAGCTTGATGGGAGGCCACTAAGCTTCCACGAAGGTCATTTAGCTGTTGGCTGATGGCATCGAATTGCGCCGAGATATGAGCGACGTATTGCTGGTGTTGCATTTGGATCTGGAGAATGGTGGCGATTAATTGCTCGGGGGTCCTACCCAGCAGTTGTTCCTCTGTAACCATAGCGGGTAGGGACATGGCAGCTTGAGGTTGATGATAGAATTGGGTTGCTGTCGTAGTCGGAGGAGCCGAAGCTGAAGACGAAGGAGCAATTATGGGAGCAGCAGCCAAGGGACTCGGATTCGGGATGGGGTTTGTTCTGGTATTAGATGTAGCTTGTCTTTTTGAAGGAATGACGCTTGCGCCGGCACTGCGCTGCAGGTCGGCTGCAGCAGGTCGCTTCAATGATGCCCCTGTCGCTGCAGGGCCTGGACCAGGTACCGGAAGAGCTGAGGTAGTGGTGCTAGTGGTAATGGTTGGGTCCGTGGCCGCGGCCGTAGATGGGGGCGGTACGTTACTAAGGCCGGCCGAGGGCGAGGGCAGCATGACGGGCCCCCTTTAACCAGTAAACTCGTCCGAGAGATCCAGGTAGGGGGGGGAAATAATTAAAATAAAGAGTAGAGCTTCGAGTTATATGGTGGGGGGTTTAGGAAAAAAAGGGGGGGTGTGAAAGAATAAGAAAAAATAGACTAGAACAAAAATGAATAAATAAAAGTAATAAAAATAAAAGTAATAACAGTAAATAATAAAATAATTAAGATATTAAAATAGTTCGGGGAACGGATATATTCAAAAAGGGAAACAGTTTTGAGAATAAAAATGGAAAGAGACTTCTTGGGTGATCAGACGGACGTCCGGGCTAGCCGGGGTCCTATTTCTCTTAGTTAAAAATAAAAATAGTAGAAATAAAAAAGTAGAGGTAAAAGTAGTAAGAAAGATGTAAGAGTAGGGATAATAAGAGTAAGTAAGAGGGAGGGAAATGCCAGGTTTAGATGTTAGGTGAAGAAACAGATGATAGATGACAAAGACAAGGGAAGTAATAAGACCAGGACCAGGACACCAGGATAACCAGGACACAGAACAAGGACAAGCGACCCGAAGTAAATGATAATATGCGGTAGTTGATGAATGATGATATTGATGACGATGACGATAGATGAGAACGCGACTTAGAAAAAAATGAATAAGTCGGCATCTACATTAGTAGTAGTAGTAGTAGTAGTAGTAGTAGTAGTAGTAGTAGGTCCTAATAGAATTGGATCGGAAGCATCCAGCGGGAAGTATCCAGCGGAAGTATCCAGCGGAAGTATCCAGCGATCCAACGATGCGGCAACAGTAACATCAGCTTCGGTATCAAAATGTATCAAGATATCAACCTTAGGTATCATGGAATCATGGAGCTTCGGCATCAGAATCAGCATCGTCAATATCAGTTAAATTTTACCATGCGCGAGATGCGGCGAACTTGACCGAAAACCAAGGATGGCATTCCTATCGTCTACATATGTAATGCAAATGTGTGTTGTCCCGGTTTGTGTCGCCCTGGACGGGGTCACCTGCGGTGTGTGTCGGCTGTCAACGTGTTGGTGACATGTTGTGTGTGAGAGTGTAAAAAAAGCGTAAGAGTTGAAGCCTGATGAGTGTACGTGCGTTGTATATGATTATTGTTATTATTATGATGATGTTTTGTTTCACACCTCTTTTTTTTTTCTTTGGTTGTTGTTCTAAGTAGGTACCTACCTGCATACCTATATTTTCATCTCTTCATTTTCAAGTTTGTTTTGGTTAAAACCCCCGTTTGATAATTTGTAGCAGAAAACGAAAGTGAGTAACTACAAAAAGAGCATTGGGCAATTGCGTCCCCTTAGGTCATAATTGATTACCTTTAGGTATGTACTAGTACATTTAATAATACAATATGATCTCATATAAGATATGGTATCCCGCTAGGTATATGCCGGTGATGAGGTACTTTACCCACTTATAGTGTATCTCGATTATCCCTACCCGTAGCTAAAAATGTGGAATCAACATGGACATCTTGGTTTATCTAGGCTAGATCACGTGAAATCAAAGCTAAAATGGTAACTGGGGGCTACTGAAGGTAGCACTCAGCAAGCACTAGGGTCGTAGTACCCTTAACGGTCTAGCTAGCTTGGCGGCAATCTTGCAATCTTGGCTCATTCAACAGGGAAAGCAGGGAAGACAGGGAAGACAGGGAAGACAGGGAAGGCACCTATAGTGGATCTGGTTTTACAAATAATGGTAATTGGGTAACATTAATTGTAACTGCTGCAACACTGCAACTTTGATGCAGATGCAAACTTCTAATGTAACGCTTGTAACTTTTCTAACTTTTGTAACTCTTAAAAAGCAATCCGTACCTATTAAGTACCAAACTGAGTCCAGAGGAAAAAAGACTTACGCGTCACACACTGCAGCTACAACTATTGTAAGCAAAAGACACATTGTGTTACCTGAGAAGGTCGACCATTTCTTACCATTACAAGAAAAGATTGAAAAAGATTACTGTATCATGTATATTTTTATACATATTTATATACATCAAATGTCAATCAATTCCTTAAACTCTCTTCCGATCTAGATTATCTTTCTTTGACAGAAACCCCATCATTCAATCCATCCAATCATTTAGGATAAGCCGCACACTTACAAAGTAAACACACATACATATCACACTTATAAGTTACCTTTATAAGTTACCCTTATACTTGAGCCCTGCATAAACATATGATTTTCATCTTCTTCTTTTCCCCGGTCGAATTGACACCTACTATCATGCAAAAATAAATTAACTGACAAGACATATAATCTAATATCGTTGCTAAGGCTTTACAATCCGGGCTAGCTTTTCGTATATTCCCCAACGTTGGCTGACTACCTGCGTCTTGTTCGTACTCCATTTTCGTATGGTCCACTACGAGGACGACGTGCAGCATCCACATCATGTAGGTCTAAACTACGGCTGAGGCGGCAGCTCTATTGCTGAATCAGGTATATCCGTCATTACAATCCTCGCCAAGTCACTCAGCCACGTCCAATATATTCAATCCATTCATAGTCATCTCTTAATCAGCTTAAATATCTGATTAATTCTGCATTTGGAGAATGTTACCGAGACGTACTCGAGGGTATAATTCAACTTGAGAATGAGCATATGTCCGGCTACTAGTCTTGAGCAGAAAGTTTTATGTATCTTATAGTATACAGCCAGGAAGGCTTAGAGTAGTACTAATATAGGTACTTTACCGCTAGTTGTGAGGGTTACGAGTACGAAAAACTATGAATATACCTACTACCAAAGGAGTTCAGGCTAGCCATTTCATAATGTCTCACCTATCCTCAAAGTCACCACTTCATGGGGAAAGGGTGAAAAGTACCTAGATATTCATAACTAAATAATTGTACGATACGCAGTCATATTGATAATCTCGTTTATAATAGCTGACACACCTTATTCATTAAGATTCTAGCAGATATATCATCAGGTTATCTCATGTGTTATCGGTATAGGTACTTCAACTCTCAACTCGGTGTTCAAGCAATATAAGGCAAAGAAAATCAGTTTCGTATTAGCTATCATGTCAGCTCATATACCTATCAAAATGGCCCATCAACGTACATAATTACTAATTAAAGAGCAATATTGTTCTACAAAGGAGCCGCAATAAGTACTCGGGTATCTAGTGCTTTGCGATATTCATAAAGTGCTACTCCCAGCTACATACCTAGGTAGGTGATTGGCAAAGTATTCAGGTCTTCGCTCATAGTGGTTGGTTTAGAAGTATAAAACTCCCATGATGTAGCAAGATTGGATTTCTTAATTTGTCCTAAGCAGAATCCCAGAGAGAAAGAGTCCAGGGACACTCTTTTAAATTCGAGGTATGACTCATAATGAATAAGTTGAGAATAAAGGTACATATATGTTTAAAGTTGTGGAATGAAATAGAATAAGCTAGATACAACAAGTAACAGATAGTTGTATCCAGTCAAAGGCCTTTCATTCCTCCGGGATGAAAGGCCTAACTAGTATACATAAGGACAGATAGAACACCAGTTTTAGGATACTCAATCAAGGATCATATTGCTCTCAAAAGTAATAGAATAGGGTTAAAAGTCTTAGCGGGATCTGTTGGGTAGAAACTTTCGTACAGTTAGTATAATGATTAACATGGCTACCTATGTATAGTTCTATGGTGGCTTTTAGACTAGCTTGAACGATATAACTAGATAACCCTTGGAAGCTAATCCTAGTTAGTAGCTGGTCAAAATACGTACGGTTGTTTGGCCTAACTTGAATCCTCTAACATACCGTCCTTTCTTTTGGAGTATCTACCACATTCCTATGATGAACTTATACCTAGATGTAGGTACAGTCCCGCGTAAACTGGTTATCTTGATTCCATAATACCAGTACTCGTATAGGACCAGGTGAAATATAAATCAAGCCTGCTCAGCAGAGAGGCGTGGTACTATCTCTTTGATATTAATGCGGCACATCGCGCGATTGTACCAAGGTTGTGCACAACCCTTACCGGGATGATGTTCTTAGCTGACAATTTCGATAGTGTTAGGACTCTAGATAGGACATCTAGAACAGTTCTTTCAGTTAGTAGACTTACATACTCCAATAGCTACCTTATAATTCCTCGCTGAACAGCGAAATTGTTTCTATGCTTCTTGCTCTATATCGTGATAGATAGGCCTATGGTAGGTAATACGTTAAACGTATGAAAATTCCTTTCCCGTACGAGAAACATTATATAGCCACGGACCTGCTATAATCTACTGGCGCACCATACGCAGTCATATCAGAATAGGTTACCAGATCCTACAGCGACGTAGGTTGGTAGTAGTCCAGAGAGGTTAGTTGCTCTTATAGGAGCTACAAGAGGACTCACTATGTTGCTGCAGTATGTGTCACCCAGGACTGCTCTCTAAGCTACCTCATTTCTCTCGGTGCTCTGGCTATCTTCCTACATCCCACGTAACATTGATGTGTCAAATGCCGCGACTTACAACAATGGGTTGAAGTCACTAAGGTAAGCCTTTTGGAACAGACCATTAGAGTCATATCTCCTGCAGACTTCTAGCAATTTGGTCCGATTCTCCAAGCTATAACCTAAAAGATCCTGGTGACTGAAGGCGCAATTCATGTAGACGGATGGAACTAGTTGTCCCCGCTCAGTCGCGTCTGCTTTGATCGTATCGAGCGTACCCTTCTTCATCCATATTATTGCATTATCATCTTCCTTGTTATTCCAATAGGAAAGAAGTACCGGGACGAGTGGGCCTTCAGCGGCATCAAGACCCAGGAAATTGCCTCTGTGTACAGTTGACTGTTCCATCAACGAAACTGGGTGCGGTTGTAGATTTAAAGATAGAGACACGTTTTAAACTCCCTTCAGGGCCCTTCGGGGGTTGAAGCTCAGCCGTATAGACCTCAGATGCGGCGTTCAGAGCAGCGGCATCTTTCACACTGTGGAGACGCATTATATTGAGAGCATCAATGTGCGGTTGAACTTTGGTAAATGAATCAAGCTCAGGTGGAATTTCGGCTGCCTAGGTAGGTATAATAGGGCTGATTTAATTACATGATACTGCTACCCATCAAAGATGAATAGCCGATGTTCAGCATTAGGTGTGGTTCTTTGCTTGCGTTTGGCTCATGGGGTTCCCGAACCGGAGATTCAAGCTGATTTGGAAGGTTTGAAGGAAAACAGAAAATACATAGTACCTCTCCATATCAGTCCTTGTTTGAATGTTCGCATATCGAAATGAGTCAAAATCCCGAGATTATTTCTCGATCCTTTTAGAGTACGCCACAAGGAGGTATTGGCATTGACAATCTCACCCGAGGCTAGAACAATTTCGATGCTGAGGACACTGTCACAAATGAGTACTTCACGAGTAGAGAAGAAGGACAGGCCGCCTTGAAGACATTAGAAATGCAGTAGAATTGAAGGACTGGAAGGACAACGCCTAAAATGCCACTCCACCGATACCTCCTATCGCTGAGCGGCTAACAGTTACAGAGAGCCTAAAGGCATCTAGTTTTTTTGTATATTTTACTCCAGCGCTCACCTGCGCTGATTTGTACAAAGTCGTTCTTAATACTAATGCCGGTGAGACGTCTAAAACCAAGGGTAACGCCTCCTTGGATGTTCACAGAGCCCGGAAGCGGTTGCATCCCAGAGCCGCGAATAGCGAATTCAACGCCTATTGGCTTTATCGTCTTGGGGAAAACACTGACATCTTTTTTTATTCGGGGGAATATTTCACGTTTCGCCTTATATGTGATTATACGGATACTATATATAAAGTGTTAATAAGGTAGCAATTTTCCTTTGTATTTTGTCGCATAAGTAAACTAACTATGTCTGTTCTCCCCCGAGGGCCTATTTACAAAGCCAACTAGGGTAGTTATAACGTAACTTCTTTCTCCGGGGAGAGCTGCTTTGAACCAGCTCGTTAGAGTTATCTCCCCTTGGTTATATAGTTTTAACCGCCGTCTTTCCCGCCATCGAGAGCAAAACATCTATGAGATGGGCTAGATACGTTAAATACCCGCGAAACAATTATCGAGGGCATACCGCTATCCTCCTTAACCCATAATCTAAGTCATGATTTTGATGTTATTCTTGGCGATGTAACTCTCAGTAAAGAGGCAGTCCTGAGTACGATACCGTAGATGGGTCGCTTGGGGCTTAACGGCGGACTATGGCCACTTGATGGGAACTATATTGTTACTGACTTATATAGTAACCCCATCACGGATTTTTAGGCGAGACAATTTATGCGAGATAGAAAATTGGAAATCACTCGGAAATCGCTCAAATGGGTATGTTTGAACACTTAGCAGTGATAGAAGTCTATATGTAATATAGATAGGGGAAGAAAACCAACTATCTCCAAAGTAATGGTGGATGCTAGCCAATAAATGAGTGGGGGATGATAATTTAAAGCTGTTTGATACTTGCCTTTGGTTGCTACTTACGTGTATGGTCTATAAGAGGTAATCAATATACCTTTCGCAATGCAGTCAGTGAATTCGAAGATATCGTCAAAAGGACCCTGGACGCACGGACTAAACTTGGTTGGACATATTTCTCTTGAGAGAACCCGACGTTTACCCATGCTTATAAAACTTGGAATGTCCAAGAGGTGCAAGCATTTCCCTTGTTTTCTCCGCTAATTTTACCGGACAGGTACGGTATAATATGAGGTTATCTGCACTACTACATAGATCTTATTTTAAGACATGTCACGCAAAGTGGCGAGGTTGACAGATGGCGAGGCTTAATGATCTATACATTGCCACTAAAAGGTTTCTTATTTCTTTGACAGCCCCATACCTGGTGGTCAGTAGAGAATTTAACACAGCGAGGTTAGCGACATCAGCTTACTGGGTAGATTCTCATTATAACTATTGAACATTTCATAAGACGGACGTCTCTTTCCGACGTCGTCGAACGTGAAACCTCATTGGATATTTGATATCACGTCTCATCTTCATGCAAAACTTAATGCCCGAGGTTCAACATCTAAACAGGATATTATTGGAAGAACCCCTCGGGAGGTCTAGAAGCAAGCAAGCGTGCCTAAGTGGGCGTAGGGGGGCTTGCATCAAACCCATGAGAAGGATTAATAGCCTTCTGACGAGGTTTCATCGACAGGTACGCGACGCGCCATTATTGGCTATTTCAACATAGCTGAGTGACATGCACAAGAGACCATTGGTAAAGGTTGCGCCAGGTGATGTTGCCAAATACAGCTCATGATAAACTACATATGTACCCAAGCCACCCTTGTGACGCCCGGGATCAAGAGCCACGCTACCCCCGGTCTTCTCATCTATACAGATTGGTGTAGCAGGAAAGCTTGGAGCAAAGCATGTGAAAGTCCGGACATTCACAAGCTTCAAGAAAATGGCGACGGGCCTCAAGACTCGACAATTTATATTAATAGATGCCCGAGCGAAAGGAGCTCACTTATAAGTCACAACTCCTTTTCATTAACCTCCTCTCTCATACGGAATATATGTACTCATCATAGGACGGGGGTTTCTGCTACTCTCCACTGTGAAGCGGAGCCTGCTTGTTCACTAATGCAGTCGAGGTTTGGGGTTATTTTATTAGCATCGTCAGCGACATCGGATTCTAACCCATCGACGAACCACCATCGCCAATCTTACAAGACTAGGGTCATCCCGTTTTGCCGTTCCCTGCATGCACGTTGATGCAAGGGCTACGGCCGTCATACTCGGATATCCATGAGGCATACAGCACAGAACCGCCCACTATCGTCAAAATTCAGCCAGTCCTTCGTCTTACTTGTCTCTTTACTGCCTTAAACAAGTAGATACCTTCCCCGTTATCTATCCACATGAATCTCTGTCCCGCAACGGTTCCGGGCTCCTGGTTTTCTTGGACTCTTCTTGAAGAATTACACGCCGCCAAGCCCCTGAGACGCCGCTCCCCATATTCCACTCTCGAACGGACCCGTACCTAAACTAAACCAACAATAGTGAAAAGACGTGGGGTCTTTTTGGCGCGCGCACTGGCGGGGTCGTTCCGGTCACGATAATTGTCTCTGGTTCCCTAAAAAAGTCAAGCGACTCCAGACCGCTTCTTCACCCAACAAATTGAGACGATAAACATTCAATAAACCAGTCTTAGCTCTGCAGGGCTAAGAGGGGCAAATACAAGGTTGCTTGTCGTCTAAAGTCATTACCATACTCTATCTATTTTCATACCGTGTATATTCCTGGCACACATTGCCCTATTTTTTTTATATTCGGTTACCATTTTTGAATAACTCAATATTTGTGTCTTACAAGACTACTCCTGAGTTACAGGGCTAAGAAGAACCACAATCAACTTCGGAACGAAAGCGCTTATGGGTCCGCATACGCGGAAATATTCGTCTATATCCACCAACCCCCCATCTTCACCGTTTTCTGCAGATTGAGTTCTTACCCATCACTCCATTTAGGAGTGATTTGAACTCAGACCGCAACTTTATTCTAGCTCCCTAATTATCCGTTCTGAGTCGCCGTCTCACCGCGGTAATACATTAGAAGAAGAAAAAGAAACTAATGCGTCTCTTCTTTAAAGAGGAGCCCATCTACACACTCCCGTGACTGATCATTCATATTTCTTACTTAATATTCAATATTCTATAAACCTCGCTACTCTATTTGGGGTAACATATTTTCAATGTATCAAGAGAATAGTTATCCCAGCCAAGATGTCACGGCTCACACCATTGCCAGCAGACCTTCACAGGTCTCAGTCGACTACCAGTGTCGATACTACATATCATAGCTTCCACAACATCGAACTATACGAAACACCCGCCGCATCTACAACTGATAATAAGATGTTTTCGCGCAAAGATGATAGACCTGAATTCAAGCCTATAATTCGCCATGATTCCGGTTACGAGTCTATATCTCCCCGGTCTAGGTCCATTGAGTCTCGGTCTGCTCAACGGCGCAATTCTACCATGTCTACAAGTTCCTCTCAGACTCGACCGCGAACACGGCCTTCAGTGCGCCGTGCTGCAAAATCCACATCAACCTCACACTTAAAACATCTAAGCGAACAACCTTCACACTCCGTTCAATTACCACAGCAACAGACTACATACTATTATTTTCCACCCCCGGAATCACTTTCCGGAGGTCTAGACGAGGAAGAAGATGCGCACGACACCGAGCTGGCGTATCCTCCTCCCCCGCAAACGACCCACTATTGGACTAGCGATCATACTAGGCGTCTGGAATATGCTGCCATTGATGCTGCGAGTCGAGGTGTCAAAGGCTGGATCATGAAGCACATCGTCCCGGATTGCTTCGTGCCTAAGGCGAATCGACGAGTTGGATTTGACGACGACACCGGCAGCGTCCGGCGGTACCGGCTCGAGCTCGACTGCGACGAGACTGGAGAGAAAGGAGAAAACGGCGGCAAGAAAATGGGCTGGCTCCTGGGCCGATAATTTAACGACGAATGAACTCATGCGACGACAGACGACGAGTTTGAGGATCACGTTATTGCATCCGCATGGTTGAGGCGTTGTATACCCACTTTGATTTTATTTTCATTTTTTTTTTTTCGAGATTTTCGAAATTCCCTTTTTTTACTGTTTTTAATATCCAGACGTCTTTGAGGGGTTTTTCGACGCATTATTTGCATTCGGTTGAATATGGCGACACTAAAAATGGGCATCATAAGGGGCATAACTAGTTGCGAGTCAATTTACACCGAGATTGATATACAGAATACAGACAGAGTATGGGTTGAACTCATCATATATTGGCAATACCACTAGAGTGGAGGGCTTGCATAGCTTTGGGGATTACATTGAGAAGGCTCAGCTAAACAGCGAGCGAATGGATATAAGACATGTAATGATTTAGCAGATAGCTACTTAATAATTACATTTAACAGATACGTAAAGTTATCACGGGCTAATTCAAGCTACTCGGTATCTGTATTCGTGGGTGAATGCTTGGGTATTTTTACAAAGAACATTGAGATGGATCCAAGTTATAGCTTCGTCTCGTATGTTCTCATCCAATCACTTCCCATGTCTTACTCAATCTTCATCGAATGTTTCCTCGGCGCTTAGGGTTTGAACATCCGGAAACTCGTCACCCGACTCGAGATCATCTTGAGTCTCAATCTTTTCCGAGCGGGGAGGCGGGTCAGCTACATGTCGAAGTTTCAGAAATCAGTTCTCTATCTGTCTAGCTCAAAGGTAGATGTAACCTACCGCTGCTTAGTTTTGAATCAACAAAACGCTTGCAAGTTTCCGATCCTTTCTGAAGGACGTCAATCTTCTTGGTAAGTTCATCTCGCATCGCGCGGCTTTCCCGTGACTCCCCAGCGATGCGTTCTACCAGTTCGGGTGACATGTTGAAGACTGCTACAGGAGAGAGGATATTCGAAAGAGCTGCGAGAAGTTTCTCCTCGATGACTTCGGTAGCAATGCTGTCGACAAAACGCTTCATAGCAATCTAGGTTGAAGAACCGTACCTGTTAGCAACCAATTACATGTCACAAGAGCCTAAAAGGGAGCACTTACATTGTAATAAGCATTCATGCGATCGAGAGCTTCGGAAGCTGCGAGACGTTCGATATCGAGTTCCGTAGTCTTAACTAGCCTATCAAGAAGCGTATTGAAGTTGTAAGACCGTTGATTTAGATACGTCGACCCAAGAGACGATAACCCGAAGAATTCTTGTATGATTCGCGAAAATTCATCTCTTTGAGATTGACCGACCCTCTGGATGGTCTCCGCGTACTCTCGATTGTAAGTGATTGGGTGCACGCGTCGATGCGAATTAAGCAGCTCGGTAGTCTTGGTTTTGGCTTGAGCGAGAAGGTCATCAAGAGCCGGCTGGCATACTTGATCAAGTAGAGACTTGCCAATAGGTATATCTGCAACGTAAATCACGACATGCTCGATGAATGTCTCTACGGCCCTCCAAGACTTCATAACGTGGTTCTGTGCGATTTGTTCCCACGGAGATGATTGCTGGTGGAATAGGTCGGCCACGACCATGGGGCTGAAGATTCCAGGGAGCTCCCGACCGCGGGTTCTTTGCATTACAGTCTGAATATGGTTGAGAAGCCCATCCTTAGTGATATACTCGGGACCCTCGGGACTCGAAGTCTTCTTATCTGAAATCTCGCGTTTGTGGCCGCGTTTGGTAAGCTCCTCCGCGAATTCTCTGTTCAAGTTCTGTGCCACCGCGCGGATCCGTTGAAGATATCCTCGAGATGTCTCGGCGTCTTCGAAGAACGTGTCATTATATGTCCCACTGATGGAACGTTCAACGATTGATTGGAAGTCCTGGCTAATCTGTAAAAGTCGAAGCCTTTGTTCGTCAAGAGTACGTCGAGGTTCTCCAAGTTCCTCAAGCTGGTCGCGTGAGTCCTCTAGCTTCAGTTGAATCTCATGGATCAGACTTGGTAGCTCAAGAGCAATTTGACGAAGTAAAACATTGCTAAGCTTCTTTCTAAGCTCATTGATCCCCAACATCGACGAAGGGAGATCCTTCCAAACTCCTTTAGAAAAGAACCGTATCTCTTCAGCATTGCGTTGGCTCAGAAGAGAAGACCCTTTTTGTGTTTCCGAGTCAAGATTCTTGAGTACATGCCAACCGAGGTCAAAATTTACTTCGTCGTTCTTAACAAGTGAGACATAGTGAGACTCGCTAGGAGAACCAGGCACTAAAGTGTCCGGCTTCGTGATGACTCCTATGGTACGACTACCTGTTCTGTCGACCTCTTGAGCCAGATTCAATATTACTTGGTTCGCAATATCATTCTTAGCAGAGACAACTGCTAGAATAATACTTCTGGATTGTTTCATATAGTTCTTAACTACTTGACGAACCAATTTGACATCAGCTGGGCTCTGCGATTTCATCCCCGAGTGAATGAGGCCCGGCATGTCGATGATCGTGAGATGAGGACGATCAGGACCTGTAATTTCAACCCTAAGCCGATCTTTAGAAAATGTCTTCCCCGAAGCCGAGATTCCCATGCGCGCTTTTGCCTCTTCAACCAGATCCGGGAACCCTTCGAAGCCTGCAAGTTCCTCATGGAACTTATTATGGGCACCATTCTGTTTTAGGAACTTGGGAGGATTATCGGGGATAATAGAAACAGTTACTCCAGTGTCGGCTGCTCGTCGAAGAACAAGCTCTGTAGGGAAGCATGTACAGAGGTTGCTCTTGACTGGGAAGGGAACCCCCGAAATAGCTTCTAATACGGAACTCTTGCCCGAGGACTGATCACCACAGACGATTATCTGGGGCAGGGATATGTAATGATCAATCCCTTGAAGACGTAGATGGTCGATGGAATCCAGCAGCTCAAGCTGATCCTTAGAGCAGAGCCCATTAAGAGTCTCCGCGTTGAAAGCGAGTACCATTCTGGCGATAAGTTGATGCGGACAGTTTACAGACTATCCAAGAAGATATAGCAATACGAGTAACGAAGCAAAGATAGCCGTTATGTTCAGATGGCAGATTAAGCATACAACAGGCAGTTTGGTCTCCAACAACTCAATGAGCTACGGATGTCTGCTGCTATTGAAGGGAACTTGCATTTGCATTTGCCCCGATAATATCGAACACTTTCAAGTACGTTACCGCGATCTAGATAAGTAAAAGGCTTCTGATTGTTTGCCTTAGACCAACATTACGGCCTAATCAACCTGACCGGCATGATTCAAACCTCAGTGGCTCGTTTATGGCTCATGTAGGCGATATGTGATAGGCTCACTTTATGAAATACTGTGTCGCTAACTACCTACAGAGCTATATGTATAGCTTAATCTCATCAGCACATAAATCCATAGGCCAAATGGTTTGTATGATATAAAACGACAATAGGAAGAATATCAAGGAATATACCATATTGGCTTTGACGTGAAGCTATGAAATTCCAATTCAAATGCGTGTTCTTCTATCGTTGGTATTTACAGTTGGATGGCAGCCTGCACTGTCACACGGCAGTAAGCCGATAGGGACACGTTACGCCACCAAAGTAGCATTGTTGCTTCAGTTGTAACCACCCTTTTGACATCATGTTTCTACCGATATCGATACCTGCCCCTGAGTGAAGAGAAGAAAATAACCAAAAAGTCAAACGCAACGACTGAATTAAGTACTTCTTTCAAATTAGGAGAAATTAAACCAAAAGGCAACTAATTGACCCATTAATCAAAACACTTGAATAGGCAGTCAAGAGGTAATTCATCTGGCATTGATGCCTCTGCTTGAAATTTATTTATGGATCGAAATAAAGAAATTTTCTTACTCAATAAGGTCTGACTGAGAATATTTTTATTAACTCCTTTTTGCTGTACGTATAAACTCATCGCATACTATGCAGCGACTAGCATATCCCGATTTCACGACCACTCAAGGCTATACGTCTTAGTCTGCCTCAAACGAGTCCCGTTTGCATAGCAGCCGAATCAGCACTTTCGGTTGATCACTGCGTGTCACAATTAGCAAGCGTTTGAACATAGATTAATAAACAGGCAGTGAATATAACACCAAACTATCAAAAGGGGTACGCTTACTGGTTCCACTTCCTGGGTTGGCACCGTTCCAGGTTCCCGTTCCAGGAACGAGATCATCTTGTGTCACGGCACGATCGTAACAGGAGCACTGCCATAGGAGGTGGTCTGGGCTATTTCCTCCCGGCGTGTTGCTAATGCATGAGAAAATCTAGTGTTAGCTTCGCGATCCTACCTTTACAGGAGTTTGAATGTTCTTTGCCAGATGATGGGAGAACAGGGATCTTCTACTTACTACTAATTATTAGCAACTATACATGAAAGAACAGAGAGGTAGGTTGAAGAAGGGCCAGGGGTAACATGTCTCGTCTTTATACATACCACATATCCACCTTGGAAATATTTTCCACTCGGGAGCCAAGTGCCTGCTTCAGCGGTGTTGTTTCCTTCTAGACAAATACTACCACAGGTGTCAAGTATCTTTTGGTGGTCATTATCAAGCCAGTCCGTCTGTCTAAATGTATAAAGCTCATTGATGTTCGTTGCTTTTGGACCCATTACCCAGATCCCTTCACCTCCCCTATTGATAGTAGTTTCGGTAGTGATTGCCGAAGCTGTGCATTCCGTCGGCGTGGGGTCGTCGCGGACTCGGGCTGGTACCGGGATATCGAAGCGCGCAACCGCCGCAGCGGCGCCCGAGGATAAGGCGAGAAGAATCACTGAAGGGAAATACATATTGAAAGAACTATTACGCGGTATGATACCTCAAAGACTACCTGTCAGTAAGAGTAGCGAGATTGATTAACTTTATATATAAATGCTTTAGCCTGTTTTCCTGCCCTATTGGGCGACCGATCCTAACATGGATATTTATCCGAATACTGATAAAAAAAAGAACTTCAATGGAAACGATCTCCGATGATCGCCAAACAAAGGAACTGGGAATAGCCTGTGAGATGCAATTGATTGCCTACTTGCCGGTTGGTTGGTTACAATCATTGCGTATCACATAACGATGACCAATATCTCTAAGAATGATGCGTCGCAAACTTCGTCACTCACTCGCCAATTAGAGGAGATTAGGTAAAGTTAGAGCACAGACTATTAGGGTCCGAATATTCGCTCTTGGTGGGCATGTTTGCAATATTTGATCTTAGTAAAGGGGTTTCCCGGTATGTTTGTATTGAATAGATTGAATTTTCAATCACTATGCGACGACTTTATGGTACTATTTATACTTCATTCATACCGTACATATTTGCGGTTATAACATAAAGCACCCCCGGTATATCAGCTAGCCATAGTATAATCCTATAGCAAATGAAGGATCATCTGATAGTTGATTTACACGCCTTAGGGAAAGCTATACTTCGTTCAAGTAGGTGAAACTCTTCTTTAGTGAAACCCAAAAAGGGGGAGTAAGAGATGCTATAACTTACCTAGTTGACGCTTGAGGACGCGTCTGCCTTATACATGATACCCTGGATGTTCAGTACCTATTCAATATGTTATTATTAAACATTCCCTAGATTGCTATCTTCTGAGGCTTCATTGACAAGAAATTATAGCATGTTAAAGCGTACTTTAAATTGAATTACCGCGATGAAAGCCACAGCACATATAGTGTAAGCTAAATATGTGCTTTATTCTTCTTCTACCTCGTAGGCGGCACTACAACTATTACGGTGATTTACCTTGGGGTCGGTATACTATACCTTAAGAATATCATAACTACACTTTATACATTAATTTTTATCTCAAAAAATGCCCCCTTTTTTTGTTAACCACAACGTGTGTAGGTTGTATACCTAACAAATATAGACCTTCTATGTTAAAATAAGCTTCTTTGCATATGCATATATTATGGCAGATAAGGTAGCCCTTTACCATATGGGTTATAATCATGTCGTCAAATTCAGGAAAAGGAGGTATAGTCATTATTTCCCAGATGTCTTTCTAGTCGCTTTTTCATGTTGATATATTTGGGTATGTTGGCAGGTTAAGCATTAGACCTCGTAAGTATAGTAGATAAGTATACCGGACGGATTTGGTAGGTCTTCTATCAACATAATAACGAGCTGGTTCTGTAAAAGGGACTGCCTATCATGCTGACGGCAAGTGCGGAGTTCTCCCATATCTCGGCAGTTCAACTAGAGGCGGGTTCTTATGAGAGTCTATGAGTTCGCCTTCCTATAGGTTAGGCTATTTAGTAATGATATATTAACCATTACCTGACCATGCTTGGTATTTTCATGAGAGTTATATATGAGAAGGGATCTGTATCAAATCATTCCTTGGTTCTCACTTAGGCTTTTACTATTTGATGCTCGCCCGTGATTGAAATTCAGAAATGTATTATACGTCAATCGCTGGCCTGGCGCTCCTCGCCCCTTATGCCTTGAGTGCGGGTATCTTGCGCTTCGGATGCAGCCAAATCACTGTTGAACGACTTGACCCGTAAGGATCGTACGTTCCGTATCATATTATGTCGTTTCTAAGTAGAACTATTGCAGACTTGTAGAGCCAGGAGCGAATCCAAGTTCACATCTTCATCAGGTACATATCATAAAATACCAAACCAAGCTCAGGGGAAAGCAATACTAACCAGTTATCAGGTCGTTGGAGGGGTACGTATACTGACAGTCTAAACGTCTTCTATTTAATAACAAGAAATGAGAGTAGGATGCGTTCAAAGCTACCATAGAGAATACCGATGTTTCCAAGCTTGCCGGCTGCACCACTTGCAGCTTTAGCGAAGACCTGTCGAACTACTGGACAGCGAACCTGTTTTTCCGGGCTCGAAATGGAACATACAAACGTGTGCCTCAAATGCCTAACCGATTTCTGGATGGGTCGATTGGTGGTGTGACTGTCTATTACTTTCCACAGGACCTTCGAAGCAAAGTGACAGCATTCAAACCCGGCTTTCGTATGCTAGTTGGAGACGCCACATTGCGAAGCGGAGAGGGACAGTCACCGAGAAACTGTTATCGTTGCTTCACGGGCGCAAACTTCGAAGGCGACAATGCGGCACCATGTGCAGACCCGGTTCTGGACACCCCTGGATTTCCATCGACGCCTTGTCCTGGAGGTATTCGGTCTAACATTCATTTTCCAACGTGAGTATAAACGAGTACCGACTTTGCGTATATATCATGTTCTCTCTAATCAAGTGCTGTTAGTTGCTGGGATGGGGAAAATCTAGATACACCCAACCATAAGGATCATGTAACCTTTCCAACGGGTAGCGCGTACACGTGTCCGTCTACGCATCCGGTCAAGATCCCTCAAGTCATGTTGGAAGTTGTTTGGGATACACGCGAGTTCAATAGTATAGACGACTGGCCCGAGGATGGTTCTCAACCTTTCTTCTTAAGCACTGGAGATCCGTGAGTAACCTTCAACTCTTTTCGGCTTATTTGGTACAGTCTGACTGTTGACTTTAATCTAGAACTGGCCATAGTCAGCATGGTGATTACGTGTTTGGTTGGAAAGACGACGCATTGCAGAGAGCCATGGACTCAAATGACTGTTTTGCTGCCAATTGCACTACATTAGTGACTCAATCCTTCGACGTTGCTAATAAATGTGCCATTCAGCGGACAGTTGATGAACCGGTTGATGGATGTAAGTGCTATCACCTAATACATAACCCCTTTTCCGGGATACTTGAGAGATTAATATTTGTTTAACTACCTAGGGTTGGATGTTATACCTGGGTTAGGTTAGCTAGTGTTTTTAATGATATGGAAGTTTTCCTTTCCAGTCTTCATTTCCTCATACTTTCAATTGTTTCACATTACCTTGTTTCTTGTTTGCTTAAGGCTCTTTACCGATGGTTCACAGCCTTCACGGCACCAATGTATAAGTGTGTAAAGGATGGTAAGACAGAGAATAAGGATGGCACATGCATATGAAGATACTACATCGGATTGAAGTTGGACATGTTAGTGTTACATGCATATATCTTTTCACATTCCATCCAATAGCATCTCTCTTCACGGTTCCATCACCGTCATCATTCTCGGTCTTCACCCCTTAAATTTATAGGGGTTCTATATTATCATATGCAGGAACACTAATATTCTGCAAATATTCGTAAGACATTGATTTATTGATTATATCGAAAGGCTGAGACTCTTTAGCGTTTGCGCGTAAAATGGGTTGGGTTATAAGTGGTGGAACATGCGAATGGTTTATTATTGGACCTTGACCTTGATTTGTGGATTTGTTCTTTTCTTTTCTTTTTTGATCGGATGTCGGAACTGTGCTACTTGATGGAGTTTGGAGTTTTATCTTTAATTCCTTTAGATATGTACATACATTCTCTGCAAGCTGCAAGCTGCAAGGGCTATGATAAAGTTTTACGCAGTGCGTGTGGACCTAGCGGCATTGGGACATGAAGTAAGTCATTGGGACATGATTTTACTGGGGTATAACCTACCCCACCAGCCCACTAGCTTATTATCCCTGCATTTACATACCCGGCTTTTACTCATCCATCACGTCGTGAACGCGTTATGTTAGCTACATCCTACATGTTGTATCAATGTATGTATAGGTACATAGCAATTGACGATTGAGGTATGTATACTAAACCTTATATTGTTAGATGCGGTTACCCAAGCTAACGGACGTCCCCTAACTTGCCCGCCTTTGTAATGGACTGAACGCCTAAACCACTTAGAAATAATGTACATAAATTAATGTTAATAGTGCATTGACTCTTTTACCAAGAAACAGCTCGTAGACAAGATTACGATCGAGGTTGCTCTGCTTATTAGTTTCTTGTTATCTATTGGTTGTTACTTGTTGTTACTTTAATCAACCCTGTCTAGTAAACTGAACAAGGTTCATACGTAATAACCCGGAATCTAATATTGACTTGGGGCTTTTTGTTTTTTTTTGGTAGCTATTCTTTTTTCTCCTTTCCATTTTTATTTTTATTTTTACGAATTGCCACGGCCATAGTACTATTCTTGCGCCGTCTTTGTTTACGGCCTACGACTTGTTGTCGTTTGCTCATCCTCGATATAGGAGTCTGTCTAATGCGTTCCATATTTTGACTCGGACTCGAACCCGAACTCGGTGGTTAAAATGGATGAGAAACGTCCCCTCGGTCCCGCCGGTAGTGGTAGTAGTAGTAGAATTAGTGCCCTTCCAAGACCAACATCACGTCTACCTTTGCCTCGGTCTAATATAGCAACTAATACTACCGCTATTTCTACGAAGCCTGTTATCCAGAGTCGACAGCCTCCTGAACCGACGCGAGGGCGCTCAACCCAACCTGTAGCCGCCCCTAATGCCCGAAATCCTCGGTTACGAGCGACACCCTCTAAAGAACAGCTCAGGGCTACCTCGACTGTACGCAAGACTCAGAGATCACAAGCCCCTCCTGTCAACTCGCAGACGAACCGCCGAGATGTCAATACTAGGAACCGGAGCATGTCGCTTGGTCCTAAACAAGCTGCTTCGCAGGATAGTCGGGATACTCGTGGCGAGCCTTTCAAGAAACCCTCGGTACCTAGACGACAGCCGTCGGGTATACTTAGACAGCCCTCGCCTACGACGTCTACGGGAGGGACCTTATCTCTAGAAGAAGACGATGACGATATTGCCGTTGACTCTCTATCGCCTTTACCAAGGTCTACCGACGAGGGTCTTACTTTCGACGCCTTATTGTCACCACAATCTAGAAAATCTCGTCCGTCGCTCGCCGAGAGGACAATTGAGACTCTTTCACAGTTACCTTCTTCCCCGGCTTTCAAACGGCGAGGTAGTAATTTCTTCGAGGGAGAAGCGCCTCTAAGACCGCAATCTAAAGGTAGCGTTAGCTCAAAATCAAGGCCGGGCTCAAGTTATCAATCAGACGGCTCGACTATACGGTCGGTTAGATCACTTAGTCGGCCAGGCTCTAGCTTAGGGCAAAATGAGGGCTTATATTCTAATTTTCGGGCTTCTACTAATACCTTCAAACCACCACTATCAACTACCTTAGGAACTCCAACAAAAAGAGTATCTTCTATAAACTCGAAGACCCCTATCAGCAAGACTCCTTTAACCCTAAACTCGCGCCCGCGGTCTAGCTTGAGTAAAGTTCCTCCTCGATCATCATTATCAGCTTCAATAAGCCCTCCAGTGCCGAGTCTGGATAAACGCCTCGAGGCTTCAGTCTCCAAGAACAGCTCTAAAACGGTCGCTGCTCGTCCTCTGAAATCGAGGGCTTCGATGAACAATTTGTATAGGAAACCATCTCTTCCATCTCTAGACAAACCAGCATCTCCTGCACCCCCGAGCCCTGCCCGCAAAGCCTCTCTTGCTTCCGCCAAATCATCTAGCACATCTGGGGATGGTCGCAACTTATCAAGTGCTTCTACTGCTTCTACGGCACTGACGGTGGACTCTATTGAGGAAGCACCCACGTCCACTGCTCGAAAGTCGTCTGCCGCATTGCGAGATCAGATTGCCAAGGCCAAAGCAGCGAAGCGTGCTGCGAGTCGACAAGTGTCGGTAATAAATGTTCCCGAGGCTGAGGAAGCACCCGTTATCCCTACGGATACTACATTTGATTTCGGCCTGTCTGATGACCCTTTCGGTCAACGTCAATTTGAGAGCGCAAACCGCAAAGTTATGCAATCGCGAATTGATACTGCTAGGACAACAGGAAGGCTTAATATTGCAGCTATGGGTCTCAAAGAGATCCCAACAGAAGTCTTGAAAATGTACGATTTAGACTCCGTGGGTCGTCCTGGTAGTTCTTGGGCAGAGAGCGTAGATCTAACTAGATTTGTGGCTGCCGACAACGAGCTAGAGACGATTGATGATGCAATCTTCCCAGACACCGACCCCAGTGACTTCGCAGATGAAGAAAACAGTGAAGGACATTTATTTGGGGGTTTAGAGTCATTGGATTTACATGGAAATATGTTAATAGCTTTGCCTATGGGCCTAAGACGTCTTCAGTTGCTAACGTCTTTGAACCTGGTGGGTTCCTCCTTTCCCACAAACGCAACTAATGCTCACTATTTTGTAGGCATCTAATAAGCTCACCAACAATTGTCTCGAAATAATCTCACAGCTAACTAACGTTCGAGACCTAAAGCTCGGCAATAACCTTTTGTATGGTCGCATGGAAGGTGATTATTTGGCCAATTTGCAGAACCTTGAAATTCTTGATCTTCACGGAAATAATATTTCTTCTCTTCCGGATAGTGTCGACAAGATGGTGCGCCTTCGTATGCTAAATCTAAACGAGAACGCCTTCGAGGCTTTGCCATTTGAAAGCCTCTCAAAGCTCCCCCTCACTGAACTATTGGTTCGCAAGAATAAGCTCTCCGGGACGCTCATCGGCCCCGGTGTAGAGGGCTTTCCGCAACTTCAAATCCTCGACGTGACGGCTAATCAAATAAAAATGATAACACATGACGATCAGCCTCTGAACTTGCCGTCTCTGCATCAATTTACGGTGTCTATAAATCGTATCTCATCGCTTCCCGATATGAGCTCGTGGACTAGTCTCCTCACGCTCAATGCGGATGAGAACAGTATTACAGCTTTCCCAAAGGGTCTTACGAGCCTTGAGAATGTGCGTCATGTTGACTTTACTAGCAATGATATTAAGGTTATACCTCCCGAAGTGGCTCGAATGGAGAGTCTCATCATGTTGCGAATTACCGGAAACCCTCTCAAGGACAAGAAGTTCACATCACTAACAACCGAAGAATTGAAAGATACATTGGCGGCGAGGTTGGAGCCTTTACCTCAGGCCGAAATAGGTGGGATCGAGCAATTCGGAAATGGATTTTCACTTGTCCCACCTTATACTAATGATACAAAATCGAATGCTCTGGCTAATGGCGACAACGAGGAGGGAGGGAGGTCAGACCCTGACGACTTTGCCACTCCACCAACCTCAGCGCCTCAATCTCCAGCTCGCTCGCGGTCTCATACTTTGAGCAGCCAGACATGGCCTATCAAACCTGGAGGTATTCTTGATCGTTCAAACACACAATCATCTTCGTTGCACCCGGTTGTCTGCTCTAAGATCGCTGTAGTTCATACTATACGTGATGTACAACTCCAGCACAATACTTTTACCCAGTTCCCTAATTCGTTATCGTTTTTTACCGATACAATTACGTCTCTTTCGTTAGCAGATAACCAGCTCACGGGTGAGAGTTGGTTGACGGAACCAATCGACCTTACTGCTCTTCGAGAGCTCTCTTTAGCATCAAATTTTATCACTAGTCTTACGCCACTTACTACAAACCTATGTGCGCCGAACCTACAAAAAGCGGATGTCTCCTTCAATAGAATAGTAAAACTCTCGGTTCTACGAGAATTCTTCCCGAGCCTTACTATCCTACATATATCCAACAACCGCCTAGAAGACCTCGATCCCGAGGCAATCAAGGGAATGAAAGTGGTGGATGCTAGCAATAACGAAATTGCGCATCTGAATCCACGCATTGGACTGTTAGGAGGCACCGGAGGCCTAGAGAGGCTGGATGTGACGGGAAATCGTTTTAGGGTCCCGCGATGGAATGTTCTTGATCGTGGAACTGATGCAACGCTCCGGTGGCTCAGGGGCCGTGTTCCCGTGGCCGAAATGGCCGAGTGGAGAGCGAAATCTGGTGAAGGCGAAGACGATGCTTTGAACGATGTTGACTAATAACTAATACATTGGTGCCGTTATATAAACCTGCGCGGATTTTTGGACTGGGCGTCTTGGGGGTCATTTGTGGACGTTATCGTATAGCGATAGAGATACCAATTTGGGCTCGTGTGAAGTCCTAGGGGAGTTAGGTTGAATTATAGGTTTGAGAATGGGTAGTTGGTGTTTTCAGAAAAGGGAGGAAAAGGTGATAAAAGGTGATGAAAAGAGGTATCCATTTCCGTCCGTACGTTTTATACCTAAGTAGTAATAATGTATGAATAAATAGTGTTAGTATATACTACCTATACCCTACCTAGTTATGTATATAAAAGTAGAAGTCAAATAGAGTCAAGGGCTATATGTAATAAAATCTATGTAATAAAATTTATCTAATTCTTAGGAATGTGTTGCACTTCACAATTAAGGCTAAGAGAAGCTCTAGCATTAGGTACACTAGGTACATGTATAGATGTAGCTATCAGTGCTTTGACCACCTTGGTATGTACTTGCTCAACAGAGAAAGAAGCAAGGGTTAGCTAGGGTCGCTAGGGTCGCTAGGGTCAGCAGGGTTAGGTAGCATTTAGCGCATAGCGCTTTCAGCCTTTAACTTTCAGTGAAGGTGGGCCCTGCCAGCCTTCAGGATTTCTAGGACCTGCTTGTGTAAGTTCCAGTTAGTAAACGAAGTTTTCCCATCCACTTCAACCCGCATCAATACTTCTCCACTTCCACGTAAAACATCCTCATTCATTTGCTTCATTCTTCAATCCACCAACATCCACCAACTCTGATGTGGCAGATGTGGCAGTGATATAATTTTATTACTTTTCTCTCCTTCCTCTTCTGACCGTCCGCGAACTCTTTTGATTCAGTTCAAAAGAGCATGTTGCGTTTTCCGAATTAGATCACCTCCCCCTCTCTTACTACTATCGCCTTCCAACTTAGACGCCTCTACTACTTCGTGTCCAACTCAGTCTTACACCGACTTCATCTAAACAGAAGGATTCAATTACCCTATCGTCCTCATCAATCCTCTGCAATACTCCAATATCGAATACCATCATGTCGGCTGATACTCAAACGAACGACTTGCACCCGAACGGCGTTGTAGAGATGGATTATGACCACATTCCTTCCACCCCTCCTGATATCACGGGTATCGTCCATTCTTCATCACAACAATCCATTCCTTCCACTGAAGGTCCGAACTCGCCTTTTGACCCATCTACTTTGTTCAAGACCGAGGTAATGGAAGACCGTAACCCATCTTCCCAGATTATTCCCTCATCATTGACCCCACCTCCCTCGTCTCAGGTTCCTACGGTGAACGGGGCTTCCAACATGCCTCTGGGTTATGTTAGCTCACAGAGAGCTAACATATTCTCTCCTCCTGCGACGGCACTCCGGACACTTGCACGAGATGGGAGTTCTGTATCGGGCTATGTTGTTCCAAATTCGGATCAAATCGCAGACGCCTCGACCGACGAGCTCCGTACTTTGGTTCAGACATGTCTCGCCGAAAATGCGAGGTTGAAGATGGAGACAGCCCATCACAAATTACAATATAACCTTCTCAGCATGCAGGCTGACGAGGATGCAAAGAGAGCGGCAGTAGAACATGACATGACGAGACGGGAAGTCGAGGTACTACGTATGACTGAGAACTCCCGTCAAGCTCGACGAGAGCTAGATGCGGCTACCGATTCAACTCAAGTCAAATATCGAGAACTTCAAGCTCAGTATGAAATTGTCGTAAAGGAGAACGAGGCTCTTCAGAAACGCATCAAATCTGCTACCAAGATTATTCAACAGCAGAGCGAGGAACGCGACAGCTTGATTGACGAGCGTGACATGCTTCTCAATCGCATTCGTGAAAACAGGGAACACTTCCATATGCTCTGCAGTCCCGGTGGAGTATTTCACGGCGCCTTAACACCGAAGACTCCCGCAGCTGCTTCACCTCAACAATACCGAGCCACACCACGGCAGACGTCCAAAGCTGTCCATCGAGATGTCCGCCAGGACAATGATACAAATCAGGCTGGGTTTGCTGCTCTCCTCCAGGCTTTAAGTCATGATAACAGTGCACCATCTACCCCAACAGCAACTGGTCGGCCTACACTACGAGTGCCTCCAAGGCACACTCGCGGAGTCCAGTCGCTATCGTCTCTACCTACTACGCCAATTGCCCGCCCCCGCGGAGAGTACTCGGGTTTACTACCTTCTGTTGATCTAGTACCGCAAACTGAACCCCCAAACCGGTACGGCACTGGTCGGTATGGTTTGGAGACACCGGTTCAGAAAAGAGGGCGTCAAAGTCGAGAAAGTACTATATCCGCCGATGACAATGAGGAGCTCGCCCGCGCAGCCTTAGAATCAGTAGCAGCGGCTACTCAGTCATACATGTCGCAAGGTTCACGAGCGTCCCGGCGGAGAGAGGAGGAAGAGGTGTTTGAGAGCCAAGCCAGCCAAGCAGCATCCGAGATGCTACGCCGTGATCCGCGGGAGAGTTTTGAGGTTGCTAGCTCGGTTGGATCGCGCGATGGTACGCCGGCACCAGCAGAGAAATCTGCTAAACTACAATCGAAGTTGTTCGCGGGTCTCAATAAGGCTGGGCTCGCAGCAGAGAAGCGAAAGTTTAACGCCAGCACGGAGGGTAACGAGGGCCGCCGAGAAAACGCCGTGAGTCCTAAGAAGATGAGATACGGAGGGAACACGGAGGCCAATGGCCGTGTTGGGCTAGGGATTCGCTACGGCCAAGCAGCTTGAAAAGTGTTTGTTTGATAGGCTGTTTGAAGAGTTTCTGGGAGGGGTTTTGGCAGATGAGAATGGTAACGGTTGCTTATGGTTGGGCAACGGCAAGGCTAGATTGGGATTATCATTCATGCTTTGAGCTCTGACGATAACGAGAATGAATGAGGTCTGTACTATACCCGGTTTTATTATAAGGGCGCTTAAGTCTATTTGATTCTGGGCTCTAAGCGCACTTATACGAAAGAGTCTTGAATCGTCGTAATGAAGATTCTTGAACTGTTTACTAAAGCGCCTTATGCAACAAGCAATTAGGCAATGGGCAATTTGACATGATGGGTTCACGACAATGGATGTTTATTAGTCATGTCATACCAATAAATACGTTAAATACAGAATTGAAACACCATTTACCTGTAGTTTCATCTTTTTTATACCCGTGAAGCTATTGATGAAAGTGTTCCTGTACCCCTAATCCCGGCATCATGTTAACCATATTAACCATGTTAACAAGCTCTAGTTCATACTGTCTACCTGGTAAGGTTAGGTACCTAGCAGCTCCTGGCTAAGAGGCAATAGACCCCACCTGCGGAACCGGCAACCGGCAGTTTGATTATTACTTCTTGGACAATCAACGGTCCTTTGCCGTCTTTTACGACTCTATTTTCCCCCGTTCCTGCTTAAGGGGAGCTATCGTTTAGTTGTATTTTCTTTCTTCTTAATTCTCTGTATATGTTAGGTATTTCTCATACTAGATTATTTACCTCCTTTATATACATTGTGTATATATTGTATATAGCAAGTTTTTGACATTGGATTCCGACATCTATGTAATAAATATGACACTTCCTAGAGGACTCTCTGCTGTACTAGCTAAATCACCTTCCGACACTGTTATCCTCTCCTCGTTACGCACTCCTATTTGTCGTTCGGGTCGCGGTCAACTAAAGAATGCCTACCCTGAAGAGCTACTCTCCGTCGTACTACGCGCCACGCTTGACGTTAACCCGAACCTCCCGCCAAATAAGATAGAAGATGTTGCCGTCGGCGTCGTCCTCTCCGAACTCGGCGGCAGCAAGGCTTCCCGCATGGCTATGAATCATGTTGGATTCCCTAACACTACATCCCTGTACACTGTCAACCGCGCGTGCAGCAGCAGTCTGCAGGGTCTGACTACTATCTCCGCTCAGATCCGTGTCGGTATGATTAGTGTAGGCATAGCCGCGGGCATGGAAAGTATGACGAGGAATTATGCCAGTAAGGCCATACCTGTAGATAGGTGGCCCGTATTAGCTGAGAGCCCCGTTAAAGATGCGCGCGATTGCATTATGCCTATGCTCACTACTAGCGAGAACGTTGCGAAGAGGTACAAGGTTTCTCGAGAGGAGCAAGACGAGTTTGCCTTTGAGTCCCAGCGGCGAGCGGCGAAGGCTCAGGCTGAGGGCTTATTCGACCAGGAGATCGTGCCTGTTCCTACCGTGTTCCAAGAAACTGATAAACAAGGAAAAGAGATTGGAGAGCCGAAACAGATCACGGTAACAAAAGATGATGGCATAAGGCCGGGGGTAACGCTCGAGGGTCTCGCTAAACTCAAACCTGTACTTGGAGAATCTGGAACAAGCACGGCGGGTAATTCGAGCCAAGTCAGTGACGGCGCGGCTGCTTCGCTTGTGATGAGGCGGAGCACCGCAACAGAGCTCGGGCTAACGTCGAGTATCATGGGGAAGTTCGTAGCTGCTACTACGGTCGGTTGCGCCCCGGATGAAATGGGTATCGGCCCCGCGCTAGCTATCCCGAAGCTTCTAGGCCAGCTCGATATCAAGTCAGAGGATGTGGATCGGTGGGAGATCAACGAGGCTTTTGCTAGCCAGTCTGTATACTGCTTGAGAGAGCTTGGTTTACAGGAAGCTTGGGTACAGGGCAAGGTTAACCCCGACGGAGGCGCTATTGCTCTAGGCCATCCGCTCGGTGCTACGGGAGCTAGGATGACGGCTACGTTATTGCATGGCCTAGGACGGACCGGAGGACAGGTCGGTGTGGTGAGTATGTGTGTGGGTACCGGGATGGGGATGGCTGGCTTGTTCGTCAGGGAATAAGCTGAATTTTGGTGTATGTCTATACAACGACGATGGTAATCATACATACTGTACATACAAGCAAGTCGAGATGTGTCTACTACAATTGTCATGGTTCGTTCTTTGTCTCCGCGTTTAAGCTATAGATTACTTTGAGGTACGCGATTTGTCGACAAAGGCTATGTGAACGATCAAGTACCATAAAGATAAAGGAAAAGAAAATAATACGCATTGAGGTCTTTTTTTATCCATCCTCGAGACTGCTTTCGGCTTAGACCACGAAAACACATAAGGAGATGGTTGATGGGTTTTCTATTGTTATACCTAACCCCAGCTAGAAGCCAACCCCCCGTTGACTGGGCGAACCATTCGATATCTTCACGCTGCCTTGGGAGCACCTCACGACTCCTTGATTATAGTATAATTCGTGTGCTTGCCCAATCTGATGGTTATACATGGGATGGAATAAATGGAATTAGTCTAAATGTTGTACTTTGTCTTGCTTTCTGCCACCAGTATGTATTATCAAGAGTTCCTTGCCTCTTCGTATCCTCTCTAGCTAGTTACTTTCTAGAGGTAGTATCTATTATTGCTTAAAGGTTAAGCTATTGTCCGCTCAAATTTAGACAGAGCCGAATACCATATATTTCTTATATTCCTTTACTTTCCCTAATTCGTAGGTGCAAACTACTGACTGTCTCTTCTATAGTCACCTGGTGGACGGTCTTCACCGTATGGCTAGCGCGATACCCGCAACTTCTCTTCCGCACCGCGCGCTGGGGGTTTAATATCTGGATGCTAGTGTTTGGGTTACTAGGCATGAGGGCGGTAACCGCAGGATTCGACTCCATCGATCCCGAGGCCATGAGCAACTATCCAGCCCCTAGCACCGTCTTCTGGTTTTTCTACGTCTGGTACGGGGTAGTGTGCCTCAGTGTTGTCTACCAAGGATATCTTACAATTGCCTTTCTTGTGCTTCTCGGAGTGGTAGTAGGGTGTCCTGAGCTGCGCACATTGATGGATCATGGGCTGATTAGTCTCGGGTGGCTGGATTGGGTGTATAATCCCGGCTTTACGCTGATTGTGGAGATACTGAGCGTTGGTCTCAAACACCGGACATGATAAACGGATGGTGGCCTTTTCTTTGGATAGTAATGGTTTTGCTAAAGCTAAGAGCTGGTAGTCTAGTTAGGGGAGCGACTGGTCCTCTTTGAATGTCTATTGTTCGAGGATTATATCATAAAACCCCCTTACCTTGAAAGGATTCTTACCTCACGTATCATGCTCATTGAGATGATCTCTTTGTGTAAACAATATAGATTGTTCTGTCTGGACAAGAGGTAGAAAAAAGCATAGTTCGAGATACAAAGCTGATCCAGACAACTTGTCATTTATCACTTGCCTATATCTAGACCCGGGGTCTTCTCCGCTGATAACAAACGAGACAGCTACTCGACGTGTGAACCAAGTCTTCTGAAACTAACAGGATTTCGTTTCTGCAAATCTCACCGTTTACCCATCCACTAACTTACACATTACTCCCTAACCCTAAAATAATATTACCAATGGTTGCGGATTGGCCATACGGCGGAGACCCCTCTCCCAACCCCCGGGGTCTTATCGACGATGCCGTAGCCGACGTCATCGCAATACTACGTCTACTAGAGCTACCTGAGCCCCACGCCTCGTTCCTCTCCTTCGTCTTCCATACCTTGTTCTATGTCAGCATCTGCGTGTTCGCCAGCTTCGTATTTTTCGTAATTCGGCAGTCCGTCTTTATTACCCTCTTCCGCTCCCTTACCAGCACCGAAACCCGTCGTAACCCCGAGCCCTGGAGCGTAACGCTATGCAGGCTCATAGACCCCCACCACTACGACAACATCGTCGCGTTGTCGTGCTACCTGACCACCTTCGCCGTGTCGCTGTTCATCCTAGCCGCGTCTGTCGCCGCTAGCTCCAGTTGGATAGCCGCGTTCGCGTGGGTGATGATATGGTTCTTGTGGATATACGCAGGGTGGCGGTACTCCCAGCCCATGAAACCGCGGTACACGGGGGAGGACGTAAAGCTCTGGAGTGGAAAGGGTTTGTGGGTTCACACCATACTTCTAGTAGCTGCCCTTGCTTATTTTACAACATTGTGTCGGCAGCTCGACGATGGTATCGTACGGCTTCACGAAAGCTGCGGTAACGCCAGCCCGGCATTTTTGAGAAACATGGCACATGAGATTATGTTTAAACTTAACCCTCCGGAATATAAGGTAGTCCCACCTGTGGAGAGGTATGGATATACCTCGTGAGGTTAGGCTTTGCTAAGAATCTACGTGGTAGATACGTAAGGTGGGGGATGTCATCTGCTTTTTAGGCAATATGATTTATTTAAATTTATACGATTATAATATGCAGTATTAAAATATTTATTCAATATTCCACTCTATCATCTCCTTAAAGAGCTTCTTATAGTGTTGCTTTGCGCTACGGCTATTTTAGTCAATAAGCCCCTATTACGCTTTAAATTCATTATAGTGTATGAGATATTTATGAGAAACCAGGCTGAATCATAATCCACGCGATTTATTTGCTATTTAGTTTATATAAAGACATATGCATTGTAGAATGAGAAATCCATCGCATCATATCATCCGTAAAGCATTACGAGTGTAGTAGAGCAAGCATTGAATCCCGATGGTTCATGTCAAATGTGAGGAAATCATCGCAGATGTAGTAGGTCTGGTGTGCCAGATGCCTGTAGATGTTGACCCTCCTATCTGGTATTTCAACGCAACGCAGTATCGAGCTAGATCGAGAGCTCTGAGCTAGTAGGAGTCAATCAATCGACCACCGTCGAATTTTCAGGGGATGTTGCTGTGGCGGATGGTAGGGAGGCTAGGCTTTGCTAATGATGCTACCTTCATCAGCATCAATAAAAAGGGTACCTATCAGAATCTTCGCTTTCGGATTCCTCATCGTCTATATCCATCACGTCGCCATCTTCCTCGTCATCATCATCCGATTCATCTTTGATGGGGCAGTATTCATCAGGAATCGAGAAAGCCTCGTCTTTCATATGAAGGTCACTAATAGCTTCCTTCCCCTTCCATTTGAAAGCCCATTCCCTCAGGGCGCCGAGAACGTTCTGCTGCAATTCAATATTCTCTTTAAGTGGTTCCTCTATTTTATGATCGGGAAATATAGCCTTATTCAGAAATAGCTTGAAATGATCTTGAACTTCCTGAATAGCGAACTCAGATATTTCTTTGAGAGTTTCGAGAAATTGAGCGAAAGTTTCCCCGATTCTATGACTCGTGTCATTGAAGGCAGCGTCGAGCATTTTTCTGCCACTCCTTCTTGCGAAGTCAACCAGAAGCTGCTGTCGCATCTTGAAAGAACCATTCCCTAGCCATGTAAGTTAGATATACTTATAGGTAGAGCTTGGTGTTAGCCTACCAGTGATTAGTCTCGCCTCCTGAAATGTGGAACGCCACTTTTCCGTGATTGAGTCGACTATATTCGGATGAACCTTGGATGCACCCTGTGTGATATTCTTCAGAGCTTGTCGTAACTTGGCTTTTATTTGCTCCTTGACGACGCGAAGATCGGGTATAATGCTTCCCATATTTGGCAGTAATTCGGGGATAGCTTGCCCTACATCGATCAATAGTTGCTGTAAGAATCCATCCCATATCCTATCAATAGTATTGCAAGCCGGTTGCTCAAGTTGAGGAATTTCGTGACTGAAGGCCCGATTCCAGTCAGCTACAATAGTTCTCAGCAAAACATCTGAGCTAATTTTGAAGTTAGAAATTAAGTATGTAACTTATGCAGTAAGGGGAAGCTCTTACATATCTTGCATCCAGTGGTAGTCTATAGAACCACCCTTCGACCTGCTTGTGAAATTGCCACCATACCTGACTATATTGGCTTGATATGTGGTCCAATGTACCTTGGTCGCCGTTACGGGATTTAGAAATGCCCAATTCTGTACGACGTCGCGACATTCTGCTACGCAGTTGCTAAGGGATCCTCCAATCGTCGAAAATGGATTGCACTCAAGAACAGACCTGTTGAGTTCTTTCCAATATATCTCCAGATCCTGTTATCACTTGGTATTAGCACGTAACTAATACTTAGCAATAGAGCGGAAGTTATTAAATACCTTTTTCACGGTGTCGTAAAAGGGTGGGATTATTTCTTGTTCCGCCCATTCCTTATCAATGTTTAGTTGGCTACAACTCCACTCATCCATTGTCCATATTTGAATCGTATTCAAGAGGTTATGTAGGTCATGTAGAATGCTATCCGCATGGCTCTCCCGCTCTTCGATGGTGGCACTGCGAATCCATTGGCGGAGATTTGGAATTCCTGAGCAACGCTCTTCCGGGAATCCATCCACAAACTCATCTTCTTCATCCGGAACACATCCCCAAAATGCTTTGGAACTGAATGGACAGACAGAAACTGTACCATCGTATAACTCACTATTACCTCCAACGCTACTAGTAATGGATGCCTGTCTTCTTTGAAAATCATGTTGTATACGACCCTCAAGAAATTGGTTCCTATTCTTCACACACTGGAAGATGATATGATCAGTGTGTTTCTTTAAATCATTTTCAGTTGAATGGAGCTCTGCCGTAAGTGCCTTGATATCCCCCCCTAGTTTCTTAGCTAGACGCTGCTTATCTCCGAATTTCTTTTTCGTCACTCCTATAATAAACTATTAGCAAGATACAACCAAGGGTCATGTTTTCATACCGCTACGAGTCTTCTTAGCTACAGTAGCTTCAAGTTTCTTTATTTTCTTCTTTGCAATCTTTAGTTTGCCTTCCTGGTCCTTCTTCATCTGCCTTAGAGTCTTCTCTTCATTAATTAGTCGTTGTAACTTTATATCAGTCTTAGCCTTTCGACTTCTCAAAGCCGAGTCGCGATCAATCTCGTCTATCTGAGAAATAGCGACGCAGTAGCTACGCCTATGGAATTTGCCGTCCATTTTCATTCGTAATTCTTGATGCTCTGACATAAGCTTCACGGAAGTAGAGTCGTCAGCCGCTCTTCGGGCGGGTGTCACGATAAGAGTAGCGGCCAGCTTAGGAAAATATGCCTTAGCTACAGCGGCCCGACTCTCTACCCAGTCACAAAGCCCAGGCAAATCTACCAGGACAACCCCGTTTCGAAGTATTTCAGATTTAACGAATATTTCCACCTCATCGATGAGGGGCCAAGCTGCAAATTCCAAACCTGACGCTTCATGATCTGTAGTAGTTGAATCCATGTATGGTTTGATCTGTTCCGCTATATGATCAAGATCGCCGCCATGAAATCTCTTTGTCGTCCCAAGAAGCTCAAAGACGCCCGGATTTGAGTGAATAAGTGTCTGGGTTGTCATGTTTACAACGTCTTGCTCCTCGACACCAAAAACCGTTCTAATTATCTCAAAGGTAGGTCTTAGATTGGCATCAATGGTCCGAATAGCTTCCTCATCGTCTAGTGAGTCGGTATCTGTCGCTTGCAACTCATTCCTAAGCTTTAAGTCTTCAAAAAATTGGTCTAGCTGCTTGACGAAATTTTCCATTGTGCGAAAAGCGACGCAGGCTCGGAATCTCATAGTAGGCCTATCGTCATCATTGTAGGCTACCTTACAAGGCACCGCGGTAGCAGCCTCCTGGCTATTAGTCGCCAAAAGCCCCCTTAACCCAAGAAGGGCATTAAGAGCCGAAGTCTTCCCGCTGCCGGTTGGTCCTGCGACGCCAACAAGGACTTCGAATTTCTTATGAATAGTTATAAGAGCCTCTGGAACTATCGTTAGCATGATGTCTCATTGAGTTATAAAATACGTACTGCATTTCTGAATCCATCTCTCAATATCTTCCCACCCCTGTGGGGTTGAAGCTGATGCGTCACTTGTACAGGGTTTATTGGGCGAAGAGGATTCGAGGTATTTAATAATCTTCTCGCATTGCAAAATGCCGAACTCAAGTGCTTCCTCTTTAATTTTAATTCGTTTCTGGTCATCATAGTGACTGCATGAGTTCCATGCGAAAGAATCCGGCTGCTTCTGTTGCGTCGTCGTGCTAGCAACAGGAGCTGGGCATTCCGCTGCCATGCTATCAGCGGTATTGAGGTTGGGCGTTTCTTTCGATCGGTGCGATTGGCGATACGGTAAGATATCGTAGATCAAGAAACGGACGTGATACCAAGGTCTTCCGTGAGTAGACTACGATGAAGTATATAAGTAAGAGGATATCACAAGGAAATAATAAGAATAATAATTGGTCAAAGAGGTGAAGGTAAATGGATGTTAGACTTCCCGCTCGAAAGCGGAGGGAGAGTTTGGGGGGATAGAAAGGTAGATGTCAAGAAGGGGCGTTGATTGAGAAGCTTAGTACTGATCAACACTAGTATAGAAAGTCACACGCCGAAGTGCTCTTGCCCATCCTAATTCAAGGCAGGTAAGGAATTGGGATTAGGTCATTTTAAAAATAGGTAGAAACTGCTGAGGGTGTAAGGAATATGATATCTAAACGCAAGGTAATAGGCGATAGTACTGATAGTAAGGATGCCACGAGAGGGTTAGGAAGGATAGGAAAAACCATTGGCTGGGATTACTTACCATAGGCGAGAAGGAAGCTTCTCGACGTCGTGTGTAAGGTGGCAAGTGAGAAGGTATTAGAAGAGTAGCTGCCTCTACTGTAACTATGATACTAAATACGAACGAGACCTAGAATAACTAAAAAAGGACGATGCGGTGAGAAGATCAGTAGGTGATTTAAGTATGGATAGGTTGGTGGTACTTGAGAGCTGTGAGCTATCTCTACTCTGTAGGAGCGAGGCTATATTTCTAAGGCTGCGTTGCGATATAGATAAGGTGCTTAATATGTTGTGATATATGAAATAGCCTATATTGTAGTTGGTAGAAGAGGTAGGGGGAGGTAGGTAGAAGTAAGTAGGACCAACATAGGATTGTCACAGAGAGAATGAAGTACGAAGAGGGAAGTTACGCCGGCCATGAACAAGCAAACAAGTATATTACGAACAGTATTCCTCCTATGGCAACTACCTAGATACATATATCTTAAAACAATGTTGCTATATATATCCTTAGAACGAGTAATAGGGTCGCTGGTACTAAAACGCTAAGAAGGCGCATCTGAAAGGTAATCATCGTTTCAAGGACCGCCAGCGACCCCTCGCTTTCCACACATCTTACCCAAAGGTTACGCTCATCCCCTTCCTGGGAATGCTCAAAGCCGTTCTGCGCACAATAGTCGCAGAAATATACACCGCAATTGCTACCGTAAGAACACGTCGTGGTAGGCGAAATCCTCTCTTGTAGTTTAGCTATTCTCTCGATATCAATAATATGATCCTTACTGTCCGAAATCTCAGCTGGCTGATTCTTTACAGGAGTATCATTACTTAGCATAAGTTTAACAGTAGCATAGTTAATATCCTTTGAGGACTCCAGTAGAGGAGTCCATTGAGTGTACGACATGAGAGCGAGGGAGTTCGGTGGCTGATTTAATAAAAAGGGGTAAACGTAGGTAGCTACTAGCTTCCCGCGGGGATTCAATTACCCACGTATTTTACATGAAAGCAAGAATGTAGAATTGTTACATCTCGGTACTAGGAAATAGGCCCAACACAGCTCTTATGTTACATTTCCAAAGCCACTCTTTGCATTGTCATTGACACTATTACCACAATAGAGCTAATAATGCATTGTCTGAAAGATAAAGCCTCGGCGAGGCTTCTAAAGATACCTTTGAGATGATTAGCAGATACAAAGCATTACTTGCAACCCTTGAAAGGATGGCATTGCCTCGTATTGAATGGCTATAGCGGAACCAATAGCTGTTCACAGTGAGCTATTACATTGAAATTATTAGCCTGTGTAGTACAAGAGTATCTAAACAATAGGCAACGTAAATCGAAGTGACTTCGCAACATAGACACAAGGATTGAAATATGGCATGACACTTAATGTAGTCTCAAACTCACTCTCATGCAGGAAAAGCCTCTGTGCTGGGTGTATTAGGGTCACGAGGGTTACGAAGGTACGCCTCTATATCTACCTACGCTTCGAAATGCTAACCACGTCCTACTAACAACGTTTAAAATATATCTCCAGTACATATCCATAGCTTCGGGTTGTTGTTCCTAGGAATGTATATATTTTATTAAATATGAGCTCATAAAAAGCTACATGCATTATTTAATAGGGGGACTACTAGGTACATCTACACAAGACATCTACACCTCACAGCTGCATCTTCATCCCCTGTATTAACACAAGGACATACTCAGATCAATGTAATAAACCGATATATGAATTCTAATTACTTTGCCACTAATACTGAAACCTTGAAGACCAAACCTTCTTAATAGCCCCCCACGCCCCATCATCATCTTTCTCCCGCTTCTCGGGATTCTTAATCGCCTTGTCAAAAGCACCATTCTGGTATTGGCCATTTAGCTCGTCCAGGAAATTCCCAATACACGCAGGATTAGTCGGCCTCGGCCCGCGCAATTCGCGGTCCAAGAACCGCCAGGCTAGATGCACAAGCTTAGTCTCCTCGGCCGGGTTATCCTTGAATTCGCAGAAATTCTTCAGGTAAGTAATCCAGTCTTCAAACCTCCTCCCGCTCGCTAGATTCGCGGCAGTATAGTAACATGAATCCCTACTCGTGAGGTGGTTAGTTTGCCGTTCTTCTTTTAAAAATGCCTTCACTGCCGGTTCACTCTCGAGCTTGATAGGGGGACTATGGCCTTCCGCATCGCGATCCCTTCGGCTCTGCTGTCGCCAGTTTCGATCAATGAGATAGAAACGCTGCCATACATTATCGCTGAGGTGTTTGATTTCCTCGAGCTCGTCCTGGTAAGTGGGATATTGATTAGCGGCGTTAGTACTGTCAGCAACAGTAGCATCAAGGGTGTGTTTAATGCCTTCCTTCGTAACTTTCCCTGCGCGACACTCCAACTTTAACATAAACTGCGACATCCTAGTTAGATTCCTCCGAGCGGTAGACAGTGCATAGGCGATCTGTCGCTCTTGGAATTCATCGTCAGTTAGTTTGTCGGGATCTTTGGAGGGATTTTCTAATATTGTGATGGTGTTGTCTCTCTTATTTGGTCTTGCAGGCCGTGCCGTTGTTGGGGTATCATCATTTCGTGCTTTGCTACGGAATATCCAGTCACGCTCGGGGATAGAACTATGAATCTCAGCGACTATTCGCTCATCTTCACTATCATATAAATCGAAAAGCTCTGGACCTTCATCCCATACGCAGACATCGTCATCTTCATCCCCTCCTTCAGATAGACAGTAGGCGTGATACGGAGTGGTATCGTATACCGATGCAATGCTGTAATTTCTACCCATATTGTAGATGTATTCAGTTTGAAATAGAACATAAATGTAAATAGTGTATAAGCGTCAAAATTCTTTCTCTATGTTGCGAATTCAAGTTTAATATGGATGCTCTCCTATCAGGTAAACCCTTTATCTACTACTTAAGCCAAAGGCGCCTTTCATTACTCCATGTTAACAAAGCATATCCAGAAAGGCAAACATGCCTATTGTTGAATGCTTTTACATTTCTCAGAGAGAAGAGAAATGCCAATTTCCGATTTTATTTCGTGTCCTATCTACGTTTCTTTGTTTTGATTGTATTTTTGACAATAGAGACCTGTCGGGTCACAGAACAGCGGTTCTATGAGAATTCAATAATCCATCCGTCACCCTCCGATCCTCCGGTTGCATTACAACCACCCCATAATACAACATTCCGTCCATCAGCTGTCATATCGTAGCCGAACGAACTTCGCGGACCAGGATGAACCTTACCCTCATGTGCCTTAAGGTCACCGGGTGGCTGTACTTCGACTTCAGCCCAGCTAGATGCCCCCGTATCGGCCCCGAGTTTTGAGCGTATCTGGTCTTTGATCTTAGCCGGCTTGATCGCCTCCTTCATGGTGGCAGTCGCTTTGACTTCTAAATCGCTAGATGGAAGTTGAAAGGTCCACAAATCACTCCACTGCAATAAATCTCCTTTTTCTACTTCTCCTTGACAATCGCCAAAGAAATATAGGAGATAGTTTCGACCGTACCCCGTCGTGATGGGTATCAGTCCACCATGAGACCTCGGCCTAGGTCCCGGCGTTAAAGGGTTCGTGGGAAACGAGATGGTCTGCCAGGTTGAAGCCGGCTCAGTGTACGATTGGATTTTAAGATAATGCACTTCACTACCAAGCGCATCAGAGCTAGAGATTGAGTATAACGTGTGCCCCGAAATTGTTGCACTCGTGACGACGGCCGGGGTATGCGGCAGCTGATTCCAAATTTCGGTAAAGCAATTATAATGCCAAACGTCTGTAAGCGCTTCACCATTTGAATTTACCCCACCGATGAGGATGAGATTACCATCGTGAGCGACTAAATGTGCTTTGCTTCTCGGTAGTGGGGTTCTCTCTGGATGGCTAGAAGGTTTAAGAGTACTCCATGTGAGTTTCTCGACATCAAATAACCAGATTATAGGGCCTTCATCTAAGACATTTCCAGATTCATCGCAACCCCCGTATATAGCGACGCGGTTATTCAATGCGCAAGCAGAATGCTTAGTTCGTGGCTTAGGCACGGGCCCGTCGTTCTCCGTAGAAATGGCTGGTAGTGCCTGATATTCAGGTACAGCAGAACTGGCTTTTGGCAATGCTATGGAGTGGATGGTATTACTAGCAAGTTTTCCTTGGCTCGTCTGGCCTCCGAAAATGTAAGCTTTGTCACCAACTACGGTAAGTGTATGATGAGATCTAGTGAGTGAAGATCTTTTGAAAATCAGTATAATACGAAAGCGAGAAGATGAAACTCATAGAAAATGCACGTACCTTGAAGCATCATCTGAAGTAGATGCAATCTGTGAAAATGTTGCCTTTAGAGGCATAGTAGGTTTTGCAACGGCATAACCAGTCGCTCCAGCATAGATGCTCGTAGAGACAGCTTGTTCTGCTGCCCAGATCCCTGCTACAATCTCCGCCATTGTATTTTCTTTTGTTGACTATTTCCTAGATAGTTGACTTGTTACTTTTGTTTAGAGAAGTTTAATTAAAGAATAATTATCATTATTCTACAATGTTTGTAAGAAGAAAACGATGACGTATTGTTGATAATGGGTACTTCGCCCATGTAAGTGACGCAATATTCATTACAAAATTGCTTATTATAGAAATGTGTCTAACCTAAAACATGCAGCCTTTAAAGTCTAAAAGAGGTACCTAACCTATCAGCCCTACCAATTCTTTTTTACGATAGTTAAATATAAAATATCTTATTACAAAAACATCATGCTGTAATTCGAGAATGGTAGCATGCTCCGAATATAAAGCACACATGATAGCTGTGAAATGTGATAGGTACCTAAACTAGGGTGACAGGCAATTGATATAACTACCTCCTTGTATCTTGACAAGTCTCGTACCTGCATAAGCGAAATCCGTGGAACTGGAAAACTACCCATAGCTCAATAAAACCTTGATCGGCATGTACATAGTACCTAGGTACCTTGAATAAAAATAGTAGTGCACACAATGCGAAACTAATAAGTAGACGTTTTGATAGCTGCGCGTTTTTTCAAGTTTCTCAGCATTGAAGTTTCAAAGCCAGTGTAAACATTTCGAAAAAACAAAATTAATAAATCGCTTACATAGGATCTAGACATTAGGTCCCGTCATCCCGCCATAGGTCCCGTATGTACGAACGGGCGGGAACAAGGATTCTCCGCCTTACATATATGAATATCACGTGGATATTCCACATATGGATCGAAGAAATACAAAGGTACTTTTTTCAAAGTACCTACCTTATATATTGTTTGGGCTACAATAAGAAATTGAAGGTGAAAATAGTCAAAAGTCTCCGGAATGGGGTCATCGGATGAAGAAAATGAGCGTCTCGCGCATCCTAGTTTTTGGGATCAGCGTTATGCTCAAGCCGAAGGAGACCGACCAACTCATGAGTGGTTTAGGAATTTCGTCGAACTCGAGGCTTTTCTTGATCGAAGACTCTTTCAAACCCGTAGTCCCAACACAGATCCGAGAATTTTACATTTAGGGTCGGGTGATAGTGTATGTTTTCCCAACGAATAAATAATCATCTTCGTATAATAAACAATTGACATAGTTAACGTATCTCACAGGATGTGCCAGTGGGATTATGGGATAGGGGGTATAAGCATCAGCTCTGTGTCGACTTTTCGACCGTCGTCGTGGATCTCATGTCTAAACGACACTCCAGTATGGAGGGTATCCAATGGAAACATGGTGATGTCCGTCATTTAGATGACATTCCTGAAAAGTCTATAGATGTCGCCTTTGATAAGGGAACCTTAGATGCGATGATCCATGGTAGTCCCTGGAGTCCACCCGATGATGTTAAACAAAATACTAGTCAATACATCCGTGAGGTAGGTCTTAACTATTGACATGCTGCTCTAGATCATACGATTCATACAAGATGCCTACTAATACTATACAGGTAAATCGAGTCCTCAAGGATGATGGGGTATTCCTTTACGTGACATACCGACAGCCGCATTTCATAAGACCTTTACTAAATTGCGATGGAACTAGCTGGGAGATCGAGATGGAGGTTCTCGGTGATGGTTCTGGTTTCGGCTATCACGGTTTTATCTTGACAAAGACGAAGCCTTGAAATATATTTCATCAATTCTCTAAGATCTACGGAACGCAACCCAGGCTCGAAGTGACTACCTACGCAATTACAGTAGTCACACACCCAAATATTCAAGATAATATACCGAGGTTGATGGGTTTTTTCTCAACAACTTATGTCTGTCTCAAATTACGATGGGGTAATGGTATGGTATATCTTAGTTTTGGAGATACCACGCAGTCATCACTTTGAAGTTCACGACACTTCTAGAAGTTGATAGCCCGCTCGTCGCCGGGTTCCAAAGTTTTAGACCATCGCTTTCTATTATAAAAGCATACGAGGCTAACCAGTATACGCCAGTCGCAGCTGCAAGACCTATTTGATGTTACGATCGTACCCCTTATATAACGGGTAGATTATAGACCATGTGTGGTATCGGCTGTTCTTATAATTTTCCCGTGCCCCTGGAAGACCGAGTTCGCGTTATGTACGTCCTAGAAGTTGATTCTCCGTGGGTATACCCAAAAACATACGCCTACTCGCCATCTTTATCCGTCTAACCCGAATTTTTGGACTGTTGAAGTAGCCAAGAGCACACCGCTAAACCTCCGCAAATCACAACAGATCATCTCCTATCCGAGAACTCCTGTCATGCACACATCTATAGATACACATCTAGGGCTCGCCCCAAATTTCGTCTGCTATCTGCCTCACAAGCGACAACTTCTTCTTCTCGTCGTCAACTGTTAAGGGGTATCCAGTCTCGTGGGTGCTGAAACCGCACTGGGGGCTAATGGAGATTCTCTTCAGGGCCTCTTCACGGGTTTGGCCATTTCCCTTCGCTACGAAGTCCGCTGCCCTGAAGATGCGCTCCTTCGTCTCCTCCTTATCTTCTAGCTGTCTTAACTTTGTACTGATGATACCAACCACGACGTTCTTGTCCTTAGGGAGGAACTGCAGAGGCTCAAAACCGCCTGCTCGCTCAGTATCATACTCGAGGTAGAATGTATTCACGTTCAGATTCTCGAAGAGCTTCTTCGCAATTATATCGTACGCTCCCTCAGAAAAGTGCCTTCCGCCGATGAAGTTACCTCGGCACAGGTGGATACCTGAGTGGAAGTCTGCCGGTAAGCCGGCAAGAGAGTCGTTGTATAGTTTGATATAGGCGTCAAGAAGGTCCTCCCATGTCCCAATGTTGTCCTTGTCCTCTTCCCAACCCTTTCGGAAGTCCTTAGAGCAGAAGTCTGTTTTCTTGTTAGCCACATGCCTGAAGACTGTTGTAGAAACATTTTAAAGCAGACTTACAAGCCATGCCAGGGTCGTCAAATTGGACATTTCGTAACCCGGCCTTGTATAATGTTTCTAATTCGGCATGGTAAACCTTGGCAACATCTGCAAAGTACTCGGCGTCGTTGGCATAGGCTTCTTTCGTATAGGCCTGGCCTTGCTTGTACCTCATGTGGAACCAGGACGGCGCAATCATAGTAAGCTTAATATTACCCCAATCGCTCTTCGGAACGAATGCCTGGACCTCCTGAAGTTCAGACAAATTGGACACCGCCTTGGCAGGGCTGTGCGACAGTTTACTTCCAGCAATAACAGACTCTCCGGGCATAACCTTCCTGCCTGTCTCGATCAGACTAACAACATCCGGGTGATACAACCGGAACATGCTAGCGTCGGCATCTTGGAGACGGATGGTACCCTCGATCTCATCCCAAAAGAGACCCCAGAACCGGGTACGGTTGTATTCACCCGAGTTGACGGCCTTCAGGCCTAAGTCCTGCTGCAGCTTAACTACATCGCCAATGGCCTTCTTCTCAACTGCCGGTAGCCCTGCCTCCTCTGCCGAGACACCCTTGTCCCGAATGGTTTCACGCACATTTAGCAGCTCTTCGGGTCGCAGTAGCGAACCTAAGTGCTCGGCACGGAACGGAGGGGCCATTTTGAAATGATAAAAATGTAAGGTACCTGATGTTTCGGCGTTTTGATCTTCTTACTCGGAATTTCTAACAATGAATTTATTATGTAAATAGAACAGACGTAAGAAATAGACTGACAGGACCGGCAGATGGGCGACAAGAAGACTAATATAATTACTACTTTAATTCACTCACCAAGAGGATCGGTTACAAAACTCCTTTTGAATAAAGCTGAAAGGGAAATTTTCAGCAATCCTCTAAAGTAAGCAGGCGTCTCCGACCCTTAGTTCATAGTTGGTATAATAATAATCCTAAGAACTCCTAGTGCGGGATGAGGTGCGGGGAAGAATGTGAGATCGTGCGGCGTAGCCTATGCCTTTGGTGCAACAGACCAACCGAAAATGTAGACCAAGTAGAGCGGAGACCGAACCGGCCGAAGCTATGAAATCGGTGAACTAGCTAAAAACGCTTTGGTAGGACAGAAGCGTCGGCTTTAAAGAGGGATTCGTAACCGCTGGACCCGAACTAATATATTAGTCGGGACCTAACTTCTCGTGTAAGCCAAGTTGATCCGGCGGTCAACGGCAGTTGAATATTAAGAAATTGTGGGATTTAAATCCAGGTACGTAAATTCCCTTACTATTACGATTTAAAAGGGCTTGATAGGCGAGAGATGTGGGAATAGTTGCAGCTTTATCATAATGTTACATCACAGGATGTCATATATCGAGGGTCCACGTGACCGCCTAATCGATGCAAGCCAACGGATCTACCACCACACTAAATGGATCAAGTAATAAGTCCGATGATAATTCAAGAAGAAAGACGATAAAATAGGTAGGTGAAGCCGAGAAACCATTCGAAAATATTAAACTAGTTTCTAAACTTGAGAAGAATAAATGGGAATCAGAGGATTAAAAAGGATATAATGAAATATAGTAAAACTAAACGATAATGACAATGAGTAACGCTTTCGACACCCAACATATCACCAGCAGATCCCATACATAGTAAAACGATCTCATAAAACTAGAGGTTACCCCCCGGGTAGTTAACACAAAAGCCTAAGGTTTACACCGCACCATATTATTTTACCAATAGGACCTGAAAGACGTCCATAGTGTTCAAGGTTGGAAGGGTTTAAATGGCCATATGCCTCTTAATGTTAGATGTTAGTAGCATTACAGGCCTGGGGAGACCAGCCACGGCGTTGAACATACATAAAAACAAAAGCAAACAGAAAAGGTAAAAACATAATCGTAAGACAGGAAATACTTGCTCGCATCTAACATAATATCCTAAGGCAAACCTTTAGGCACTCTTGAATTACAGGGCAACATTAGTCTAATAACGACACAAATAGACGTAAACAAATTCACTAAAGCATATCACATAACACAAGAACAGTGATAGTCAAAGACCAAGATTTTCTAAATCTACAAGCTGTCATGAACATAAATGGTATATACCCAAGCTATGATAACACGCCTAACGCTTGCTTTCAAATGAAACATTACATATTAGAAGACCTCTCCCCCTATTCTAACTACATTCTTATATATCACTTCATCCCTTATAGGAGGGCGAAGAAAGCACCGGCGACGGCGAGAGCAATACCGCTGCCAACCTTGGCGGCACCGGCAGTGGGGATGGGAGTCTCACCCGGAATGGTGGGGTAACCAGAAGGACCCGGGTTGACGGGGCTGGCGCTGGGCACATAGGTGCTCAAAGTCTGGGGAGACGTAGGAGCAACGGGGATAGTGCTGTTGGAGCCGCCACCGATGGGGCCAGTAGGGTAAGGAGGCACAACAGTCGGGGTAGCGGGACCAGAAGGCGAGCCACCGGTAGGGTAGGCAGGGCCACCGGGGACACTGCTGGGGGTACCAACAGGTAGAGTGTTGGAGTTACCACCGGGAGGGTAAGTTCCAGGAGGCTTGCCACCGGGGACGGTAACGGAGCTGGCAGGGTAGCTGGCAGAAGGAGTGCCAGCGGGACCGGTCTGAGAAGGACCAGTAGGGCCGGTAACAGAGGGAGTGCCAGCGGGCTTCGAGACGGAAGGAGTTCCGGCAGGGTAGCTAGCGGAAGGGCTGCCAGCGGGGGTGGTGCTGGGAACGGCCTTGCCACCGGTGGGGTAAGGAGCAGTAGGAATGTTGGTGGGGGGAGTGAAAGTCGAGGCCTCAGAGCAAGGGACAAGAGTCACGATGGTCTTGGTCAAAGTCACAGGAGTGGCAGGCTTGCTGTGAGTGGGCTTTGGCGGGGGAGCAGTGATAGCACCAGTCTGGGTAGCAGGGCACACGGTCGTGTAGACGGTAGTGTGGATGAGAGTAGCAGTGGTAGCGTAACCAGCAGGGCAGTTAGGCACGGAAGCAGCGCACTGGGTGATGGTGAAAGTCTGGACGTTGGTGACGGTTGAGGTAATAGAGCCACCGGTAGGGATAGGAGCTGAGATAGGAGCCGTGGCAGAGGTAGCAGAAGTGACGCCAGAGCCAGTGCCAATGGGATAACCAGGGGCAGTAGCGGTAGCAGACTCAGAACCAGAAGCAGTGGCAGATCCGGAACCAGTGGCGCTAGCAGATCCAGGGCCAGAGGCAGTAGCAGAGCCAGAGCCGCTAGCGGAACCAGATCCGGTAGCAGAGGCAGACTCGGAAGCGGAACCAGAGCCAGTGGCAGTGACGGAGCCAGAGTTAGATCCAGACTCGGAAGCAGAAGCAGAAGCAGTACCAGTGACAGAAGCGGAAGCCGTGGTAGCGGAAAGAGTCGGGACCGACAGAGTGTACGAAGGGTGCTCGCAGATGGTGGTCGTAGGGTAGCTGAGGAGAGCGGTGGAGATGGTAGGAGCAAGATGGATGGAAAGGAGATTCTCAACAGCCACATCAAGCTCGACAGCGGCACCAATGTTCAAGCCATACGATTCCTTGGAGAGAGGGCACGAAGGAGTAGCGCAGAAGAAACCGACGTACTCAAGCAAGTTGGCGAAGACGGCAACCTCGAGACCAGCACCGATCTCAGGAAGGTCAAGGATGGGGATGATGTCGTCAATGTCGACCTCGGCAGCAACACCAAGTTCAACACGAAGACGGAGATCAGCCAACAGCTTGGTGCAGCCGATTCGGACCTCAATGGGTAGGACCTGGACGGACAATCCAGAGAAAGCAGCATCCAGGATCTTTCCGGCGAAGATGTCGGTCTCGATCGTAGCATCCTCCACAAGCTTCAGGTCAATACCAGCGGATAGGTCGATGGCGGTCTCAACACCAATGATAAGGTCAAGGGAGATGAGAGCATCAACCTTAAGACCAGGGAGAGGGAGAGAGATAGGGGCGGGAGGAGTGAACAGGTTCACAGCGATGGTGGCAGCAGCACCGATGCTGATGTCGAGGTCAAGCTTGGCCTCGATGTCCTTAAGGGATAGGCTGAGAGCGGGGACAACCTTGTCCAGGGAGATGCTGGCATTGATGTTACCCTTGGTGTAACAAGTGTCACAAACAACGGCAACCTCAACATCGGCACCAACACCAACTAGAGGGGGAACGGCCACACCGGCAACGACACCGGCGACGAGAGTGGTACCGCTCAAGTCCACACCCAAATCAACGTTGGCAGAGATGGGCTGGCTCAGGTCCTTAGGAAGGTCGAGGTCAAGAAGATGGCGCTCAGAGACCGGGGCAGTGGCGCTGGCGAGGGCCGCCATGGCCACGGCCGCGGAGCCGTGGGTAGAGAAACGCATTTTTTATATCAAACTTCGCAAAAAACAGCAACTGCTTAAAGAATGGACTGGAATAGTAAATATTCCGAAAAAGAATGATTACGCCGGAAGCACAAAAGAGTGACTATCTTGGCCGAAGCTTGATGGGAGTGAAAGAGGAAAGAGAGGCATTGTAAAAGACGGCATAGGCTCTCTTTTCTATGCCTTCGTCTGAAATTAGCATCAACACATTGGCCAAGGGGAATACATGGGCTTCCATCGCTACCCGGCCACCCGTGATTTAGCGGTACTAGGCAATGCAATGAATTCGGAGTATTTCTTCACCTAGTAGCATAGCGGTCAGTACTACTGGCCTAATTCAGATCGTCAAGTTCTGCCATAAGTGATTTGCGTCCCAATGGCAAGGCTCGCCTGAATCGTCTCACCTCCTTTCAGTATCTTCGCTTGTGGAGCTTCCAGGCCTGTCGACAGGGTTTTTTTCCTTTTCTATATCCTGGCAACCTTCGCTAGTTTGTGGGGTTTTGAGCGGATGCGCACGGGCGCCTATGAAGATACTGAGAAAAAGAAGCTAGGAGAGTGAAAGGGGGCTGAGTGGCAGATTAGGAAAAGGAGAACATACGTCTACCTACATACTTCCTTCGTCTATTTGCAAACTAACGAGTATTACTGATATGATTGGACATGCAAAAACTACATTAACGTATCACAAGTTTGAACGCGTCTAAATATGAGAGATGTCGCGTGTTACTATTGGCTTAAGAAATATAACGTCCTATGTATAGCTCGCCGTAATATAAAGTCCGTTGATATTTAGACGCTTATACGCATAGTACATGGTTTGATTACCGTTTTCAAGCCACTGAGGATTATGTTGATCCTCTGTCCCTCCCTCTGCCGAACGTTTCTGTGCGTCGGGATGACGTTTACTCGCATCGCTTTTTGGTTCCTATACTATGTACGTACTATGGATGTAGCATCAACTAGCTAAAAAGCCTAAATTCTTGTGTACTTCCACTTGCTACTGTAATTATACGCGTATAGCATGTATCGTGAAGCTAGAGCAGTAAGCTTTAGGAGTGTTGACAGGCCTCTAAAATGATGATCGGCACAGTTTGGCTTGGCAAACCAGGGCCCTGCATGGTTAATTAAGGGGCAGAGGGGTGACTAGTCAGGAACGGAATGCAGTCACTATCACAACGACACCAGTAACACCACACCGTATACTAGCACATAGGTAAATGATTTATTTAGTGGTGTAAGTAGAAAAGAAGGCTTCCAATAGCTTTTGAGCAGCCTTATTTCGGAGATCAGCTTGTGGAATAGGAACCGCGAATTGTTAATGTTTAATGGTTAAGCTTACTGCTCCTGGTTAGCACTACGTTGAAATCTATATTACTACGCTCCAGACCAGATTCTTCATTCTACTATATTATATTAGTTCAATAAATCCAAGTCTCGACCTTCACATCCAGCTCGTGAAATCCTACATTTTCCGTTACATAGAATATAGAGGGGTCTCTACCTACATACGTACTTAGCCTAGCCTCCTTGCACGAATAGACGACGTTGGCGAGATCTGATAGATCGAAAATAAGATATATCAAAAATAAAAACGTGGATATCGAGATGATTGAATTCGTACCCTAGCTAATAGCTATGGTAATAATCTCCCGTTCATCTGATGTTGACTTAAGTCTCGGTGTCCATGCGCTCTCTTCGCACGGATTTTCCCACAGTAAATATTCATTCCTTTCTTTTATGACGAGTCAAGTTGAAGCATGTTAGTTGAACGCAAGGGTGTGCGTCACTCCGAATCTCTCTTTGATGTTGTTGCTAGGATGAAAAGCTACCTAAAGTATTGGAGAATTGATTTCACGATGAATTGAATTACATGATCACAACTATGCATGACAATTTATCTTATTATGCACAATCTACTTGAGCTACCTATCTATGTATGAACGTATTGATTTATGGTGACGAAACTTCCCCTGACATTCTTACGATGTTGTAATATGTCAGCTACTGCATCTCGACCGGCTGCATGTTGAAATTAGCTGTCCTCTCTCCGGTCTGCCCTATCGTACATGTATGTACTCCAAAAAGAGATCGGATCCATCCGCTGTAATCCGTATGCCAGGTACCAGATGTATGCATGTAGTACCTAACCCTGTAGCTTTTAATCCAAATATTAACCCTTCCCTTAAGGAAGAAACCGGTTGATATATCTCGGCTACTGTGTAAGCTCTTCCAATCTGAAATGCTACCATCCGTCCGGCACATCAGCCCAATGCCATCTTACCAGATTTAAATCCGTACATAGCGACAAATTGACAGTCTTGACGGTCTAGAACTCTCCAATCTTTGGGTCTCCAACGTCGTACATTCGTATTCATGTCTTAGATGGAACATCTAAGTGACGAGCTGTGCAGCCGCATTGCAACATCATCCCCAAAGATCTTAAATCCAAAATTGGACCCCAGCCAATTTGGCCTGTTGACAAAAGCAGAATTTTCAATATACTATGATAAAAAAATCGTCAGATTTCCTCACCATTTCTTGCTCCTTCACTTCGGACAGGGATGATTGCGAATGCCGAGCGTCCCGAGAATTTATGTTGCTGTTTGTTTGTTAGTTAGGTAGTTATTATTTGTGTAAGTCGGGTTTTAGCAGGACTTAAGCATCTACTGTACATAAAACTAGTTCTTCCATTACAAACGCCCGCAAAAGCGGCCAATGTCATAGATATTATCACTCTTTAATTCTTAGGCGTTTTTAAAAAGTAATAAGTCCGGTAAAGCAAGGACTTAGCACGTAGTGGCGTGCGCAGTGTACATAGTGTTTACTTCTACATAGTAGATTTAATTACCTACCTCTTAGCACACAGACGTAGCGAGCAACAGTGGAAGTTTCTACTCAGCAAGTCAAACGGGTTTCTGTAGGGTTTCGGGTCCGATGTATTCAGCTAGCGAAGTCCGCTTTTGCGGACAGCCTCTTCCGTTGTGGACTCTGGCTGCATGGCGGCCCCTCTTGTTTCTTGGCCTCTATATCAGACTAATACTGTTTATCAAACTTAAGCCTCGGAAGTTGAACACATATTACTGTGGATGTACAGAGGCTAGAAAAAGGCTGCCTTTAGTACCAATAATTCGAATACAGATAATCTCCAACAGCCACGGGAATACCGCATAACAAGGCTCTTTCAAGTTCATTCGAGCCTCAAGGGCACTACTAAATTCGGACGAACCGGATAGCTACCTCTAAGATGAATATCCTAAATTTAATGAGATGCTAGCTACCGACGATTTAATATGCTTGTAATTCTATATCTTGCGAATATAGCGGTTCCCCTTTGACGTGCTTTTCCCAAGCCATCCCCGATTCGTCCTCCCGGAACAATAATAACTTCGACAGCATTCCCATATTCGACTAGTCTAGGCCAACGGCACAGCTCCAATGTTCTAGACTTCTACCCCTGGTGAGCACACGCGACAGCTTCCCCTGCTCACAAGGCGACTGAGTTGTCGTAGGCTCCGTGACCCGATTTGACAAGCTCACCTCGCTACCGGCCTCATCGTCGTGCTCGAGAACATAACCCACAGCTTCTAAGCCGCTGGACGGTCCCCTTAATACTCTATAAGCGAACACTGTGTATTAATGCATATAGGCTTTGGTTTGTAATAGGTCATCCACCGCCTATATGCTCAGCATACTTTGGTTCTCGTGCGTATCGCTTACAACTTCCAAACCTTACCCAAACTTTATGGTGGCCCCTTCATTATGGAAATAGGAATGCTACCACGGTTAATATCCCCGGATCTTACGATTCGCGTGTGTTTTCATGCATATAAGCTCACAGCAGTGTCAAGCCTAACCGTTCTAAGTCAATAAAAAAGGTCTAGTTCTTCTACATCACATACCTACGACATGGAAATGAAAATAACTCAGGGGTTAAGAATTTGTCATAGAAAATAGAAACGTCGAAACCAACGCTACGCTGTTATTCGAGGAGGGAAGATAATACCATTAGGTCTATAAGCTTACGATCTATGGTCCGTAAACTTGGTAGCAAATGTGATCCAATTCATCTCGTCTGTCTAAAGTGCATTGGTCGATGCCTAGTCTATCCTCTTACACGGAGAGCACAATAACGCGACTCGCGTTTGGGGGTTCAGTAGCAGTGCTAGAACCTGTGCTTATATCCTCTAGTTAGTTAATTGTAACTACAAACCCGGTGAAATCCCTCCAAAGTCGTGCTGTAAATCTCAATGCCCTTGCGTAAATGCTATGACCAGTGTCCATTCCTTTCACTTAATCTGGATTGGATGAAAAGGATCATTTCCTACCGCTTGAACTGCATCGATGCAAATTTCAGGACTGTGAACATCTTCGCTCATGGCATCTATAACCATGACATCTGGTTCCGAGTCATTAATGGTAAGTGGCTCGCTAACTTGCTGATATAAATACCGGCCCCCTAGATATTGTACGCTATCGTTTCGGTCGACTACTAGCCCTCCGAGATACTCGACCTCGCTATCATTATCAGGTTCTTCCATCTGACCTCTCATATCATCATCGTTGTCACTATCGCTGTCCTCAGACTCCGATAGTTCACCATCAGCATACACTCGATCCTGCTGGTCTAGCCACCTGCGGATATGCTTGTAAAGCCTTCGGACTACAAGGGGTGGGAAAGCATTGCCTATTTGCCGCTTCTGTTCCGGTTGCTGGAAATTGTAGTTCACCGGAAACCCTTGTAGTACTGCGTATTCTCGAAGCGTGAAGTCGCGCTTCCCACTGTAGTGATAGTTTCCTACGCCGCCACCGCAGGTAATCGTACGAGCAAGCGGTACGTCAGGGTTCCACCGGTCATTTTTTAGCTCTTTGAGCTTCCGGGTGCTGTGAAGGGGGTCATATAGTAATGCATCTCGAGGAATCTTGCTTAAAATTTGCCTAACTGTCTTGTAAGGCTTGGTCCCTTGATCGGGATTTGGATATTTTGAGTGCGTTGCTGGCGGAAATGGTGGTAGCTTTTCACCCGGGCAGGAGCCGAATATAATAAGCCGTTGTCTCTGCGATGCCGCTCCCCATTGGAGTAGGTTAGCCACTCTCCATCTGACGGAGTAGCCATATCGTGTGAATCCATGAATCAAAGCATTAAAATAGTATTCAAATCTCGAGTGGAGAATACCATAAGTCTGTTCCACCGTGAAAATTCGTGGACGAAAGACCTTAACTAATTCATGACAGGCAAACAAGATTGCAATATTTGCCTCGTCGCCTGCGCCAGGAGTAGTGTGGGCTGGCGACCAATACTGGCACGGCGGTGATAGGTGAAGCACATCAATATGGTCAGTGGAAGCTTGCCTTGACATGATGAAGTTATACATATCATCTTCGTGTAATTCTGTTTCTCTAAACTCTTCACGGTAAGTATTGCAGGCCCCTTTTGCATGATCACAAGCTACCGTGATACGAAAGCCAGCAGTCTTAGCACCGCATGATGTTCCTCCGGCTCCACAGAACATGTCACCAAAGGTATATTGCTGCCCTGGCTTCCTCGGAATCCACTCACTAGGCAATTCATCAGATTGATCCTTAGGGTCATCAACATCTACCATCATCTGCGAGTTACTTGTCTGGCCTGGGATGAATGAACCGCCGCGAACTATCCCGCCGCGCCACTTGTTTGTCAAACAGGAACTAGGCGTGCGGTACCTTTCCTTTGACACCTCTTCGTAGGTTATACGCGATACCTCGAATTCAATAGGAGGCTTGCCATTGCACCGCTTCATAGCATCGCTCCAGATGGTTCTGCACTTCCAACGGCATATAAGGACTCCCCTCTCTTCTATATCACGAGTGTCCTTATAGATTCCGTTAGGAAACCGGTGTTCGGGAAAGTCCTTATTGGTGATGAGAAAATTCCGAACCGATTTAATATTGATCAAAGGTATCTCAATCGCCGCTTGTTCCTCGTCAGGTCGGTGGTCGTCTTGGTCAATCTCAAGCATAAAGATAAGTTCATTCCGGAGTCGTGGCAGTTGGCCCCTTAAGTTTCTCGCGCGCGTTAGAGGGAGCCCGCGAAGGACGATGCCATTCTCGGTGATGATAATGTTCTGGATAAGTAGGAATGATGCTTGTTGTAACGCTGTAACTGCTTCCATCTCAACAAGAACACCACGCTTTAGTACTTGGTTTCCGTAGTCATGTCTTTCTAGTTGCCGATCCGGGACTATTGCTAGATTACGCCTGGCGCGTTTCTCTCGAGGCCTTCGTGGTGCCCTTGCTGCGGCTGCAGGCTCAGGCACGGTCAGATCAATCACCTCGATCACCTGAGCAATATCTTCTGCTAAGGCCTCGTCCTCTTCGGGTTGGTTGGCTTCGCGGTTGTTAATAGTGCTACGACCAGCATGCGAAGGCATTTCTCGAAAGCGACGTTCAATATCAGCTTGAATGCTGTCTTGTGGGCGCTCCTCTGACTCTCCCCGTGGAATAAGCCGGCGGCATCCCCCAGAGCCGCACAATGAATCAATATCCGGACCCATAGTTGTTTAAGTGTCAACTATGATTATGATGTCAGTATCTTGGTTCATCTGAACTTGGTGGGTGCTTAGTAGTATAGTGTCAAGTTTAATGAATCAGAAACATGATAGATTGAGACAGGTAGTAAGTACGGAGGGTAGGTACGAAGAGTAGGCACGGAGAGTAGGCATAGAGAGGTCATGGTGTGAGAGGGTCGTATTCATACCGTAGAACGTGCTTTTTTACCTTTTCGAGGAGGGATGCTGATGTTTATGAAGACAAGACGAGGGAGGCTGCTGTGGCTGGAGCCTATATCGGTTTGGCTCTGGTGCCTTTCTGGCCAGGATGGGGTGAAACAGTAGAATCAGTTAGAGTATAGATATCTAGTAGAAATATCTAGTAGGGTGAGAGGATAGGATAAGGAAAAGTTGCCTCGGCAGGTAGGTGCCTATCTAGCATGTACCACGGGTCGTTCTTGAAAGTACTATGGAAGCAGTTTGATTGGTGAATTAGAATGAGATAGCCAGTAATAGCTGAGGTCGGAAGGAAGGCATATGATGTCCTTTGCCGACTTTGGGAGGAACGTGGATATAATTAGGATCGATTGGTATTCGAGACTGTATATCCAAGCAAGATGTATTTGCGCCAATCATAGCCGAGAATACAGAATGAACAGGAAACTACGGTTGAAACCTAGAAAAAAGGTGGACATGGGTAGATTCACACACTCGAAATATCATGGAGTAGAGGTAAAGGTTAAATCAGGAGAATATAATACGACATAGAAGGACCATATGTACCTGTAGAACTAGCTATAAAAATTAAGAAAACTATGCTGTCTTACAAGAGTTTGAATATGGAAATAGTACTAATTATTTCATTATTAAAGCTTAATGTTATAAGTTATTTCTTTAAGTAGTGAAGAGTTGTGAATTAGGCACGGGGATACTTTTAGAAAAAAGCAAACCGTTAGTGGATTGATCTTTGCAATAACATTTATTATCTATCATAAAATATGAAAGTGCGACTCTAGGCAGCAATCCATTCATCTACGATAAGAAGCCAGCTATTCCATTGTAGAAAATATTCTTATTTTAAAAATAGTCATTCGGTAGGATTTCTTTGGGCTTATATTTTCTTGGAAATAATTTTTATAAGCTAGGATATGCAATGATCTTAAAAGACTTATAACGCACACAGCCATAGCAAACAAGTGAGTGCATCTTATACCTTGGAACTGGTTTGCTTGCCTTTTTTGGTATAATCATCTCTGTGAATAGCAATGCTTCCAAATAAAAGATGTAACTGGTATGGAGCTCTAGGTGGACTTCGTATATATCATACTTGAATATAAAACACTTAGATGTAAGAACTTCTAACTATATATTAACATATATGGCTTGTACTTGGATTGAGTGAAGTATATAAGTAAAGGAGTGACCCCTTTAAAAAGTGGATATCCAAAGGTTCTAGGTTAGAAGTTCCGCCGATACCCGACGGACATTTTCAATCCGGAAGGAAGGCGTCGGGTGGGTCTTCCGATAGCGCGTATCGCTACTGCGTTTGTCGCTACCGTCGAACAAAAACTTTTGTAATCCGCCTTCGATTTCCGTCGGCGATAATGATTTACTTCCTGTATAATTTCTATAAGCCAACTCAAACGTGTATAGAATGAAACCTGCCAACGTCTTACGTATCAATAACAGTGAGCATGAGGAGACGTTACTATCTCCATCACCTAAATCTACGAAACGTCGCAGCGCGGAAGACAAGTCGACCGGGGAACCGCAAAAGCGACGGCGCCGGGCATTCTCTTGCCTGTCATGCCAGAAGCTGAAGTGCAGATGCGAATATGACCCTGGTGCGCAGGGTTGCCATCGGTGCCAGACATTGAGGTTCGCAAAATGATATCCTTGGCGTATTTGCCCGTACCCTATGTATTCTTGCACGGCGTATGTCAAAGGCTTTAACTAATAGTTTGCGTAAAGAATTGAATGCTCTCTTCGTGGAGAAAACATAGTATCTTCATCCAACTTAAACCCCGAGCCAGCTACTTCAAACATCGAAGAAAGGTATACTTCTAATGCCTAGGTTTGGGGGGTGGCTCTGAACCATTATCCCCAATTTGTTGTAGTAAGCTTACACACTCATTAGGCTTCAACGGTATGAATGTGAATTGCAAGAGATTAAGTCAATGCTCAAAGACCTAACTTCAGGTGCCCAATCTCAAAATGGTCGAGCTCTAGCTAGCAAGAGTTCTTCCAATGTTGGTGACGGCCACACGCTACGCGTAGAACAAGAAACTCACATTCCCGAGTATTTCTCGGCCCCAGCTGATAAAGGGGCCCAGTCTGCACCGATTGTCGTGCTTAGATCAATATCCCAGCAAATCACTAGAGGCTATAGAAGGTTGCTGGAACATATTAACGTTGATCTTGTGCAGCTCCAGCTTCTTGACGAACAGACTGCAAATGAGTTAATCCACCTGTGAGTCTGAAACCTGCTTCAATAGCGGATGCCCATCTCAGGTAGCAGTGTGCTTATTAACACGAGATGAAGTTTCTTCCGCTACCAAGGTCACAATCTTCTCGTCTGTGGTGTAGAGGACTTGACTGCAAGTAGCGAGACTCGTAGAGTATCCGCTTTCTTGCACAGCGTTTGCTGTCTAATGGGCGTCGCCTACCATAGCGATATATGCGGATCGTCGTTGCATAGGCAGATGTACGAACAAGTTCGAATCACACTGGGACAAGCTCTTCTATCGAGCCCCCTGAATCTTGAAGAGATCAATGCCGTGTTGATAATGAGCAACAATGCAAATAGCCCAGGCGGTGTATGTGGATGCGATCTTGATTGATGTCCATGATAACTTCTCTCTAACTTTAAACAGAACGGAGTCGACTATGTAGACAGCTGGTTATTGACTGGTTACTGTGCTAAGCAAGCTATGCTTAGTATCAGTTTCTCGAAGATAATAAATAGCATAAAACAAGGGAAATTAACGAGTGAGGATCATAAAGCCATTCACTTATGGTCTAAGATTTGTCTCCATCATCTCCAGTAAGTATTGATATTCGCGGTTCGTTCTGATAACTAATACGCCACTTGTACTATAGTTGGGCTGCGACAACAGGCAGGCCATCCATCATACCAGCTTCTTACATCAACCAATGCAACATTTTGCTCAACTTCTACCAAGCTACCATGCAAGATGGGATGCTCGTCGCTGAGATATTGCTCTATTCAACCTTACATCAGAAGCTCACGCATCAGTCGTATCTTGGCGATGGCGGCGAATGTAAAGAGTTCCTATCGTGGAAAGAGAAATGGAATCACTTATTAGGTGAGTTACGCGTCTATTGGGATATTTAATAGATTTTCTAAACATCCTAGGCCTTCCAACATCATCAATGCTGAAAATTGGATATCATGCTGCTTGTCTTATCCTAGCTGTTCGGTCGCTAGAAGAAGTCGGGCAAGGGCTACGGCCACGGATGTTCCTCTCGGAGATGGATGGAGAGGACGCAAGCGATAATGAATACCATGCTTCAACACACCCGCGACGAACCAGAGACGGAGATGGCAACACCTTACGAATAAATGCGTGTAAGTACGCCATGCTTGTTTTGCAGACTTTTCTGGAAATGCCGTCCTTCCTCATGGATGCGATCCCTACGTGTCTGTGCCTATGCATCGGGTATTGCGCCCTACTCCTCGCGCATTACGATGAGTCACAATCAAAGGTCTCAGATCAGGTTAGTCGAGACTTGATCATACAAATCGACCAATGGATTAGGACGTCCCCTGGTAAAGCTTGGTCCTTTAAGTACGGGACGCTTGCTAAGCATAAAATGGAATCCCGAACCAGCGGTGATTCAGGCTCGACGAGCGACCACCAGACGCCAACGAGGACGCATCCTCAGAACCATGACAATGATCAAGACGGAATAGCCGCACCGATCGGGGCCGATAGTCATGACCATAATCATCATGAGGCGGCGGGATACCACGCGAGGGAAATATGCTCACCAGAGGCTCAGCAACTTGACTCCGAGTCGATTTTTCCACCCTTCGACATGTCAGAGCATGCGATATTCCCCAGGATGGAAGACTTCTTTGGTGGTGGCTTTTTGGATTTCGTGGGATAGGATTTAGACTACTAAATCATTTATTAGATCCAATTATTGCTCGACTCGTATCTAAATATTAGTTGGCTCAGGTTGCCTTGTTTATATCCCTGAATAGTAGAACTAGGGTATGTCCACATTCCCGGTGTCAAACTACGAACATAACGACTGTCATATTAAGGTAGAGGCTATATTAATTATTAACTATCTAAGTCTATATTCAACGCTGCTCGGGTTAATATTAATGCAACCCTTTCCATAATCGACGTTATAATAGTAAGTGATTCTATACAATGTTCTGAACTTTGAATACCTCTTAAGGGTACAACGCTGAATATTAAATTCCAAGCCGCTGAAGACCGTATTTTTCTTGTTTCCACTTTCACAAACTAGATGTAGTGTCATAATCCTATCTCCTTGAAGACACTATAGTATCGTCTACCCATGTTCCATTTACCTCCTCTGGGTCTACGCTTGCCATATTTAGGTCGTCGAGCAAGCGATTTATTTTCATCACACGGTTAGGATCGTTTATTATGATGTCATCTTTGCCAGGCGGTTTATATGCGAAACTGTCGTATAGATCTCCGTCACGGGTGCGCTTTTTGTACGCCGCGCACGCAATTTTGAAGCTCAATGGCCTGGACGTGATTGTTTCTGAACTTATATATGTCCACTCCCGAGGATATAGACACTCTAGACATGCCGGATCCTCAAGCACTCTCCGTGTAAGGTGCCAGAGAAGCGAGAAAATATCTATAAGTAAGACCTCCACCGCAACCTTTCTGCTATATAACGCTTCGAGATATTTAACCTCAACTGATAAGTTTTCTCGTGCTACAAATATATACCGCCAGGGATCCAGTTTTCCTCCGCTGTACTCGGCGAACCGCAAAGGCATTCTAACATCAGGTTCATATAGATCCTGCTCGTCTGGAGGCTTTAGCGATGGTACGAGGACTGGTATTTTTCCGATGGGGGTATCCTAGTATCCACCAAGATAGAGGCTTGACGAGTCCTGCATGGTTCGTGAAGAAACGGGTCCTTGCAGAGGAGGCCAGGACGTGATGAGAGGGATGTCTACTCTAGCTTCGTCCATCACTATTGAGAAGTCTTTGCTTTCCAAGAATCCTTTTGTCGTTCTGGGATTGAGGCTGAAGTGGCTGCCGTATTGGAGTGTATATGGAGGTAGTGCTGAGGTTTGATGTCTGTGATTTAGGTGGAGTCTACTGATCCATTCGCTATTTGTTTCTAGTGAAGGGGATGAGTGTATAGGTCGTAGCGTCTAGGTCGTAGTGTCTAGGCAATGCTAATATGAGAATCTTAAGTACCTGTATGTAAGTGTATAATTGGTGCATGCAAAAAGATTATTAGGTATTTTGAGATCAAGCCTTGGATTTGGTTGGCTAATGCGATAAAAATTTTTTTTCCTAGTTCCCCAACTCTTTTAAGTTTTAAGTTTAAGTTTAAGTTGACATATATTCGTTCTTACCCGTTCGTCTCAGAATGTTTCTATTAATGTTAACTTCGGCGTTCTCCACCATGTCAATCCATAAGAGGTATACTGTATATGCACCTACCTATTCGATTTCACGTGGCCTGCGGCGATATCCTAGAGCAATACCAATACATATTTGATTACTTGCAAGGTCCAGGTCAGTTATGTTTATTTTATTTAGTTATTCTATTTTCTGTTACACAGCGGGGAATATTCTATAAATAAACCCGAAACATAGATATTTGCTTGAGTAAAAGGTGGTGAATGTTCCTGTCTTGTATACCTTAGGTACAACATATAGATACCTATAGGTAAGAGTGGTGGAGGTCAAAGGTGTGGAAGTAAGTACCTAAAGTACCTAAGCGGAAGATTTAAGGTGGCGGAGATGGCCGTGAATTTAGAGTGTTGGTGGTAGGTACCCTAAGCTGTAGTGTCACGGTGGAGGTCCCAGTGGCAGTGACTTGCCTAATTTGTCGCTACAGAAATGCTTGCACACCTGCCTCTTACCTCCCAATGAGTCCGGACCCCTCCAAAGCCCCACGTAAAAAAAGCCCTCTAAATACATTGCCCCACTAAAAGTTTCTTTCCCTTCGAGTCCCAGTCGCAACTCAAACTCTAAACTTTTCCCTCTAGCCCTTCCTTTTCTATACATGAATCCTTCTTCTCTATCTTTCTATATGATCCTCTAAAATCAGCTTCTTCACCTCCCCTTCTAAACTTTTCCCGCGTTCTTCAATAGTACACAAGCTGTAAAAATATCAGATTTCCCCCACTATTCTATCTTCTGCATCAGCCAAGATGGTGGAGAAGATCTACGTCACTTACAACGATGTAAGCAGATCTTGATCTTGCTTGTTTACCTATTGCAACCTCACCACAACATAACCCCCGCTGTTCCTGCTTCTTGCTTCGGGGAGCCGGTGAGAAACCGGCTATGCCGTCTGAAAATCCGAAAAGTTGGTTTGCGTCTGTAATTATCTAACCGATTTGGCGACCAACAGGTTCACAAGCTCTGCCAAGAGGCAGCCCCCAAGATTCTGAGTGCGTTCAACCCGCAACTCATTATCGCCATCGGCGGTGGTGGTTATGTGCCCGCGCGAATCTTGCGCTCTTTCCTCAAACAGCCTGGCAGCCCCAACATCCCTATCCAGGCCATTGGCCTCTCCCTATACGAGCAGCTGCCCGTAAAAGATTCCTCGAGCGTGGGCGAAGGTGTCGTAGATCAAATTGGAACTAAGGTCACCCGCACTCAATGGCTTGACCTGAGCAGTCTGGGCGAGATCCAGAACTTGGTCGGCAAGCGCATCCTGATCGTCGACGAAGTTGACGACACGCGAACGACGCTAGAGTATGCCGTCAAGGAACTGGAGAAGGATGTCGAGGAAGCGCGAAAAAAGTTGGGCAATGACGACAAGACAGAGTTCAGCATCTTCGTCCTACATGTAAGTGATCGCAAGTCCTAGGATGTCAGGAAGTCTGTCACCGCAGCTGCTAACAGATACAACAGAACAAGGACAAGCGGAAGAAGGGTACATTGCCCTCGGATATGATAGAGCAATCACGATATCTTGCAGCGAGAACGATAGGCGATGAGTGGATATGCTATCCGTGGGAAGCAACGGATATCGACCTACACGACGAGCTAGCGAAGAAACAAACAAACGGGAACGGTACTGCTTAGGTGCAGTCAGTAACTGGTTTGCGGTTGGAGCCTTTCCTTTTCGGATAGGTAGGATAGACATGGCGTGCTAGATAGACACCGCGGGCAACTCGATACGCATCGAGAATCTAGGCTCCAAACCGAAGACCAAAGAAATATAAAAATTTCGGACATTCCATAAAGCCGATTCGAATATGAAGTAGTTCTTTGGCGAATTGTTCTATTGCTCGACAGGGGTATATATGATGTAGCCATCTTTCTCTAAGCACCGAAAGTACCCTCCCTGATATGTTTTTCTTTAAGTCTCTTTTCTTGCTTCATGAACTCTCGAATGCCAACCGGCACGTCCTTGTATAGGTCATCGTCCCAAAAGTCCTTGGCAATCTTGGGTCGATCAGCCATCTTCAAATCCGGCTGCCAGTTTGCCTCACTGCCGCTGCCATCGTCATCCATACTTGTAGCACTGGTTGGACCCGATAGCCCCCCTTCCGTAACTTTGGCTGCGCGTGGAACCTCTTTGGATGGCTCTCCTTGTTGCGATTGTTGCGCTTGCAAAGCTTTCTCGGCTATCGCAGACGCGCTAACCCAGTCCTCCATCTCGTCGCGGTAGCGGTCCCAGACACAGTTCACGCACCCACTCATGCAGCAGTTGTCTGGCTCTTCTGGCCGCGGGGGGACTAAGACGCCGGCTATTAGCGTACTGCGGTTCCGGATGGCTTCGAGGCGCTCGGCTCTCTCGGCTGGGCCAGCGAGTCGCGAGCCAAAGATAATACGTGCCTTTTCTTGTGCTGTCGCCGGCTTTGCTGAGGTTTCAGGCCCGGTAGAAGAGGATGAAGACGACGGGGTGGCCTCATCCTTGGACTTTTTGGCGGGAGCCTTCTTGACGGTACTCCGGGGAGATTTAGGCGATGAAGTAGGAGGTTCTTCGGGCTTGATGTCGGGAATAGGTTGCGGCCTGTTAAGGACAGCTTCGTAGTAGAGACCCAGCGGTACCGCTTGCTCTGAAGCCTCACCGGGAGTACCACCAGGTAGTTTTGAGCCGCCTGAATAGAAGACGCGAGGAGCCTGAGGCTGTCGGATAAGAGACCCGAGCCTAGAAGCTCTTATTAAAGGCCTTGTAGGAATCGGCATTGTGAAGACCAATATATGCCTAAGCGTGATATTGAGAACAAGGCCGGGGTGGATAGAAAGCAAGTGGGATAGAATTACGAGCGAATGAAATAAAGGAGAAAATGGGTTGACTTTTTTCCTGTCGACCTCACGTCATCGGAAGAAGATTGGGGAGATGGAGGGGGGGCAAATTAGTGGCAGGTAGGTACAGCATCTTCGTTGTATCACGTGGCAAACAATACGCCTAAATCATAAATACCTAAATACATGTTACATGTACATACCTTATCTGCTTATATTAGCATGACCTATTTCTAGATCTGCGCTAAAGAAAACAAGGCTGATAAGATAAGAAATAGCGGGTAGCTTTTTCGGCGCGTCAACATCCACTTATACAACTTGACCTAACGCGTTTTATAAAAAAAATATGTACCTATTTCAACCTTATTAATATTAATGTGAAGTATACAAGAGAAGGGTGATTTCAGTTCAATTGGGCACTTGTAATAAGATAGGTTCCAAGTAACCCTTTATATTCTCCAATTTTTTTTGTATAACCCATCCCACATCAAATCTACGGCAGTATAGCAATAACAAACATCAACACATGCAAATCCAAATCCAAATCCAGGTTAAGACTTATCAAACCCCGGCCAAGTCCAGTCCAAACCCATGAAGTCGATATACGATTGGAAATATTATGATTGGATAAGAGGGGATATTTAGGTTATTCGATGGACTCTTCAGCTCCGAAGCGCCGCAAGACGTCGCCTACGACGAATATTCCCATAGGCGGTTCGACTGCGCCGTCATCCAAAGATGACCCTGTTAGAAGATCTACGCGACATCAGATACCATCTTTTGCGTCGCCGACAAAGGCTAGCCTTGCGCGATCGAACCCCGATATTCTAGAACGAAGAGGTACCTCTAGAAACCAACCTTCGGAGGATGCGCTCGCAGCGTCAGAAGCAGGAAGTCTCCCAGATCATACCCTAGGTGATTCAGATATTAGACAAGCAGGAGATGATACAGAAACAAGGAGTCGAGAGGCGCAACAAACGCAATCCACCTCGGCTGATCAACCATGGAGTCCCGTTCGACGCGCTTCAGGAGCTATGGCCTCCAGACCACGAAGGACACCAAATAAGCCATCGCCACGTCCATTACCTGCACCTTCGGCCGAAGAAGAAGAAGAAGAAGAGTTGATGAACCCTTTTAAAGGTCGAGTATTACGGCGCTCTCCACCTCCCGGAGAGGCTATACTAGAAGAACCAGAGCTTCCACCTACGCCAACACAACAAGGCATATCTGACCCTGCCTCGGTCCAAACCTCCCCCGTGGGAATTCATAACACACCTACCAAACGCCCAAGAAGGAGTCGAGTATTAGCCGAGCGAATTAAGAGTTCCCCTCTAAAACAACCACCACTCCGTCATCCCGAATTCACAAAAGAAGTCACACGTGAAGAGTCACCATCCCGAACGGCAGAGAGAACGCTCAGGGCACAACCACAAAGCCGGAAGAAGAGGCGAAAATCGCATCCAGCCCGAAATGCTGAAGAACCTGATGCACTAGCTGAGAAGAAAGCGCTGCGGGATTCGTTACTTGCTGAAGTTGCTCGCTTAAAATCAGATCTAGACTTGGCAACTCGTGAAAATACTCTCTTACACGAATTGCAACAAGGAAGGAGATCTAGTACAGCGCCAAAAGACCCAGAAGACAGGGAGTCTCTTCTGGATTTACTCCGTCGGCACACTCTCCCTCCCGAAAATGAGGCGGCTCCCGATCCAACACAAGACTGGCTTGAAGCCGCATTAAATCCCATCTCATTTCTCCCCTTTAGCAAATCGAGCTTGTCGTTTCCATCTATATTTTCTTCACCGCGAAATGATGCTGATGCGGAAACTGAAAAGCTTCCTATTTCTCATCATCCCGTGCCGATGACAGCGGAGGAAGAATTGCCTTACCTCCAAATATTCACCCCCTTAGCTTTCACGTCTACTGTCTCCATGATACCCCGCGACGATCCCGGAAATCCAGGACCACTTATGCAAAAATATACTATATCCGCTTCGTCAACACCACCAGGTCTATTTGCCGCGACAATTGAAATGACAGTAAACACCAAAAGGCTATCTATTGCTGAACTGAAAGTCCCACGTCTTGAGCCGTCCGCAGTTGGCGAGCTGGGGCCTTTCGTGGAACGGGTCGTTAGAGGTACGGGGACCAGCGCTTTAACAAGGAATGTTAGCGTCATAACTTGGGCTATGAGTGAATGGCTCCGCGTCGCAACAAAGAGAGCTCGATTTTGGTGTGCCGTCGAAAGGGACCTGAGAAGCAGCGAAGGGCTGGCAAAATGCGCTAGGGAAATGAGGACAGATACGAGGAAGAAGGGTCGAGGCCGTCGAGCTATGACAGCGGATGATGAAAACGATGACGATGAGCTTGAGGACCAAGACAATAAAATGCGCTTCACTAAAGCTGATATGCTACCTCATCTAGGAAGAACATACCTTGACCTAGAGCTGACCAGCCTCGGCGACCCGGAGGATAATCCAGGTTCTCGTATTGAATGGCATATCGAATTCGACTGGACCGGAGAAGCACGAAGCAAAATAGGATTATTGCTAGGGACTCCGGCGAAGTGTAAGTCAATTCAACTATCCAACACAATACGTATATAAATAATCTAACTCATAATAGGGCACGGACAAGACACAAAGGGTAGCTTAACAAGTATACCGGGAATATTTGACAAGTTGATCCAAGAAAATAAAGATCCGATGGAAGCTCTAAAGACAGTAGTCGCATTGCTAGTTGGGGAAGAGTAAAGGGGAAATAGTACATGCATACAAGCGGGTAACTTGATTTGTTAGGTCATGACTTATTACGTGTTTATGAGGTATGACGATACTTCGAGCTGTATACCCAATCGAGAAACTAAATAGCTAGGATTCATCAGGTTTAGCCGATGAGTCTCCCTCGATATTCCAAACTACGACGAGGCTTCTTGGAACAGAAACCTTGTCGAGATCTCTCTTCCTCGGTTCTCCGTGGGCTTAGCTACAAGGAATTATATGTAGTCCATGGTGCAGAATATGAGCCACTAAGTAAAAAAAGGCTATAACTAAATTTGGTGATGCCCTCTTGTGGATTACTACGTGTTCTAGATCAGGTAGTTACAAGTACAGAACCGAAAACAAATTAATAAATTGCCAATCAGCAATCTATGACATTTGCAGGTCTCTTAATCATTAATTTATATTGACATCCTCTCACCCCGTCTGAAACTAGGAAGTTGTAGTTTACAACTAGTTATAGGAACAAGATAGGTGCTTATTGTATGACTTGACAGTCTTCATCCCTACGACCTTTCTATCTCATTCTACCACCACTCTTCGCGACCGCAATTAATCCACCTCAACACCTAGACGTCGGAGATCGGTCTTGGCCAACTCGATTTCAGCCGTAAGTTCTTTGTGGGCCTCGGGGACATCGTGGAAGGTCATAACGTTCCAACCGAGGCGGAAGAGCAAGTATGCGCCGAAGGAGACAAGGGCCCAGAAGGGGAGCTATGTATTTCAGACGAGCATTAGTTAGTTATAATTTCTTTCATTTCTGTTTGAACAGGGTGGCGCAATATTTGAAGTCGAAAGGACAGGTCAAGTAGAATCGAATTGGAATTCAACATACGACAGGGACGATCTCGGTCTGCACTAGTTCAGGGAGAGGGACGAGGTTCAGGTACAAGGCGAGATAGAGCTACGGAAACATATTAGTAAGCGACTAAGGTAATATAGCAGAGCAATTGAGGGTATTCAAGAAGATCTCGTTCGAATTCGACGTACAGAGGTGACCAAGAGGCCGACGGAGATGGTCTGTTGCGCACGCGTCATATTGATTATAATTTTGCGTATGTACGAAGGCTGACGAAATTATAGGATTGTAATGAAACCGTCACTTGCGTAAAAATCAAGGTCGTGGTAGGTTTATTAAAGGAGTGACGTGAAGAGAGTGAGTATATATTGTAAGTCTCGAAATTTGGTGGTGATAATGTTGTCTTCCAGGCCAGATTGGATAAAGTCTATTTTATCGCTGCGCGACGCGGACCATATGTCAATCTACCCGATAAGGGGAGCCTAGACGTTTATGCTATCAGGTTATGCATATGTATGAATATATACAAGCTTATGCATATATACAATTTTACAAGAGTGCTCCAGTTTCCTTAATATAACTACTAACATCCCCTTCTCAGGTTCTTACTCTCTTACTCAATCACACTTTTAAATCCCCAATTCAAATTTGTTCGGGACCAATGTAAAAATTCTAGTAATTTATATATAATGTATAGAGGTCTCACGTTCACGTATTAACTTAAAGTCTACGTTTGAATCTGCTACTAATGATACTCGACAGGATGATTTAATGTTCTTTATTTCCAGAAACTCGTCGCAATCGTACCTCTATTACTAGAACTACTTAGAAAAGATTTACTAACGAAACTAATGTTCAATTAGCCCACGTAGCCAGTATCAGGCCTGCTGTCATTACATAAATATTGCCTTAGAGAACCTAGGCACAAAGTTCATGAGCATGCCCAGAGCTCCGTAAGCATCGAGAATTTAGCGAGTCAACCCTATCCATCTCTCATTACAGCATAGGTTCATTCATAGAAAGCCCGTAAGTAATACGGGGACTATAGTCAGTACCCCTAGGAATTTCCACGTAGCTGCGACTCCCCTGAGTTTAGCCGATTCACTAACTGGTATCTGGGTTGGTGATGTAGTCGGTGCTGACGTAGAAGACGTGCTATGGAAAGACGTGGTACAGGGCGTAGAATGAGAAGATGAACCAAGAGGAACTGGAACTAAAACTATGAGGCAAGTATTAGATTTCTTATATCGTGATGGGAAAATATATCGAACATTAAAATAACTTACCAGTCGAGGTCGAGCAAGGTATCTTCGTGGTATTGGCATGAGTTGAAGAGTAATTAGATGTGGACGCGGGGTAACTAATACTTTCCCTCGTAAGAGCTGTGGGTGTGATATTAGGAGTACGAAGCGTGGTGTCCGACTGGGAGCGGGTAGACCCGATAGGAGAGGCCCCTGAGATGTTGGTCATATTGGATGTTATTGTGATAGAGATTGTTCCTTGGAGGGTGCTCGTACGTGTGGTGGTGCCGGATAGTGTTATATCTGGAGTATGCGACGGAGTTTCCAATGTACCGCATTGAGATAGATACTTTGTAACAGTCTCAGTGACGCTCTTGGTAACGGTTTCGTCCACAAGACCACCGCCTGAATAGCCCTGTGCGGCGTATGAGAGGGGTGTCAGTAGGCAAACGAGTGACAGAAGCCAGTATATGGCCATTGTGAACGAGTGACTTGGAGGGGACGTGGTATGGCCGAATATAGAGGCCGGAATAGCTTAGACGAGGGGGTATCGGGACTCCCCTTCTTTATAATACCTTAAGTGATCTGCCCAGGCAAGATCGTAAGTCGTCCTGTCCTACCTGTTCCTCACCACGCGCATGATCCCCAGATTAGCGGAGCATTTCAATTTGAAGTCATTGCTAACGCTAGTAGTACGAGCATTGATTCGCTCTAAAGGAAGGGTATACCAAATCTTCAGACGAGTGGGTTTGCTCCAAACACCACGACGTTTGTGTCGCACAATGGGAGTTGACGGAGATTACAGGTATGACTTAGGTGTATACTGAAACATACGGATGGTTGAACTCGCGTCAAGAAGCGTTATTACTGCCGTTCTGGTCAGTGAGGATAATTAGTGTTGAATACATGCCTATTCGTAAGACAATCCTGTAAGCGTATGGTACGATCACGATTAGTGAAATAGTGCTTGGTAGTGACACCGTACGATGAACATCCAGACTTGGGATAGAATAAAAATTTCAACTGTCCCCATCTATCGAACAGAGAGCAGTTGGCTATTAGGGGATGGAAGTAGCATATTAAACCCCAATCAAAAGGGGACAGGGGAAACTACCGTATAAACATTTAACATCTAAACTACCTCATCTAGCTCGAAAAATAGGATTCTCACAGATGTAGTAGCTTCGTGCTTACTACCGAGTGGAACGGGCGCTCGCGGCGGATTCTAACATCTCACCTACGGACCGCCGAAATTAGTCCTTTCACGAACTCGAGGGGCATTCTCTGCCTGCCTCTCTTGTATGGAGCCACTATTAGGTCCACAGAGATTCCTAGCTAATGACCAGCAGCCAGTTATCTCACTCCCCGAAAGAATAGTAGGATCAGAGGACATGTACTATCTTCTGCCGTGATGCATTGGGGCCTCTAAATTGCATTGTCCTGACGTAACAGTCTCAGACTCCTATCCATCAAATGATCATGGTGCTGGTTACTTGTGTAACTTGATACGACGCATCTCGATCATCAAGTCTGTGGTTTTCATACTACACGGCCGCGACCATGAGACATAGTAGATGCTCTCGGAATATGTGCTGATGGCGTGTTTTTTCGGACTCTAAAGTAGTAGAGAGAAAGTAACCGGAACCATAGGTTTTGAGCAAGATTGAAGATTTTTTAGGTATGCCCCAAGGATAATGTTTTCGGGGGTTCTGTTTAAGTTGTTTGTCACTTTAAGGGTTGGTGTTTTACCCCCTCCCCTCCCACTCGCCCCCTTTTCTTTTTCTTTTTTCTTTTTTTTTTTTGCTTACCCCTGAGCTGTATGAAATACTTCTTGTCTTTTAACTAGTTAATAACTAACTATACATACTTCTGACTGTTAATAAGTTCTCAATTTTTTGTATGTCACTTTTATATATAAAATATAAGATTCGAATCAAAAATTCAAGTACTCTTAAAATATTTTGATGTGCGCTAATAATAACGAATTACATGGAAGGAATGAATAGGAATGAATTGTAGGACGCGCGAAAGGAAAGAAAGCGCTGACGCGTCTGCCCCGCTAATCAATTATCAGTGGATAGACCCGTCGCAAAATGGCACAGAGCCTCACCTAATATTCACCCGGATCGAAAGCCGATTAGTGGGTTCCATGGTTTGGAAGTAACGGGATGTTCCTGAGATCGGGTACATATATACCTCCTTACCCTAAGGACCTAACAATTTGTTTACGTAATCATTAGTTGAACCTCGACTTTTACACTTTTGATCTGATGTCCTTCTATAAATTATCTTCTCATAATCGATATCTGATTACTTCTCCTTACGAAAGTAGTCCATAGAACCTTACTATATCAGAATTAGACCTGTGATGGGCCCGAGACTATGACGCCTGACGAGATCCAAGACCTATTCAACAACATTCCCCAAGATGAGGAGTCGAGGGTCCAAGCGCTAAAAGATCTTCTTAGCACCGCTCAGGAACTACAAGAAATCAAGTCCCCTGAACTTCAGGTCTTAGCAGAGCAGATAGGGAACGGTAGTAGAGAAGGTCAACAAAACCCCAATCTCATAAAGTATCTATATAGTCTTCACTTATATATATATATATAATACCTTAGCTAACACTCACATCTTTTTAGAACGATGGAGAGTCCCACTTGGAAGGTCTGGTCTACTGGACTTCTTCCTAGGCTTAATTAAGGGGGATGAGCTGGATCTAGACCTAGTAACTCATGCTCTCCGAGTAACAGGGAACTCTTGCGCAGACCAAGGTCTGTATCCCCTTAGTTGCCGAGGTTTCGGTATTCTCATGCTTACTAGACGGTAGATGAGAATCGGCAACGAGTTGTCGACTCGGGTTGTCTCCCTCAACTGGTGAAACTGCTGACACACGACTCGTTACTTCAATTCGCTATCCCGGTTTTATTTAATATATGCGTTGACTACGGTGAGAATGAAAAGTTGAATAGGGGTATATCTAGTCTTACTGACATAATAACAATTAGAACCGGCTCAGGCAGCGGCCTCTAAAGCTCATCTAGGCATATATCTAATCGACCTCATTCAGACTCGCCCGTTACAGGAAAAGGCGCTACCATACATGAATATCATCTATAAGTTGCTAGGCATGGCAGTTGCTCAAGGTAAATTGCTCCCCTTATATTAAGTCATACCGTGCTCAAAGTATAATGATATTAACAAGTTATAAGAATTCGAGCCCGACTTGATAAACCCTCAGGCGCCGTATCTTCTCTTGTCACAATCCACCCTAGATGCCTCTGAACAAGGGTTTCCAGATTTCGACGGCTTCCTAGGGCTATCATCGGCCGCATTGGCATATCTCTCTCATCAGAAGCTCCAAGACAGCTTCCTCGAGACCCCTGGCGCCGTCGCCATATTCATCTCAGCTTTTCAAAGAGTTATCAAAGGTGTTTCTGTCTTCAATATTGACGATACCGATGAGCAGGCGCAACTTGCCCAGCTACAATCCATGTATACCAAAACTTGGGCGGACCTGTCTGCTCACCCTCAATTCGCCTCTTTATGCTCGCTGGATAGTCCGGTAGCCGGTCTGCTGCTCGGCTGGATTTCTTCATCTCATGATATGGAACTCCAGATTGCAGCTTGCCTAGCCTTCGGTAACATCGCTCGTACCGACGCTCAAAGTATCGCCTTAGTACAGGAGATGTCTGTGCATAAGTCGATAATCCCCATCCTATCCTCCGACTTAGAAACAGATGCCCAGCTGCTCCATTGCGCTCTTAGCTTCTTGAAGAACTTATCCATTCCCGCGAGCAATAAAGCCGTGCTAGGCAGTGCGGGCCTACTGGACCCCAGTGTTCTGCCCCGGATATGGGATCTTGACACGCAGCCGCAAGTCCAATTTGACGCCGTGTCGCTCACACGTATCCTCCTTGTCAACTGCCCCGAAAACGTGCGACGTGTCTGTGTAACCTCAGATACGCAAAGCAGGACTCCTATACAACAATTAATAGACCTACACAGCAAAGCTGACCAGGAGCCTACTAAGATGGAAACAGCCCGCGCCGTAGCCGGCGTCTGCCGCGTCCTACACTCTGACAAACCGGCCGGGTCTTCACTCCTCCCCGAGTCGTCACCCTCGCCTGCTTCCGAAGATGAGGCCAGCTCGCTCCTGCGGGATTTCTACGGCAAGCATCCCGCTCTACTAGACACGTTATTATATCTCGGTCTCCAGACCAAATTCCCCGTCTTACGATCAGACCTATGGTTCGTTCTCGCACTCATGGCACGCTCCGCCGAAGGATTTTCCATCGTAAAACAGGCTATATTGCAACATCCTGAACTGAAAGATCTCCTTGCAGCGGCTGTCGCAGGTGAGCGTGAGGCGAACCAAGAGGCAAGCAGTAACCCACCCGCAGGGAACGGGTTAGATCTCTCGGCGATAGGTCAGCTGGAACCGCAGCAAGTAGACCCAAAGAAGACCGCAGCGATGACCAAAGTAGATCGAGAAAACGCCCTAGTACTAATCGCTGAGCTGGCGAGGGGTGGCCCGGACGAACTCCGCTCTGACATGAGGGAAGTTTTTGTCCAGATGCTGAAAACGGGAGGGCAGCTAGTACTCGGCGATAGAAACGAGAATGTCGAATCTGCAACTAGTCAGTGAGCCCGTACTAGAATTAGATTTAAATTATAGATATGCGAAGCGTTTAGAGTATAGCATCTCGATAGATACAATCAATTATGCGAGGTTTCCCTATTAATCGTCAGTATTGGTCTCCCTATTATTTCGTATGCTTTCCCGTTTCGTTTCGCATGTTAGTTTACGGCTTCATGTCACGGTCTTTTGAGAGGCACAGAGAGTATGTCCATTCATTTTTCCATTGAGAACGACCTAGAGCAAACCGGAAGATGCAATAATGCTTCGGCCTTTGTTGTGTGACGAGAGAACGATGATATTTTGTTTCTCTCCTGGCTACACAGGAACCGCAAGCCAACCCGCCGTGACCGTCCAACAACACAACGAAAGCAGAACCCTAATGATGCCGTCCGTACTCCCGTAAGAGACCTCCATCTTATTTCTTGTTGGCCTCAGCCTCAGCCTTGTCTCTGGCTCGCTTCTCCCGCACACCTTGTAGTCTGGCTTCGCTCCTCGCCTTGCGGAGCTTCGCGAAAGCACCACCCTCGATCGCCTTGGGCAGATCGCTCTTCTTGATCTCTGAAATGCCCTCAGCCACGGGGATGATGGGTAGGGTGGCTCCAACAGTGGAGACAGTCTCGGTGTTGCTGAGGTCGATGTCCTTGCTGTCACCGGCCTTGGGGTGCTTAGCACCCTTGCGGGGGAATACGATCAATCGTTCCTTGTAAGCCTTAAGGCGAGCGACATTGGCGACGAGAGACTCTTCGCTAAGGTTCTGTCGGCGGTAGTCTACGGAGATACCGACGGTAGGGGCCACGAGGCGGGGGATACCAGCTTCCTGTATAGATTGTTAGAATATCGAGGAATGTGGAATTAATGCAGTGTGCGCAGGGCGCAGAGCATAGGACATAGGGCATAGGGCGTTTCTAGAAGGGGATATATACCTTCAGCTCAGTCAGAGTGAAACCACGTCCAGCACGAACACGGCGGTTGTACTTGATGGTCGGGCATCGGACGACGGGTCTCAACTTGTCGACAGGTCGGGGAGCGACGGCAGCAGCCTTAGCACGACGCAGAGAGCGACGGCGGATCTTCTGGGTAGGCTATAGTTTTTCCAATGTTAATAATTGAATTATTTTCGGATTCGATTTAATCTCGTCGTTAAAAGTTCTGAAGGGGATCGTCTTCATACCTGGTCGAAGTGGGTTCGGACCCGGCGCTGCCAATCCTTTCGGAAATCTGCATGTATCAAGTCAGTTTTATTATTACATTACGATTTTAATTTTTAATTGATCGATTCGTATTCTGGGAATGGATTCGATTGAACGTACGGTTGTGTTGAATCTGGTTGTTGTGCTTGATCGCCTAGATTTCATTTTTATTAGTGATAAATCCTCTTAAAAGAGAAGTTTCTGAATAGATATTACTCACCATTGTGACTGATTGCGATCAAGGGTTAGTTGTGGAATGAATGGTCGTCTATCGCAAGTCGTCTCAGTTCTCCAGATTAGAGGCACGAGAATTTCCTAGAGGTTGTAGCTTGAACCAACCCGCACTTTCGGCAAAAATTTTGGAGGGTTAGAAAACCCTACAATTTGTAAGTGGGGACGAATGCACCTGTTTGTGGGTTTGTGGGTTTGTGCGTGGCTTAGGCTTAGGCTTAGGTTCTGGAAGGTCTGAGGCTGAAGTGGGACATGTCTATCTCTCATTTGATCAGCTGACTAATCGAATAGTTATCTAGGTAAACTTAAATCCGCAAGCGTGTAAATAGCTTCACATCCTCGCTTTTCATACTTTACATTATCAACGACACTAGGAAATTATATGCTAATACCTAAAACACAATAGTAATTAACTAGACCATATCTCTCCTTATTCTAACACCCCAAGCCCTCGGTTCGGAATCCGAAAGCTTTGCCTACAAGATCTAGTTAATCCAAAACTAACTATCAAAATGATAAACATCTGATATAATCATCCCAACCCTGTCATTTCTCTATGCTGCTGCCACGAACTTGGAGCACTATACATTTCAACTGACTGTATTTGATCTCTACTTATTGCGCTGCTGTCAGCCTCTGAAGGTGGCACTGCGCTATCTGTTGTGACGTGTTTGTTTGGTGTTGTGGTATTTACTTCCCCCTGACCCATGTGCTGCGGCCGCCGGTTCCGTCGCAGGATATAGACCACGGCCACCACCGTACCGCAGACAAGGGCCAACCCACCCAACACACCGCCGATAATAGCACCTATATTAGTACTCGTCGAGTCCGTTGAGGATTGCTGACTTGTTGTAGTGGACTCCGGGCCTAAGTCAAATTTGGTGGTTTTTGAAGATGATGATAATGATGGCGATTCTGCTGAGCTTGTTGAGCTATCCTGCGTGCTTTCTAAGCCCGAACTTGTTATAGTACTGCTTGTTGTCGAAGAAACCAACTCTTCTGTAGTTGTGAGGAGGTAGGTATCTGTTGTATCAAGTCCACCGCAGGCGAGATATGTATAGGTCGTCTCGTATTCACTTATATAGATAAGTGCCGTAGAGCAATAACCATAATCCGACTCTGAGCTGCAACACCAACAGCTATTAATAACCAAGACAGCACATAATTTGAGGCCTAAACTTACCAAGAGATCGTGTGTTCGTATCCTATCATTCCACAGCCCATAGAGCACTTCGCTCCATCCGTGCAAACTCCAGCCAGTCCACAATCGCTGAGATTCATATCCGTGATGCAAAAACCCCATAGACCATTCACAGTATCAATGCGACAGTCAAAGGGTGGAGCAACAGTCCGGGTTTTCGATGGATTGCCGTCCTGGTAACCACAAGTGGGTGATATTTGAGTTGGGACATCCTGCAATCCAAGTCGTTCATGTGTAGCTAACTCGTCTCTCCTGTTGAGCTGAGACATAGTAGTCTCGACAATTCTTAGTTCTACGACCGAGGAAGCCTGGTAGGCCCGAATAATAACTATTTGCCAAAATAATAGGAGGAGATGAGTAACAGGGAAGTTTGCCGCCATGTTGATAATTCCATACTCTGTCGGGTGGACTTGAAAATAAACATACGGCATGAGCTAGAGTCAATAAAAGTAAGGAAAAGAAGATAAATCTCATAGAATCGAGTATATGCGAGCCAACATTAGGGCCGAATGAGACGCCTCGACATAGCATTTCTGCCAAGCTTTTCCTCTCCCAGTTCCTGCTTGCCCCCCCCTATCTGATCGACTAGTTGAACAGCCTAGAAGTACACTGAATAATGTCCCCTCCCCCATTTTTGCATCATGTATTTCGGATACTAGCATAGTATATATGGCCAATAAGAGGAAAATCTTACCGCCAAATTATCACTGTAGAAAATTCAACTCGGTAGGACAGAAACAAAAGGGGGGGGAAGCCACCGGCACGCCACCAACGTGCCACGACAGCCTCGACAATATACATATAGATATAGCAACAGCATCACTATTTCTAAAGTAAAATATATCTTCTCGAGATTGAATAGATGTTATGTCCGTTTTTATAGGACAATGGCAAAGTGAATCTATGTGGGTAAACATTCTTCAAATTGACAATATTGATATCATGGTAGGACACTATTGGCGGATCTTTTTGAAAACTAAATTATGTCTACTGCAAGGGGGCACTACTATCGTAAAATAATAATGGGGGCTATTATATTTTCCCTGTAGAGTACACGGATATCTAGCTTGTTCTTGGATTACATGTTTGGGTTGTGTATGAGGCAACGGAGGACAAATATGAAGCCATGGCGCTAAAGGAATCATATACACAACACGATACGTCCAACAGACCTCATTTGTCACACTTCATTTAATCACGAAGGATTCTTTTCTTAGGCGCTGATCCGATCACTTCGCGAAACTGAACATGCGTACCTGCAACCTCGTCCAGGACTAGAAATCGGGCGTTTTCGTCTCGTATCACACGCCACAAACCTCCGTGAATCCCCAAACCGAATCCTGATGAAGCGGGCGCGCTTAAATTTTCTTCAGGCAATCTGCCTGTATCTTATTATTCTTATCTTCGGGGCTACGTACCAGAGTTTCCCCTCGGAGTCATGGAGTCAGGGGAAGCAGTCCGGTTTTCGTCCATCTAATTCGCCAATATCTTTGGACTCGATTAGAGGTCAGAAGTGAATCATGTGTCGGACCTAATCCATCTATATCTAGACGACCCACGGAACATAACTATATATATCAAAGCCATTTTAGACTCGGCAGATACTACATTCCCTCGCCTAGGGTGTCCGAACTCGAACCTAGCACGGTATAAATACCTAAAAGCACTGTCGGAAGATCATGGGCCTCAAGAATTAAAATAATTTTTTACTCTCGACTTTCGGCAGTCCATTAATATTTTGCCTTGTCTACTAGGATCCATTACACAAGCAATAAAGATTCTTAGTCCAACTACTAGCGCTCCGTCGACAGTGGAAGGTAACTCAAACGATGGCACACGCGAAGTCCTGTACTCCCTAGGCATTGCATATTATGTTCAGTAAAGTGAAATGGACCCCAAGGCTAGAGAAAGGATAACAAAGCTCGCACAGCTTCACAACTTGGCCATCTCGCCACTTCTCTCCCTTGCTGGCTTGACTCAAGATGCAAAACCAAACCCATCATAGTCGTCGTTAGTGCCAAATACAAATACGACTGTCATCTTCTTAAACGACGTAGCAATATGTGTATCTGACATATTCGAGCTACTACACCAGCGAATCTTCCAATCAGCAGATATGACTTGCGCTATGGACTGGACCTACGTTGGCCGCGACCCAACATTCTATAACGTGTGAGTAGCACGCACTCTCCAGGGAGATTTGTTCTTCGATATTCCGCCAGACGGCAACTGAAATAGCGCATGGAATCTATTCTGGAATGATCAAAAAACTGGTGAGCGGCTCAGCAGGATTCTCTCTTTCAGGTCTTTGCGTGTTGGAATGGAGCCGTAGCTTTCACGGCTGCGCTGATACTTGGAGAACAGTTCTACTAAGATCGAGGAGACTCGAAGTCGCCTGGAAAGGAGAAGAAGGGAGAGAGAATCGAATTTCGAGGACTGCGGGAAGACGAGTGTTACTTGGGGGAGCTAACGCTATTCTGTAAGGACCTCTGGCGAACGGGTCATGGGCGCATCGCTGTTGTGCCATCAGTCAACCTCGAATACTCCGATGAGGCTGCATCTAAAATCAAGGCGGCCAAAAGGTATACGTCACGATAGACAGAACGAGAAGACGAAGACGCAATGAGAATCCAGTGGGTAGACCGGCCGCCCGACACGGTAACATGTATGCCGGGCTTAGGAGATCAAACCTGGCGACTGTGGAACGAAACATTTACTTAGGCTAGCGAAAGGAAATGAACTAATTCGACTGCTACCGAAGTTTATCGCCTTAAAGCTATACTACGGAGAATGGAATTTTTTTTTTGAAAAGTAGGGCGAACAAAGTTGTAGATACTCGGATCTCATAAAGATTTACCATGTGCTATTACTCGACAATACATCGAAAATTTTGGTATTGATACACCTCAGTATGGTATTATACTTGACTAAATACGGTTATAGAGAGATATGATATGGGAAACGAGGCCTATAATGCTAGGTTAAATAGAATCCGTTAAGCTAGCCATAGAGCAGGAGAGAGTGTATCCTAGATCATCAGTTAATATTATGCATACGAGTTCAAACAAGAACTCTATCTCTAGTTTCGAAAATGTAATATATATATTCCCTAGATTGTCATGTCACATTAGTACATGAGAAGGGAACTTGCAACGACGATGATACTGTTGAAATCGATGATTAGGTTAAGCTGAGTAGAGAGCAAGACCTTTGGATTAGGAAAAAAATTAGCTAGTTTAAAAATTCCAGGAGTGTTTAGTTAAATATTTAATTAAATATATATTAACCTATCTAGATGATACAGAAATAAAATTGAATATAGGTCGATTTATGTAAAGTGTACCTAAGTTGAAGGTATTTTATAGCAAGTTGTTGGTAACATGTAGGTACATGAATACATCGATTCGGAGAGACACCTTATGCGGGGACCAATATATTAATTGTCATAATGAGCCTATCTTCATCCAATAGATGATTAACTATAAAAGGGAATATCATTATAGGAGCCTTGGTAGTTCAATATATACTTATAAGTTGAAAGATTCAAGTGTGAGTGATATGTAAGTATATAAATACATAAATACATTGAAGCTTGGCAAAGCCACGTGCGAGTAAAAAAAAGACTGCACGGTTTTATTTAAGCAATAGTGACTGGTATCACTATAAAGATAGCGGTAACCCGCCTAGATTTAGTAGATAAGTCACTATTTAACTTTCATCCTAGCGCGTAGCTCTCACAGTACCAAGTAACCTAGAAGTCAGGAGATTACAAAATGCGGTGCTACTTTTGGCCCAGACCTTTCTAGGCTCAGAAAAACGCCATGCGCGGGGGGTCCTAAAAATATTAACTATCATAACGAGTCACTTTTAGCCTTGGTAGCTCAATTGGCTAGAGCGTGGGACTTTTACAAAATGGATAATAAATCCTTTACTTGGAATTAATCCCAAGGTTGCGGGTTCGACCCCCGCCTGAGGCGTTTATTCTTTTGCTAATATTTTTTGATTCGCATGTATATATTATATTTGTTTATTCAATATTCTTCATTCTTTTTTTATTCTCGTGTTGTTGTTGTTAGTTAACTTGTTATATTATATCTATGAGTTGAATGAAAGTTTGCACATATGGCAACATATGGCATAGTAAGACAGGTACGAGTTGCAGTTACCGGATATATCCCAGATTGGACCCGTAATTGCCTACCGAGCTCCCGCAATGCCCCGATAGGTACCCGAATACTTAAAGGACCCGTCATGTTTTATCGCATCGCCGATCTACACTACTGCATATCAATGTAACTCTAGCCAACGACATTGACATCTCGATCATGATCTATAGGAATCTACCAATCAGACGCCTAGTTGCTCTGGCTTCTAGATCCAAGACATTGGATACGTGCGCCGTCTTAACCGGAGTACCGAAAAGATGTCTACACGGCACGGCTTCCCTCCGTACAGATGGAGTATTTCGCGGCCTTACAGATAATCGTCTGCCGACGCCGTGGATAGAGGCGTGGAGGCTACAGCAAGAAGGGAAAAACGTAGCCACCGACGAGGTTCAACCGCAAGAACGCGATCTTACTCCGAAAAAGATGAGTGATAGTTATCATCGAGTCGTACTTCCTCTGGGTCGCGATCCGTGGCTTAGCGACACTTACATTAACTCATCCGGTCACATAAGGTCCTCAGCTCGTATCTCCAATCTGCTGGTTTTTCTGACTAAGACTTTAGATTAGGCACGATATTCATGGATCTTGACGCCCTGTCGGGTATTATCGTGTATAAACATACCGGGCCGGGCGTAGCTGTTGTTACCGCTGCGCTGGACAGGATCACCATCGCTCACCCGTTGACTGAGATATGCGATCTCGAGTATAGCGGGCAAGTAACCTACGCGTCGGGACGGAGTAGCGTAGAAATCACTTGCAAGGTCGCCAGAGCCAGAGACGAAGGAGAACCCAGTAAACCGGAGGATGTATTGCTAACATGCACCTTCACCATGGTAGCCCTAGATCCCAAAACCAAGAAGCCGATCAACATACCGCGTCTAGAGTGCTCGACCCCCGAAGAAGAAAATATCTTCAAAGCTGGGGAGGCCAAAGCCCTAGCCACCAAACAAAAACTCAAGACGTCACTACTTGAAACGGAGCCCAACGACCCAGAATCAGCTCTGATCCATAAGATCTGGCTTCGACAACTGGCATACCACGACCCGAACAACCACATCCGGCAACCGGGCAACGTGCTCGCCATGTCCAAGACGCAGCTCTCGACTGCGTCCATCATGCAGCCGCAATACCGAAACCGGCACCAGACCATGATCTTTGGCGGCTTTCACCTAAAGCAGACGTTCGAGCTGGCGTTCTGCTGCGCGGCGAGTTTCGCACACGCTCGCCCCACGTTCATTAGTGCCGACCCGTGTACTTTCCGGAACCCGGTGCCGGTCGGTAGTGTCTTATACTTGACTGCGACGATCGTGTATACGGACCCGCCGCTATTGGAAGAGGATGGCAGCGAGCCCCGGCAGAACGACCCAGAGAATCCGGTTACGCGGCTGCATGTTAGGGTGGATAGTAAGGTGAGAGATGTCGAGCATGGGAACGCGAGGCCGACGGGCCAATTTAACTATACCTTCTCAGTCCCTAAGGATGTCAAGGTTCTACCCAGTATGTATCCTTTTATATTTATTCATCATCGCCACCTTTCCAACTCATAGCAACTTGCTATTCACCCGTCTTTTTCATCCCTTCTATAGACGTGCAGCTAATTCGACATCTTAGATACGTATGAAGAGTATATGATGTACATCGATGCGAGGAGAAGAGTACAGCTCGCAGATGTGCAGGATCGCCAGGGGCATACAGACTCGAAAATTCAATTGCAATCAGTTGACACTGTTAATCTCACGGAGTGAGCCCGATTATGTCGAGTTCAAATTTTTGGTCTCCAGTGTGCCGAGTTGAACTTTTCGAGGGAGCTGTTAGAAGTAAATATTATTTATCTTATGTATATGTCGATTATTCTAGATTTAGACAGGGGCCTTAGGCGGATGGGGCATATAGACTGATTCGCCTGTATATAAACACGCCTTCAAGGTTTATACTCGTAAAAATTTATAGAATTTACTGCTGGTTATAATTGTTTGTATCTCGTTAGAACCTGATTTTAATAATTGCTGTAGTTCGTCTATTCATTCCTCATGTGGTAGATATATACTATATACTTACTACCATGTTTAAGAACAACCTTACCGCCTTGAATATATTCATATGTGTATATTAGGGACCTGTCTAGAGCCTTCTCCCCGCGCCATCATTGCATATCTGATGGTATGCTAGCTAGGTAGCTAGCTAGGTCCTTCGAGGTGATCATTCTTATGCCTTCTGACTACTACTCAAAATCATGACTGTTTTCGAATAAGTTAGATGAACCATTGGCACGTTATAAGGCATTTCTATGCTTCTTCAGGCAGTCGATTGCAATACTGAATTGCTATATATGTACAAGGCCAGAAATGGTAGATATTGCACTTCGACATACTGATACATAGCGTCTCGTATTGGAAAGGATACTAGACTCCACCCTTAAGTCGCGAGAGCTCTCTGTTCTTCCGAACAAACCCATGGCCCACAAGAGGTAGATCTCTTTTCTTTAGCTCCTCTTCTATGAGCTTGAATCGACCAACAGCCTTCTCCCTATCGCCGCGCGTGATGCGCTTCGTCGCGAAGGACACGTTGGGTAGCTGCACGAGATCTTGCCGGCGCTCCTGGATCTCCTGAGTAAGGGTCTTGAGCTTGGGCGGTTTTTGCACCGCGTGCAGCAGTGACCGGACGTCTGTGATGCCGGATAGCTGGTGGTCGTGGACGAGTTGCCCAGTGAGCTGGAATATTCGCTTTGTGACCTAAGATCCACCGTGTTAGTCTCATATCCCAATATATTTCGTTTCGATGGGGAGAGCATATTAACTCTAGCATAGCAGAACTTACAGCAAACTTGATCCGAGGGTCTGACAGAGACACTGCCTTCCATCCATGACTCCAAGCATCTTTGTACTTCTGGGCCTCTTCTGCTGAGAGCACCGACACACTTGTGCTTTCCTTGGTGGACTCATTGGTCACAGCAGGCTGGCTCTTTTCGATCAGCGAGCCTACTACTGCAGACACATCCCCAGTCAACGACACAACGCCGTCCTTTGTTACATTGATTTCCACGCTCAAGAGGTGATGTAATTCATCTCCCCCCGCTATCGGCCAAGCTTTTATCAGCTCGTCTTCTCGCCCCGCCTGTTTCAGCGCAAATGCCTCCACGACAGCTCGCCGTACCGAAGTCTCAAGAACGGCAGGATCAAGAACTGGATTCAGCGGCTTGAAGCCGACAAAATCAGAGGTCCAATGTTCCGGTTGGTCCCACCAGTTATTCAATCCGCCGACCATCTCCAAGCCGTCTGCCGTCAAAGCAGGTACATAACTAGAATCTGAGACGTCGCCCAATCTTTCGGCATAGCTACGTCGAGGTGGGGGAATATATGCCTGCCACTGCGGTGGAAGATACTCTGCTTCTTCTTCTTTTTCTTCTATAACCTCTTCGGTTAGCTCCTGAAGCTCCCGAAACTCTTGTTTTTGCGCTTGTTCGGTTTCAAGAGCAGAGCTCTGGCTCTGTGTGCTCGGCTGCTTATCGGTTGAGTAAAACCGGAAGGATAAAGGACTTTGGAAGGTCGTGGGTATGGGCCGGCGGCACGAAGTCGAGATAGTCTGGGATATTGGCGCACATTGGCCAACTAGAGGAGTAATTGAAGAGCATGGCGCTGAGGTATACAAGCTGGAGGATCGTCTTAATCGTGGTATCCGTCGCATTTTGACTAATTAGTGAAGCTATTATCTAATTCGCAAGTCGACTTCCAATATTTAATAGTGGAAGCCGTGAACTTTTTTCGGTCCGCGATGTTTCTAATAGGTAGCTGCAAAATTGCCAAGACGTACCGATGAATGTATAGTTTAGTGGGGCTCTGTGGAGACTTAAGCCACAGGTACATGCACTGCGTACCCTGAAAGCTTTTTTTATATCTGATGTACGAAGTACCTACCTGCATTTATCGGATAACCTCCTTATCGGCGCAAGCATGTGCTTCCGTTCCCAGTTTCAATCGCATCAATCACAATTCACCTTCCATATGTATTAGTAGTTCAAGGTATTAGTGATTTCGGTGCAGATAGGTTATATATAAAGCAACTCCATTAGCTACGACATCAAGATACACATAGCCAATCAATGATCGCGATACGATGCGACTTCATCTTTTAATCATTTTCATAGGGATCTTCATCTCATATGTCGCCGCCTCCTGTAAGCTAACCTAGCTTAATATACACATGTTCATGCCTTACTCTATTAGCCATACTGATTTGTACATCTTAACCGCAGCCGCGCCGACATTCTGTAAATGCACCTGTTTCAAGAACAGCACCTTAATACAACTCGGTCCTCAAGGCGATTCATCCTTTAGCAACCCCGAACACCCGGCGTCACCGCAACTCCAAGAGCGCGCCGCATCAGCTTCCTGCACCCAATGTACCCGAGCTTTCTGCCTTTCGCAACATCTCCCTATCTGTAAGGATGCCGAGGAGACCGACGTCATCACTACCTGCTTCCAGCGCGATAGCCGCAAGGACCAGATCATTGTCTGGGGTTTTATACTGGGTACCATTAGCCTGCTGGGTTGGGCTGCTGCTAAAAGAGTTGTTGAGTTCCGTGAAGGAAAGAAAGCTGCCGCTCTAGGATTGGGAGGCTCCGGTATAGGGAGTAGAGGTGGGCGAGGATCCGCTCAGGATAGGGGTGCATATATGCCTGTTGGCAATGACGATACGCAAGGACTAAATAGGTGAAAAGCAAGAGCATGGTTGATATCCGTGAATGGATTTTGGTCTAAAATATTGAGACTTTTACATTGAAAATGGCGTTTAGGGAGGCTCTAGAGGAGTCATACAGAAAAGTACTACGGCTCTCGTATCTAGGTACGTCAGTATACACATTGAAGTCAATGCTATACTACAAGCTAAGTGTGATCTGACGTGCGAGGAGAAATCAAACATGTTTGTCTAATTTTAGGATCATCTATAAATTATACTAACGTCTAGCCCTTTTTTTTGTATTCTCCCAATCGAGTTCCTAGATCGTTGAGTTAATTTTTCTGGACGCCTACCTCCACGATAGCCACCAGTCCTCACATATAGGTTGGGGCCGCTTCTTTTGCCCACAACTGATTTTACTTGAAGCTAAATGCCACTTTTGATACGCCCGAAACCAATGATGTTAATAGATCATGTTCTCTCATCCGGGGTTTATTCCTCTTCAATAAGAGTGGTCTTGGGCTCTTGTTCGCTACCGTTGGCATTCGGCACGCCGTTCTTCTCTCTCCGAGCCCGGACCGCAGCTGCGAGGTCTTCGAGGACTTCGACTGTACTATTCCAATCGATGCAGGCGTCGGTGATGCTTACACCCTTCTTCAGCCCTGACGGTCCATCCGCCGGGACTTTCTGGTTACCCTCGTTGATATTGGACTCGATCATGACACCAATAATGGCCTTTTCACCTTCTCTCAATTGGTCGCCGATGACCTTAGCAACCTTAGGCTGGTTTCGGTGATCTTTATTCGAGTTTCCTATTTAATTATTGGCTTAGTACTAGACGTCTCGTGGTACGAATGTAACTCACCGTGCGAGCAGTCGACCATAATAGCCAATTTCTGTCCCTTCTTGATCAACGTTTCTTTAGCATTTTGGATGCTCTCCTTGTCGTAGTTGGTACCCTTGCTACCACCCCGAAGAATGACGAAGCCATGCTCATTCCCCTTGGTTCGTGTGATAGCTGCTAGACCCTGCTTAGTGACACCCATGAAATGATGCTTAGAAGCCGCCGCTCCAATAGCATCGATAGCAACATTTAAGTTGCCGTCAGTGCCATTTTTGAAACCAATGGGGAATGAGAGACCAGATGCTAGTTCACGGTGTAGCTGTGACTCAGTGGTACGAGCACCAATGGCACCAACAGAGATGAAGTCGGCCAAGAACTGGGGCGAGATGGTATCCAGCATCTCGCTGGCAATCGGTAGGCCTGCGTTAGTTAGGTCGCTGAACATCTGTCGTGATATACGAAGACCCTTGTTGATCTTGAAGCTATTGTCAATGTCGGGGTCATTAATGAGACCCTTCCAGCCTACGGTAGTCCGCGGCTTCTCGAGGTAAGCACGCATGATGATGCATAAATCGTCTGACAGCTTCTCGGACAGCTTCTTAAGACGCTGAGCATAGTCGTGCGCCATGGCCGGATCGTGAATAGAACAGGGTCCAACAACAACCAAGAGGCGGTCATTGCGGCCCATGATGATAGAAACTGCATCTCTTCGACCCTTAACGACCGTCTGCAACGAAGCATCAGTCATGGGGATCTCAGAGATGAGCAATGCCGGCGGGATGAGAGGGTCCTGTCCTAGGACTGCGGTTTCCAAGTAAATCAGCATCTTGTCTCTTTTCCTCGTCTGTGACACAAACAATCTTCGAGTACGTATGACTCAGTAAAAGGGGGACGGGTGCTCTCGAGTTGTACGCGAATGAGGCACTCGAGATCTGAATATAAGAGCAACGACAGGAAACGGAAAGGGGCGCAATGACAAGAATCTAGTAAATGAAGATTGGTGTTTGTTTATTGTCTAACATACCTCTCATGTCGTCGGCCACAAGGGGCGCCATATCGACACCTGGCATCGTAAATGGATAGGTGAGCAAAGTACTTGGGGGTATGTAAGAAGACTCGATTGGTGGGGTGGTAAATAAGTAAGCAACCAAGGATCGAGGGACGTAATAAGAACTGTTTGCTACGGACAATCCGAGCAGCGGGTAGATGCGTGGTGTGCGATATAAGAGCCGTCGATTTGAGGTGAGTCAGACTCTTTGAAAAAAAAAAAAAAAAAAAAAAAAAGAGGACGGAGAAAATTTGATAATAAGAGAAATGCAAATATTTCTCTTAATGCTTCAATTCCTTATTTCGGTCTCCTGAGTCCCAATTTCCAAAGTCCCTTTAAAAAACCTACTAAGTATTAAAACCAGGTAGTCGAATTGGTTAACCCTCTTGGTGAGCTGGTGTAGAAATAACTAAGGTAGGTAAGTTGAAGTTTAACTATGAAGATGTCGGCACCACGTATGCAAGGCGAAGAATACCTAAGCTGCTACCTTAGGTACCTAACCTAAGGCACGATGGGAAAGTTATTTAAACCAATAATAAATTTTGACCAATAAGTTAGTACAACGACATGTGTAAGATAGGTCCAAGGTACTAAGTTACGTAGGTAGTTGCAATATTATTGAAATATCCCAATTGTTTGTAAGGTGAAGGTGGGGTGTTTTACGAATGGAGGGGTACTACTACCCTATACATTACTTATCACTTATCCCCAATTGGGTCCATATTACGCACATAGATGTACTTTGCACTAACTCCATAGGTACATAACATATGTAACTTTAGGTAGGTTCCAATGTACTCCATCCATATTCCGAAAACTTTTTTTTTTCTTTTCTTTCTGGTCCCCTCGCCGCGGCGTTCTTCGTCTCTTCGAAATCGTAAGATGGACGCATTGATGCCGCACCAATAGTTACAAAACTATTATCACACCGCCTTCGTAAGAACTCGTGGAGTCATGCTGGCATACTACTGGTTGCTCATGTTCATAACTCGTCCACTAAGGTCTCAAGTTAGAACTCATATTATGAACATTCAAGTACATAAGAATGCAACTTAATATGAGGGTTCATATCTTCTCTTGTTAACATAGGTATTCTCTGATGTTCGCTTATACCCTACGCTGATGTCATTGGATTATGGGGACTCAATTGAGATTTCTTCTACCTCTTATAAGATTGAACAAATCGATAAAGCTGTTCCTATCTGCATATCATATATTATTGTCACATCGAATCTGATATGATTGTTTCGTCGTATTACATGATTTTTCATTTCATAACATTACATTCCTTTGGACTTTCTGTTGAATTTAGTCTTCTTTTCCTACCAATCCGCCATACATTTCAAATATAAACTAGGCTGTCTTGGATTAAGTGTTCAGGAACCAGCCCTACGGCTAAATAGCAATATAGCAACATGGCAAAAGAAGGTAAAACAAGGAAAATTAATGGCGGAGGTATATTATCCGTCGCTCTAAACCTCGGTTACATTTTGCCATTATGGTCATAAGTATCAAAGCTGCCGCCATGGAGATATTAGAGATCTCTCTTGTGCCTTGGCGCTTGTCTCCTTACAATATGACATCCGTATCATCTTCGAGTATGCTGAGAAGCCTCAGCCTCAGATTCTCAATACTAACCGCTTGGTTACTATGCTGGGCGGTATGTATTGGTGCACACCCTACTTATAACATCCCCCGACAGGATGAAGATTCTCATTGGGTAGCAACATGGACTTCAATGCCGCAGCTGGTGGAACCTAATAACATGCCGCCATCCCCATTCGTATGTTCTACTCTTCTTATTCATCGAGTCACGCATTACCCAACTAACCGCGGATTTAGTCGGGCTCAGCCGCGTTTAAGGATGCCACCCTTCGCCAGACCCTTCACCTGTCTATAGGTGCAGAAAGGCTTCGCTTCCAGATCTCCAATACTTTTGGTGGCAGTGACCTTCCCATCACAGAAGCATCTATAGCCCTTCCAACAGGAGGCAAAGCAGGCGTGAATGGAATCGATACGGCAACATTGAAGGGCCTTACTTTTAATGGCTCTAGCTCGGTCACGATCCCGAGGGGTCAGGTTGCCTACACTGACCCTGTGGACTTCAAAGTTGATCCACAAGCCATGATTACTATCAGTCTCTATTCACAACCTGGCCAATCTGGAAGTAGCATTACTGGACACCCAGGCAGTCGAACGACATCTTGGATGCAGCAGGGTAATCACCTTAATGCCTCCACTGTGACGGGAGCGAGCACGGCGCATTGGTATTTTCTTACTGCTGTCGAAGCCTGGGCCCCAAAGACGACCGCTGCTCTGGTGATTCTCGGCGATAGTATCACGGACGGGCGAGGAAGCACTGATAATGCCAACAACCGGTATAATTAGGATCTTCATTATAGTTAAGGATCTCGCTAACAAATAATCTCAGCTGGCCTGACCTACTTCTAGCTCGGATGCAGAAAGAAGGAATCACCAACGTCGCCGTGTGCAACCAAGCAGCAGGTGGTAATACCGTCCTTACCGGTGGCCTTGGCCCACCGCTCATGCAGCGTTACAAGCGCGATTTACTCACAACTGCCGGTGTTAAATACGCTCTCATTTTCGAAGGTGTAAACGACATCGGAGGGGGATCTGTGGACTCGGGAACACAATCACGTATCGGAAGTAGTCTAACATCGTCATTCACGACCATTGCCAAAGATGCGAAGGCAGCCGGCTTGACTGTCTTTGGGGCAACAATCACACCATTCGGCGGAAACGGACAGAGTTACAGTAACCCAACGAGGGATCAAACAAGGCAGACGGTGAATAAATGGATTATAGGAGGTGGAGATGGCAGTTTTGATGCTTCGATTGACTTTGCTAAGATCGTGGCTAACCCCTCCAACGCCGCTAACCTGGCTTCTCAGTACGATGGCGGCGACCATCTACACCCCAACGTTGCTGGATACCAGGCGATCGCCGACCAATTCCCTCTGGATATTTTTGGGGATAATGCTACTATCGTGTAAGCAGTTAGCCTTAACTAGCTAGGGGTTATTATATAGGATATCCCGAATCCACAAATCATTCCAACTCCATGTTTACTAATGCAATAGAAATAAGGGAAACAGACTCGAATGAATTGTCTAAGATAATTGGCCATCACTTAACACGCTGGGTCGATTGCTGTTGGTAACCCGCCGGGGGTATAATAGGCATATCTGATGATGAATAATAACATGCAATGAAGACCACGGACCCTATATTATGTGAAGGCAAAACATTAATCATCGAGTAAAGTACACATTCTTTAGACGATTCAATTAACTAGGATTTGCTAGTCCTTGTACGTTGCTGTACATGAATAATACAATTGCTTTGTGGCGATATAGAGATTCAACTTACCGAAACATACCTAGGTACATAAGTGGTATATTTGCCCATAAAGCTGGCTTCTTTAAGACGCTGGATTATCCGTAGTAAACCGAACCGGGTATACATAATAATCCCTAGAAATAGCCAATTTCGCTAGGTAATAATATGCCATATGAGGTGCTTTCTTTATTCAGCAAATGGGTCTTAGTGGTCATCTCCTACGTGATGTTTTATATCATGATTTTGACAGGTTTCGTGACTCTATTTTATCCATGTTGCCTCATTGTCTGTGTCTGGCTAAATTGGGCTCTGAGTGAAGAAGGTGATACGAGCTCAGAAAGGAGATTGAAATATCCGAGCCCGCAGGAACAAGTTGAACAGAGTGAGGAGGATGAGGCCGAGAGGCTTCTGGATATCGTTATCCGGCACGCTTTACCAACCCCATCACCTGCGCCTGTTGACTTTTATACTACACCGAATATAACATTTTGAGATGGTAAGTGTATAGATTTTTTTTTAAGTAAAGAGATAGCATCAAAGCGTCAGAATACTACAACAACCCTACTACTCCAGACTGGCGTTAATATAATCTCCCCCCTTAGACTAAACGGATTATACCCATTCTTAAGGCGCCTTATGAAATAATTTAGCTAAGCTCTTGCATTAACTATATCATCATTTACTATCCTGCAAAATCGGGATACCGCGTTATACAGTAGCTTTCATTATATGGTAGTAGCTCAAACCACTGGATTAGAGTCCGGCTATGCAGAAGTCGAACGGGAGTCGGACGGAACCATGCGGGATGTCGCAAATCAGGCTACAAGACTCGGTCGGACTACTATCAAAGCGGGGCAGCTGATGAGTACCTGTTTGGCTGTGGTGGCATCGATCGTGAAACATCCCTTGTATCTCATCGATGCAACCACCCGCTCAAGATCAAGGTATGATGTCTCTCTAGTCGTAGGAACATAAAAGACCGCCGGTAGAATTCTATCTCGTGCCCTTGCTAGACGCCTACCAAGACAGGCGGACTAGTCAGAGGGTCCTCAGACAGTTAGAGACATTTAGGGGTATCCGAAACGAAGCGACTGGACGGATCTATGCAATGTCCATCAAGGGCCTTATAATTTGTTTGAATTATTCAACTATATAGAAAAATAGGCAATACTGATAAGGTGTAACTGAGATAATATAATAATAAAAGAAGAAAGAAATAGGAAGGAAATAAAGAGCATTGGATTTGACATTGTAAAGGGTTGATAAGGTATATGCGCACTTGTACATAATAATAATTCCAATGTTAGTACAATTTTAGTTATGCCATTCCTTGTGTTACTTGTGTTACGTGATCTATGAATGCAAAGTTATGTAGATAGACCCACTTGACGTATTTATGGATACTGCATAATAATATATTGTGAAAATTACGTATATGCTTTATGCATGCGGTTGGGTACCTGAGTGTCTGAGTACGGGCGTAACTGAGGTACATGCATACGATGTTACGGTGGACTATTAGTCCAACTGTGCCAAAATCAAGAAAATGGGTGGGAGCTGTCCAAAAAGGGTAATTTAGTAAGCAACGCTAGGTGCACAGTATTTTGAAATACCTGAAATATAAGATTTTCTATTATTTATTATATATATATATATATACGGATCCGTATAATACGATATATATACAAATAACTTTACGAATATATCATCTTATAATTTATAATTGGTATCATTTTGTAGCTTTAATCAATGCGAAAATAATGATTCCAGTTGCATCTTTATATGTCTTTAAGCTAGAATATCATATCAATATCAAGTAGGTGTTGTGTCGAGAGGATAACACGTGATACCCTTCAAGACTGACATCTTGAAAAGGCCACAGATATTTCAACAACAAGCCAACTATCCAATACGTATCTTACAAACATGCAACCTGGATTGTTATTTTCGCATTAATTGAAGCTATAAAATGATACTAATTATAATTTTTAAAATAGGATATTCGCGAAGTTATTACAGTGTATAAGTTGTATCCTGTATATTTACGTATTTGTATATATTTAAGGTTAAAGTAAAGGTTAAATCTGATTGGTTGTTATCTTTAGCTCGTGGGGAAAGGGAAAGTAGCCCGTAATGTATTTAATAATGTTTATAATTATATGGTGTTTCCAATATCTTTACGAATCTAAGGTCGAGTTATATGAAATTGGGATTGAAATTTTTGTCCTTTTTTAATAAAAATACCAATACCAATTTTAAGTAATTCGAACGTATATTAGTAAAGTTATCCCCATATAAAAGGTATGTATTACCTTATAAATTGTGTATATAGTAGAAATAGCCGAACTTATACTGTAATCTTAATGTTACTATTACCTTATTTGATATAGTGCGACTGACTTTTTTGATTTTGGCACAGTTGGACTAATAGTCCACCGTAGATGTACCTAAGTAGATGGCTTACACATAGAATACACAAGGCTGGCACCCTTAATGCGATGATCCATTGCAAAGGATGGCCCCCAAGAGCAAGAGCATTGGACTTAGATCCCCACAATCGTCAGGTGCTTTTGGAACTGGCGGAAACTTGGGGCTGAGGTAGGCACCGTCACCGGCGAGTTATTGCAGGTGCCTTCTTACATCTTTTTTAATATCTTTTCTCCTTTCTTTTAGTTTTCGAGCATGTGCTTCGTGCGTTTTGTTTATATTTATAATCTGCTATTTGGGGATTCGTTTCGAGAAGAAAACTACTAACCATTTGACTATTCTTCCATCGTAAACGTAAACCGTTGATCAACGACTGAAAGAGCACCATCGGTCTGGAGCCAGCCACGAACCAAGATTCCAGTCTCGATTCCCCATTCCTATTCCCACCTCCGTCATCCCCCCCCCGCTGAAGCCTGGCATTGCGGCATTGCGGCATATCGTACAATTGACATATAATATTTCAATTACTTTGGCGCAGCCCCCTCGGCCTGCTAGTTCCGGCCTCTTTCGCAAATTGATATTATCATCCTTCCTGTTTTTAATTGGCGACAGTTTTCGAGCATAGTTAGATCTTCCTTACGCCTCGGTCTTTGATTTATCTTCTACGGCATCTTCACCACCTAGCTATCTCCGATAATAAACATGTTTGACCCTCACTGGCAGGAACTTCCGCGGAAACGCCAGAGAGAAGATGAGGAGCAATACAACAGTATCCAAGCTAATATGGGGGACGGTATGAATGGAACTTTAGGCTTTACCGAGCACCGTAATGTTAGTATTAACAATGTTGATCCATACACTACTCGCGACTATCAATAGGGCAACCCATACGGCATTATGATCTTGTTCGCGCAGCTCAACAGGTCACGGCTAACCTAACCTGTACGAATAGAAACGTCTACAGTCTCTTCCTCTGCGCACCTCTCCAACACAGAAACGATGGTCAGGACCGCCCGGCTTTCCGGCGGCCGCAGCAACCGCAGCAACAATTCCCCCTTCCACTATCACGCCGACCGATTCCGATTCAGAAGATATGCAACATCGACAACAATCAAATCCACCCATGGACATCGATAGGGACATGGACATGATGGATTCCTCGTCCGAACCTTTCCAACCTAGTCCGTCTCAAACGGACTCCCTCAACGCCAGTATTACCGGACGATTACCTACCCCTATACACTGTACTTTTGCAGCGCAAGTGCGAGGACAGAGTTGGGGCCCGATGAACCAGACAGTGCATGTAACAAACCGATCGAGCAATGCTATGGTATCGGATAATGAATGTGATTTTGAGCACACTCAGCCGTTCCCTACAAAACATGACGAATCTTCGGTACCAAGATCTCTAGGTGGTGCTATTGAATGGTCCATGGTCCAAAACCGGCGTCTCCCGTCTCCTATTAGTGAGAGTGGCGGCGAAGATACACCAGCAAGCCCAGGTATGGTGCTGGACTCTACAACGTCTCAGCCCCAGAGACCATACTTACCTCATATGCCTCATTCAACAAACCCTCACGCCATGGCTCTCCACCCCAATATCCAGACCATCCCTCAAGTCGTCGACAACGATTCCGGTATGATGGATACGGATCCCGCATCGTCTCCCTCCTCGGCGCCAGCTACACCGTCACCAAGAGGCAAGTTTGGCCATTCACGTAGCAAACATACCGTTAATAACTGGACACTCCAACCCGGCATGAAGAAGTCATTCAGTATAGGCTACCGAGCTGACTGCGAGAAGTGCCGCATGAAGATTCCGGGTCACTTTAATCACATCATTATCTCCTAGCATAGTTAGCATGGGGTTATCACGAAGCTTTGCACCTAGCTTGAGAATATGATAAAGTTTGCCGAAGACGAGATATCATCTTAACATGAATATTCCCAAAAGGAGACGAGCAAGGATAAATCACGTGTGAAGACGCCTTCAAATGTCATTTTTCCGACTGCCAATGGGAAATACGTGGACCATATTCCAGTCAAGGCTCTGGATGTAGTAGATACACTCGAGGTTTCGACAGTTATCTCTTTCTTCTATGAGAAGCATCAGGTCTATTCGGACGATGTTTACCGTTAGTAGCTTGGACTTGACGAACTTATAAAGGCGAAGCAGGTCCCCAAGTGTTTTTCTTAGATCCTACTATTACGATAGTAGAAACGGTAATGATACGTGGCTTACCTTGGAGCTCAGCAGTATGGCTTTTTTTCTTGTATTTCAAGATGTTCTGCCTCGAACACAAACATTAACCCATGTGGCAATTTTTTGTGTCATAGTTTCGTTCATCATTACCCTGTTTTTCTTATTACCTGCATATATCATTCGTTCATTACGCCAATACCCAATTTTACGGTCGTTATTGCATTTGGTCATTGGTTATTGGCCTCAAGGGGAAATATGTGCATTCATTCGAGGGTAAATCAGGAGCTGGGGGGATATGGGATCTTTACACCAAGTCTATAATTGCCCTTCTCTCTATTTATCTCTTTTCTACTTTTTTCGTTAGGGATATCATGGTGTCATTGGCGTCCAACGGCAAAAAAGCTGAACTAAGTTGAGGGCTGGCTCAGATATTGAATATGCTCTGTACCAAGAGCATTACCTTGGGTGGAGTTGTCGGACAAATGGGAGGCAAAGTAATCGTTGGAGATAAAAGCCTTTAAAAGGTGAATCCGAAAAGGGTTTGTCAAGGAGTATAGAATAAGCACGTGGTGCGTGGTGGGATTACATATTGTTGCGCCTTTAAATTTAATATGACGGCGTTAAACTTACAACTTGATCCAAAAGATCCGGATTCAGTGGAATCATAGACACCTAAGCTAAGTACATACATGCTAGATTGGGAGGTGAACTAATAAACAAGGAATTATACAGTAGAATACGTCCAGTACGCCCAGTCTAATGCTCTGCCTTTTTTTATACGGTAATGATACACCGATATTCTTCTCATCAACGAGTATACCCAACTCATGGCATATCCGATGTAAACGTCGTTGGTAACCTATATACAGTGGAGTATTACAGCAGGTTGGCTTATATAGCAATTGCCACCATCCTCTTAACTTCGCCGATCTTATATTGTTGAAGATCAAGGTGGTGGTTTCTGTCAACCTCACTACCACCACCCGCTCTTCTTGGTTTCATTACTATTCGACTTCCCGCTCGAACCGACCTGGTCTAGAGGTCCTCCATTCCTTTGATTCTCCCGCTCCTGATCGAATGCTGCCTTCGCCTTGTCCTTCAACGCCTGTTGCGACCCGTCAACCGCATTGGTGATACTCGAGCGCGAAGGCAGACCCGAAGCTGCCGCGGCTTCTTTGTCGAACTGTAAGGGCTCTTCGCTGACCTCTTCATCCTTTAGCCCGCCGAATAACCACGAAGTGAATGTCTTCTTCTTGGGCTGCTCTACCTTGTTCGCAGCGGATATACTGCTCTCGACCATAGACTCTCCGGGCCAGGAGCTTCTCTCCGTGCTCTCCATTGTGCCCGTTTCCGAAGCAATCGGCTTGGGTGTAGATAGTAAGGGCGGTAGGCTTATGCCTGACTGTCTAGCTTTTTCCTCGGCTTCCTCTACAAGCGTAACTTGTTCCTCAGATGCTGTGCCCGTCATATATGCCAAACGCGCAGCTTCCAAACTGTCGGTTTTAAGTTGTTTCTGGAGAGCAAAGAACTCGCTCCGGCGCTTGCGATTGTATACCATCATATCGGCTGTTGCGTAGACTGTGACGAAGAGTGCGAGGCCTATTCAAGCATATAACAATTAGAACAGGGTACGAAAAATTAGAGAATGTATATATTCTTCTACACGGAACGAGAACCATTATGATAATATAAATAATATAAAAGGGAGCATTACCGCTAAATCCGATCAAACCCAAAACAGTAAACTTGTGAGCGGCATCAAAGTACCTCCTAGATACGCCAACAACACGGTCAAACCGTGACGTCTCATGCTTCCTCGCCGCGAGATGTGCAGCCCGTAACCGACGTACGCGCTCTTCCATGGTCTCCGGTGCCGAAGGCCTAGGCATGCCGGGCGGCGGCATACTTCTTTGGGTTTGCTGTGATGAGGTAGTGGAGGGGGAAGAGCTGCTTGACGATGGAGGAGAGCGGGATGCGGCTTTCGCATTCGCATGGGGAGTATTAGACGTAAATCGCGTAGCGTCGGCGACACTCCGCGGGCTGTAGTCTATAGCCATAATTTCGTGTGCGTATTTGTGTAGGCGTATTTGCGTATTTAATCGGGATTAACTTCGTTAGGCAACGTTATGGTATTTTTCAAGGTGGATTGGCGTATATTCTTTAAGCCGTCACATTTATTATAGATGGCCGATAAATTTTTGAGGTTCGCAATAAAATCGACTGATGGATTAATGATTTAGAGCTTGCAGGAGCCCGCAGCTTCCTTGCAATACCTAAACCTAAGTACCATATAGCAAGCCGGATGTACCTAACTTCTAATCGATACTACGATTAAGTACCCGACAGCGGGGTAGCGATTGAAAAGTTTGACCGTTCCGCTATCGATTTTCGCTACATGTGATTGACCAATGGCGTATGTATGTGGAGTAGAACACATTATTTGCGATTTGCGATTTGCGAATTTCCAATTTATATCAACCATCTATTACATCTATTCTTAACTAAGATATCTTTGACTATCAACTCTCATTTTCTCGCTTCTAGCAAGTAGCATCATCCAATTTATTCGTCGTTTCCACTCGGCGGAAGGTCTTTAGTACCTCTACCGTAGTCTTCTCCAAATTTCTTCCCTCCGATGAACAATGGCTGCGTATCCTGAAGCACAAACACTATACGAGCCCAGTTAGTAGTACTCGGATTGCGCCAGGCGTGCATCGTTGCTCGTTGAACTGCTATATCACCACGCTTCATATTCGTGATACTCCCGTCATCTAGTTTCAATTCCAGTTCTCCCTCGATCAGTATACCAAAGTCCAGAGACTTGGTCCTATGCATCATACACTCATATTGCGGCCCAAAGTCGACCATGCGACAGACGGTCCCGCCTTTAGTAGCTAACCCGAGGTTTCCCCCCGCGATTATTTCCTCGTGGAATTTTATGTCGGCATCGTCGTTCAAATCGGGCAGAAATTTGTTGGTATAAATCTGATTGAAACCCACTATAACAGAAAACGGCGTAGGTTAGAATATGTGACATATGAGAGCTTAACGAGGGACTTAAAGCCCGAGATTATCTCCGTTCAAGAATTCGAAAACAGGACAATGGAGGCAATTTATAGTCCAAATATAAAGGTAGGGATGCCGTTAAAGCAAAAACGTACTAATACCCCCTTCAAAAGCCTTCCACGCTGCTGGCCGCGCAGATTGAACAATTGCCTTTCCCTCGTCATTATGACCTGTTAGGTACGTGGTAGTGCTCGGGAGATCCGGGGAAAGCTGAGGAGACGGCTTCGCTGGTTCGTTTGAGGCACTCGAGCTAGCAGTCATTTTGTATGGATATGAAACGAGGCTTCTTGTAAGTGATCAATTGCTTTGAATATGTGTTCTGATATATGAGCCGTTGTGACGAGCGAGGTAAAGAAAAGATCCAGGAGCAAAACACGGTGAGGGGTTCAGGTAAAGTACCCCAAGGTGACACCTAGAGATCGTCGGGGAAATAACTGCTATTCTGAATATATTACAGGCATGCAAGACGGATACTCGATCCTCCATAATGCGTATGCATGACCAAGCTACACGGGATAGTTGGGGTTATCCGACAGAGTACTCAACGAATCGGACAGCGCCATCTCATTAGACGAGCCTAATATGGCTACATTTTTCGGTGTGCCCCTTAGCCATATTTTAATGCATGACTACCTCTTTTATTATAATACACAGGTCTAAGAAGGAGCTTGGACTTGATTTTCAACCCTATTATAGCCGCAGATTTTCCATCTCTTCGTTATCAGATCCTTCAAGCTTTCCGAATTGTCCTCTCTCTTTCCTCTTTCGAAATAAGCCCATACAGGTCGAAAAAAACCCAGGCATCTCAGACTCGGGTCCTACGAGAACCTTTCCCGGATGTATGATGTTAAAGCCGAGGATAGCTAACATCATGGGAGCAGCCTCGAGTACATAGAAGTAAGTTTCGTTGGCCACCAAGGGGTTCGATACTCCAGTCGAGCCGGACGAGAACTCGACTAGTCTGAATATGATACGAATCTTCACGAATCTATTAGCAATAATTACAAGTGACACTTATGCCGAATACTTACCGTAATGCAGGCTAACGTAGCATATAGCGTAAATAATAAAGGACGCCAGCTTAAATTTCCGGTTGTTGTCGCTTCGAGAGTTTTCACGTTACGCATCTCCAGCTGAAACCCAACTGCAAATGCAACGAATATAACTATAAAAAACTGCTGCAAGCCGATACCTCCCATATAAATATGGATAGCCTTTAATTGATCCTCTAGTGGTGCCGTCGGACCAGCCATTGAGCCACCTACCAGTTGAATAACGAATGCAACAAAGTCTAGCGTTTGTCTACGATTAGCATGAAATATTTTTCGAGAGCCAAGCACACAAAATATGCAACGGCTCTTAAACCGAAAGATGTCCTTACCAAATGTGACAAAACCTGCAGCTATTGCTTGTGCCGGTATATTAAATATTTTCCGCGAAGGAACGAAATAGTATATCATTCGACCAAGAACCATATAGTCGAATGCGTTTACCCCTATTATGGCGTGTTAAAAGCAAAGCCTACTAAGCAAATTCAGCTGTGCGTCTACTCACACAGCGGCGAGAGCAAAATAAAGATCTGGAACACGAGGTATACACCAGAGCTCTGCTGGTAGTGAGTGCTGATAGTACGAAATAGGTAAGCCACCGTTTCCCAGAGACTAGCCATAGCAATGACCCAGCAGAATTTCTATCAGATCATATTAGTATCATTCGGTTTCGACTAGCCGCCGGAATATAATTAGGTACCTTTCTATGAGCTATTGCTTGGTATAAATGGGTGAGAGTCAGGAGCCCGAAGATAATGGTGAAGGTAATTGCGGCCGAGAAGCTTGGATAGTAGCTCCAAAGGGCATTGCATGTTCCTGGGGGCAGGTATCCGTTCGCGTCTGGTTCTATCGTCTGGATACATGTTGGTATTACGATGTTGATTGTCTTCGCCGGTACAGTAGCGTGGGCGTTGGTAAACCCGTCTATCGTGGCATGTTGCGTAGTTAAGAAATATACACCTGTATTCGCTGGGGCATTCGTCACGATATATGTTGCTTGTCTGATTGCTGCCTGCATAGTCTGGATAGGCCCTTCAGATGCCGTGAGCGTGAGCGTAGCCATTGGGATTAGGTGCCTATTATTGTGCTAGCAAGGAGATCGTATTGAACAGCAATAATAGCAGTGACGAAGTCAGATTCTAAGAGTGCTTTATAATATTAAAAAAGTGTCCATAAGTTCTATTTAGACGATGTAAACTACGACCTCCCCTTAACTCTTATATACTCCTATATGTCAATGAAACCAAATGTAGCTTCGTATCTATTATATAATTCCATAGGCTCTGTCAAGGATCTATGGCTGAGTCCAGGGCTGCTACATAGTCCGAACTGGCCAATCAGTGTTTTGGAAGCGTTCCATTAATACACAGCTCCGCCCCAACCAGGCAGATACTCATAACTCCACCAGTTTTAGCTCTACACTTGGCAGTTGATCATACATATGGATAAATCTTGGAAGTTAAATTAATCATAAACAAAACATTCCCCAACCAAGTTGATCATAAACAATTCTATTATAAGTGATTACTATAACTTCCATCTAATATAAATTCTAAAATCGCATTGGTCTCTTCCAAAGCCATCCAAGCATCATATTATCTCAGCAACGAAATCAGTTTGAAGATATATATCGCCTTCAACAGTCCTCCTATAGAACCCAGCCATCCTCCCTCGAACCTCCTGGTCCCGTGCGTCGACCTGTACACTAAGCGCAGGTCTCGTGGTAGAATCTCGTACTCGCATCTCATCAGGGGGTAAACCAGGCCAGACGGGCGTTGTAAAGGGGTTATCTTTCTCATCTAGCAGAACGTCGTGTTCAATCTCAACAATGCGACGGCCAACTGCATGCATCGTAGAGACTTCCCAGAGGTTTTCCTTGGCGACCCCCAACTTTTTCATTAAGAAGAGCGCTTCGATCCTAGTCTTTAGACATCGGCATTTCATCACGATATAGTAGAGCAGTGGTACAAAACCCATTTCAAAAATAAATTTTCGTGTGCATTGTAGATTCTCCGGTTCAAGCGCCCTCGAAGAGTGTAATTTAGCCGCCATAGCAACCATCAAGCGAAATCTATCAATATACTTGTCGTATGTCGTCTCGTCGTATTCAAACGCTGTTTCTACCCATATTCGAGCAACCTCATACCGCAAAAAAATGCTACAGAGCATCTCCTCCGACCTTGTAGGTGTCGAAGGACGGGTTTGCAGGTCCGAGAAGCGACTTTTCCAGTTGTCTAACAAAACTCGGGTCTTATCCTGCTCCACTAGGAAAGCTAGGCTTACAGGACAGTGACGCATATCCCCAAGCCGGTAACAATCTCCGCCTCGAACGAGGCGGATAGTTCTGAGTAAAATACCATCGATAAAGTGTTGCGCCTCTTCAAAGCAAGCGAATGATTCCGGAACATGGTCTTCAAGATTGATAAGTTTAGGAAAGCTTGTTTCATCTAGCGCGAAGAAGAAGGGGAAGATTGTTAGGCGCCGAAATATTGGAGAAAGATACTCTTTGGTCCAGGGGAAGGCAACCTCGGCATTTTTCAGGATAGAGACTCCATGTTTGCAATGTTGTATAGCTGCCCCTTGGTTATCTTGTAAAAACTCGATACACACAAATAAGATACACACTAACAACACTAGAGGCTCGTTGTTCATAGACTTCAACTCTCGGATTGCCGAATTATAATGGCTGAGTGCAAATCTGTTGTCAACCAGTCGCTGGGCAGACTGTGACCGGGTTTGCATACGCTCGTAAAGCGAACTAATTGCCACTACGGAATGTCTGACAGCGGGCTCGAAATTGCTGAATTGCATTACCAGATGGGTCCAGAAGTAAGGGTCCATCGGCCCCGATAGTGAGGGTCCAGCAGCCTGACAGAAGAATTGTACTTGGAATAAGAGTCAGTATCTACTTCGTACTTCTATAAGCCATTCATGAAAATTAAGCAGGGTCCGAGCCAATGACCCTTAGTTCATTCAACTAGGGAGTTCTTGACCCATGATAATAAAGGTTAGTGGGGGTAAAGGGATGTTCAATACTACTTACGTGCTCTCCTCTCATCTATGTTGTCGACTCCTGGGAATAAATGACGCGGGCGGTGCCACGTGAGATCCGAAGAGGTTGTAGTCTGCTCATACCCGTCACACTTTCGGCCAGTAGACATACAGCGCTGGCAGTGTGGTTTGCCTTCGTCGCATTTTACTTTGCGGATTCTTTTCTTATTAGCTTCCCGGTTTTTATCTTCCAAATTTTTTCTAATGTCGTTACATTCGAGATTAACGTACTTGCATGTTAAGCAACCCGTCCTAACCTTAGTGCTGCCTTTACGAGCCATAGTTGTATTGTTAATAGCTACGTCGAAACTGATGGTGTAAATGGGGCTCGATCCGATCGAACCTGTGATAGCCTAAGTAAAACCCCGCTTGAAGAGATAAATAGGCGTAAGAGATATCTGGATTGATTTCTTCGTTGAGCAATGTTGGCAATGATAAATCAATCAATTTCTCAAGCTACCTAGGTATGTAGTTGAAGCTCAGGGGTCAGGGGTCAGGGGTCAGAGGGGCGCAGCTGGAAATGCAGGTTAAAGGATTTAAGAAGTGGGCATAAAATCCGAGCCCGCAAATCAGAAGAGCGAATAGTTCAGCCCTACGTACTATGTATAAGACTACGATTCTGCAGCCTACATATGCATAAGCCACATTGCGTAATTTTCAGGGTGAGATAAGTAGTTGTAAGCATTTACATAGGTAGGTATGTAAATATGGCAGTATAAATATGGCGGTATAAATAATTTAACATGAGAAGGATAAAGGAGTAACAATAAAGGAATAGATGGGAAGTAGTATATGTAAAACCGTAGTAACATACTTATTCTTCATTGCTATCTTATGAATCCATCTCCTCGTGTTGGAGCAATTAACATGTAAAATTATTAGCAGCCTGGGACTCAATATTCTATTAACGACGAAGTTGATATCGAGACTACTTCGACCGAGCAGCGGCACGGACTACCTTCAAGATAGGAGCCCTAACAATAGTAATTCAAAGAAGCAAATACGATAAGCACATTGGTCTCTCAACTAGAGAGATTAACTAAAGGCAAACTTGAACTTTTATTACCTAACTACCCCTAGGATTAAACAATTAGGCCATGCAGCATTGGGCGAGTCCAATAGTAGTGCTCCACATGTTTTATGTCTCGTTCATGCATCAGGGAATTTTTATCCCTTTATTTTTCCCCAAGTTACCATCCAGCAATATGGGCCACTAATTTAGTCCCCGTTATAACGACCCTCGCCAGCACTCTTAAGTAAAACGTCAACAACCATGAAGTCGGTGGTGATAACAGCCGAGCCTATACCAGTTAGTAACTATCTAAGTCCTAGGATGCGTTTTGCTACTTACCATCAGTCCATTTGACCTTCCAAGTATCGTGGCCGTTCGGAAATGCTAGCCATTGTCCTTCAGCATTGTTGGTAACCTTGCCGTCCGTAAGCTGGAAAGTGTCCCACTGGGCAATGTCTCCTTCACCAGGCTTGACGGTTTGCGGGTTCATCATGTCGACAAGAGTCAACAGATCAGGAGGACCCATGAGCCCAATAGAGTGGTCGACAATGCCAACTGGGTACGTGTGTAGCTCATTGCACCCCTGCTTTTCACTGTCTACAGTGTAGACCTTGACAGGGGAGACATCATCTCCGTCGAAAACACCCAACGTGTTGTTCTTTAGCGAAAGGAAACGGCCGTCGACTTTCTTGTTAGCCGGGCTACGGGTATTGTTAGCAACGGCAAAGAAGATAGCAATAGTAATAAAAAATGGCTTATAATTACCAAGAGATCTGGAGCTCATAGAGGTCGAGCTGTCGCTCCATAAGCGGGGCAGCGGAGGCGAAAGTGGCAAGAAGGCCAAGAGGGAGAAGGCTGACGGGCCACTTCATTGTGACTTTAGTTGAATGAGGTTGATGTTATCGAGAAGTAGTACGAAGAGATTGAGTATTATAGGGTCAGAGTAATTGCGTAGCGCAGAGGTAGAACTTTATGTTCTTACTTGTGATTTAGGACGTGTTGTGATGATGAGAAGACGATATTAAAATTCGACGAGAGGAAACAGGTGAATTTATGTTCTTTCCAACCGAAGGTACTCAAGATATGGGATGGTGACGGAAAGTATAAGAGGGTTAAGGCAAAACCAAAAAAAGGTTAATTAGATTATCTGCCGATCTACGTACTTTAGTGAACAGGCAATCACGTCCTAAGATATACGACATGTACAATAACAGGTGGTCCTTCCTCGTGCCTGTATATCAACGTTAAGGCAGGAGATCTAAAGTAGAAAGTACGATGATGGTATCAAGATCAGATCAAGGAAATCACGACACATCTCACACCACATGTAGAAATTTTATATAAGTTTGATGACACCCAAGAATTCTAGCCCATACAAGTACCTAAACCCTAAACTATACGTACCCTTATCGTTCTGGATCTCGGGTATCTCAGGTTAGAAGCTAAAGGTAATGCTTCTAAAGAGCCTAGTACCTAGACATATTAAGTTTGGCATATTAGGGATGTGTGGTAGTACTAATTTTAGCTTAGGATTGACCCAATAGGCTCTTTAGTCCGCTATAAAGTAGCATGATCTACTACTAAATTCCCCATAGTGGAAACATAACTACAAGTTCCTGGGATTACTTCAACCGTAGGCTAAATCAACGCCCACGCCAAGCATCACCAAGCATCTCCAAGAATCCCCGCAACGACTCTACAAATCCTAAAATAGAAGAATTCAATTTACAACTCCCCTTCTATCACTTTCTCTTCTTCCGCTACCACGGTTCCAGAAGCTGTCAGAATGTCCAAATATCCACAATCCCCGATGTTATCCGTTCTTTTACCAATATCTATATCCTGGGTACAACTCGGAGACATGGCTGACTGAGACAAGATCCGTTCGACGGAAGCGGAATACACCTCCGTCTATACGTTTTTCAGACCGACGTGGAAATAGATATATTCTCTTTTGAAAAACCTGTACATTTTTGTTTTAATCTTTAAATTCGCTGGGGTTACATCGCCCCCGGGGGATAAAATCAAAGGTTAGGTAAGGGAGGATATTTGATCTATGACTGCCTAGAAACAAAAATCTCGATACGTCGCCTACCTTACTTGCCTACCTCCTGAATCCTAGGTTTTAAGTTTGGCCACGTTGCTCTATTGTCTAGGTATCTATCCGCATGATCTCATAGATCCTAATGGCTTTAGATACGATGTGCATGGGCTGCCATCTAGGAGATCATCTTATCATGTAAGTCTACTCCAGAAAGTTTTTCGTACAAACACCGAGCGCACAATGTATTGGTCAAGACCAGAAACTCCTAAAAGGAGCACGACTTAATGTATATCGTTATGGATAGTTGTTTGTTTGTTTTGTTGGAGGAACAAAGACCTCAATGTGAACGCGTGTGCCGCTGGAATGTATGTTGGGCTTAGTCTGGATTGTCGACAAATTCCATCGAGGAATAACACCAAACATAATGTCTCTTTCCTTTACGCTTCCGGTCCTAGCTGTGCTGAGCTTCAAGGGGTTGGAAACTCTCCGCCGAATTATGCGATACGAATCAATGGCTAACTCTCGCATCGCCTCATATCATGTCCCAAAGCAGGAACTGCTGCGGCGTGCTCACACGAAAAACATGTCGTTGAGTCTCGCTTTAGCCCTGAAAGACAGTGCACTAGGAACAACTCCGTTGAGTCACCAGCAAACTTTCTTGTCTTTACTTAAAGCAGACGCTCCTTATGTTACTACTGCCATTCCGCGTATTCTCTCCGCCGTCGGCGCGTCAATAGCTAATCGCCGTCGGGAAGCAAGCTGGACTGAGTTAAGGGGAATAGCGCTTTATTCCCTATTATCTCTTCTAGAGCTACAATTATTGCTATCTATCTCTCTACTATGGCTGGTATTTCCTGGCTTAATACTTTTACCTTGGTTGGCCTTGCAAACCGCTTCTATATGGATTCTTATCCGTTATATAAACGATGGGCCGCGATCCTCAAAATTCGTCACGGAGAGGTTTCAAGGTGATATCTCAAGTAGCGAAGAGCAGCGCTTCGATTGGTTTGTTGTTGGTGGTGGTTTTATGCACGATGAGCACATGCGTCGGGAGCTCGCACCAAAGCTAACGAGAATGTTTGGTCATGATATGCATATCTTCATAGCTTATAAGCTAGGCTTCTTATTCGAGATCATACTTATCTTCCTCCAACGGAGCCTCCATATCCCTACGACAAGATCTGTAAACCTCTATAACTCCGTTCGAGCAAGTCTATTGAAGCCAGAAACAAAAGGTGTTCGCATCCTTGCACATAATACGGGGGCTCTAGATGTCTCATGGCTACTCTCCCGCCTTTGCGCCGATTTCCCCCCTGGAGATCGACTAGGCAAGCTCCAGGTATTCACATTCGGCGCCGCATCCATAGAAATGACCTTGCCTCTTGGACATGCCTCGTATCAACGAATCGAGGATGAATCAGATTCGCTTTTCCCTTCAATCACCCATTTTGCGTTCACAGACGACCCATTTGCACAAATCGGTGTGCTCCTTGGGATCCGCCAGAGGCTAGAAGGTCGCTTTGTGGGTAGTTTATACACCATTCATACCACTACGCTAGTTTCAGGAAAATCTCGCATATTACCTCGTAGTCGTCATTACACTCTAGATGACTATTTCAACGCTCTTCTACCTGATGGGAATCCTCGACACGGTGTTCTCAGCCAAGTATGCAAGATAGATCGCGAACTGAGTGAAATGCGAGAGCTGGCTGCCTTGGCACAAAGCGTTACTAACGAGCGACTGAGGACACGAAGGGAACGTCTGAGCTGGACTGCACTCGGAGCAATGTCAAATACCACGTCCGGTGGATACGGTGGGCGTGATAACATATCACAGCCTTTCTCTCTGGAAGAAGTTAGGAAAGAAGGCAGATCTTTGGAAGGGCTTAGGGGGTATGAAAACAACCCACTAGTCAATGTGGTGAATGATGCTAGATATCGCATACGTTCTAAGAAACACGCGACGGGTACAAAAGCCATGGCAAACACCGAGGCCTTACGTTTAAATCCCGGTAAGCATAAATACTAAAGGTGTCATTGTTGGGGGATGAGATCTCTATTAGGAAATAGAATTGTATCATACTTTAAAAGGGGGGTTGGGGTTCGCAGTCTATATTCTCTTTGGGTTTACCCGTTATACAGACCAGCTTATAAAACTACCTACTTAATAGTAAACCTAGTATTATCATCTAGTTCTATAGCTTTATATTGGATTTAGTAGAACGCCATATCATTACGGCGACCAGGAAGTGCAGAGGAGATTCGGTATTATAATCCAAGGCAATGATGTCTCTACTGTATCGCAACCAACGTCAAGCAAATTTATCTACTATGAAAATATCACCTGTAATGCTACTATGGGTTTATAACTATCCGAAATACCCCTGCTCATTTTCAAGTACCGTAGTATTTTTTTCAAGCTCGATATATGAAGGCTAATTCGACGTAGCATATTTAGGTAAAAGAGCAGAGTTTTTGCTAGCCAAATCACAATCATTACCTTATATTATGCGAAGTTTATATCCCAATTAAGCCCCTTTAATCCGCCGCGGAGTCGACAAATGAGGGTCGTTAAACATTTACTACTATCTACATCCAAGGAATATCTTCGTAAGTGCTATGGATACTAGAAGTGATGTCGCTACCATAAGATGATACCGTTACATATTCGCCCATAAATACTTCATACCTTCCCAGATTTCCACGCTGCTAGGTATAATCTGGTTGGCAGGAAGTACGAAGCCGTAAGAAGTCGATCTAAGCTCAATTCCCCATCCGAACTCTGCTCCGGCTGCGTCGGTCATATAGTCCCTACCATTTCCACTCGACTGGTATAGTACTAGACAACCAGGGCCATAGTCGAACGTTGTATTGTCTATATTGAAGTTGTTAGAATACAATGAGGATATGAAGAGTTCCCAATTTGATTTCGACAATGCTTGGATTTATAGTTGGGACTATGGAATGAATATCAGGGGGGTTGGAGGGATAGACATACATGGTTGTGCGATCCTAGAGGCTGTCTCGCCCGCTAGACTTATCTGACGGTCTATATTTTTTGGAAAGCTATCACAGATGTAGCCATATGAGAGCAAGATTACTTGGGCGTAGCTATGCCAATCGATGTACAACTTGATGCCTTTGTTAGTAGCTAGCGTTTGAGCGAATTCCATCAGCGCGGCAGTTTCAGGCGCGTCGCCAGCCTGGTAACCGCTGAATGTCTCGGAACTCGGGTTAGAAGAAGAGCCATCGCCTCCGAAACCAACAGACCAGTTTCGGTTGATATCCGTGCCTACTGCGGTTGTGTTGTCTCTCGTCTGCCGATTCTTCCTCCATAGCCGGTTGGTTGTCTGGGAATATACGAAACCTTAGTGGGATTAATTAGAGATCTGAATTATATTCCTCTGGTGTTATTGTGATACTAGTTACTCACCATCGGGGTTTACAACTGGTAGGACGTAAAAATCGTAGTTGTCTAGCGCAGCTTGTACCGCTGTGTCATTTTTGTACCCAGTCACTATTTGGTACAAGAGGTACTCGACCACCTAGAATGAAGTTGTATTAGTTAGGTAGTTAAAAGTTCGATATACCTACTGAATTAATATATGTCAAGACGTACAATTGAAGTGATCCATTCACGAGCATGTACATTCCCATTAAAGAAGACTGCCGGCTTCGAATTCTTGCCGCTGCTGCCCCACTATAGCATCAAAAGTCAATCAGCGCTTTTTTAAATATATGGTTGCATGGAGTATAAAATAAAATAAAGGGAGGAGGGAGGCTCTTAATATTGCATACGAGATGAATCCCCTGAATTGGCCTTCCCTCAAACGAGGATCCCACTTGAATAAGCTCTGAATTGTTGACAAACGAGGCTTGAAGATCGGCCCAGTAGCGAACGTGATCCTCATAAGCATGATATGAATCAAACCAAGATAATCCTGGGACACCATCGTCGTCAAGTTCTGCACCGACGGTTAGTGGAAACGTTTTAAAGAATCGGATTTAGAACACAAACCCGGATAGCTACCCAAGGAGCCTTCAGTTGCGATGTCTGCTCCTAAGTTTCTGCTTAAGATAGTTGTATTGAAGTCGAGCGTATCGAAGACCGCGACATGTTCTGGAGGAACCGCAATATCAATAGTATCCGAGCTACCATGTTGATGATTGCGATTATGATTAAGCTCTATGATAGATAAATTATCGTATGTTGATTTTAGGTCGGCAACGTCACTCGTATCGATCCTATAAACCTTGAAGCCCTCGAAGTTGATACTACCGTTCTGTTTAGCCAGAACAACAGCCCTAAAAGCCCCAGTAAACAAAATAGCAGTAGTGAGCTTCATGTCTTTTGTGGATTAAAGCGTACAAGCCGGAGTTCACTAGACCAGAGAAGACAAAGAAAATATATTATATACAATTATTTTAATGACGAGCACATTTTACTGTTCTAGAAGGCCTTTGGGGTCGAGCAATGCAACGCAGAGTCACAAGCATTAGCAATAACAATGGTCGCCTTCCTAAAATCACCACCCACTCCGGCTTGGCACCGATGATGCCACCACGGTGCAAAATATCGACAGCCTCAATTATGATGACAAGGTCAAGTTAAAAAGAGGCAGATTACTATTCAACATCCGACCTTCACCTACGTCCCGGACTCCCGGGTTAGTATACCCATCGGCCACAAGAGACGGCTTATCAACTATACAACTCTGCCATTTTCATCAATTGGTTAACCATCAAACCCCTTTTTTCCTAAACTCGAACCATCCAAGACATATTATACGTTAGGTAGATTCGGCGGGTAATTCATGAAGAGGGCTATAGTGTCCGTACAATTCCGATATCTGGCCTTCGCTTTTAGGAGGTATGGGTGGTGCTACATTGACACTGTTCGAAGCTATTGCGATCTGGGACGTCGGATACACGGGGGTTTGATCGTATTGATTTCCGGATCGTTCCTTGGCTAGCATCTTATTCATCTTCTGTAGCCTCCATAGGGCATATATTAAGCCCACAATAAGTAGCACCCCTATTACGGCACCGATACCAATCCCGGCCTTCGCGCCATCGCTAAGATCAGATGAAATAGAGGCTGCCGTGCCGACAGAGGAGGTGTTATCTGATTGAGAAGCCACATCTGTGTTTGTAGGAGCACCGCTTGTGAAATTATCGCTAGTGGCATTAGGCGTGGCTGAATCAGATGTTGACGTTGTTGAGTCTTTTATTGACGTAGAGCTTGTTGAAGAAGTTGTTGATGTTGTCCCCACCACTATAAACTTGGTTGAAGCCGCATTCCAGGTTGCTGATGTAGTCGGATTATGCGGTCCAACAGAAAATCGTCCATCTCCAGAATCACAGCAATTTTCTGCACCATTACAACAATACGACGTGTCATCCCTAGTGACGTTTGCGCAAGATATCAAGTCAGTACCGCCTCGGGATGCACCTTCGTATTCAAAAATCATGTAAGCAAATAATGTCTAAGCTAGATAGAAAGTATCTGAGCAGAAGTTTTATTGACTCACCTAAGCAGTATTTTGCACAGTTTTTTGAGTCCCAGTTCTTATCCGAGCAAGAGCCCCGGATTACGGCTCCGTTAGAACCTTGACATAGACCGTTGGAAAGACAAATGTTACCAATCCCACCACCGCAACAGGCACTGGAATCTGCATCTGGGTTGCAAGGGGAATTATCTTCAGCCTCTTGTTGATTCGGATAATAGCAATGGTCAACAGCAGCAAAGACAGTATAGGCAAAGTGAAAAAGTATAAGCTGTAACCAGAAATACAACTGCCTCGCCATTGTAACTTTTAAGTAGTCTTGATCTACCTAGGAATGACAAACAAAGCAAACAAACAAATGGGAAACAAAACTAGGGATAGGGGTAATAAGTACCTATTTTGCGAAATAGAAGCAATATGTTCCCAGCGCTGTATGCAGGCGGCCGCTTTCAACCCTTGCCTGTCCACGAGCCAAATAATGGCGTGAAGGATGCTAATGTACCCATATCCGAACATATATCCGAATATGTCAGCTCAACTAGTAGCCAGTTGTATTTTTTTTGCCATGCCCAATATATCACAGATCTGAACTACCTCTTCGGTGACAAGAAGGCTCGTACAAAGCAAGGGAGAGAGTATGTTATTGAAAGTCAGGGGTAATTTGTGGGTCCCTAACCATCACTTCGAGAGTTAACTGCAGCTAACAACTCATGACAAGCAACCAACAACTCAACCAATATATGACCTAGACTTACGATACGACGTAACAATCTTCCAATGACAGCCTACCATGGATCAAGGGATAAAACGCCATTGTTCCTTCCCAGTCCCCGCAAATCCCGAGACCTAACCATCCCATATTTCATCCGTACTATAGTGTTACAGAGGAAACCAAGCTTCAAGAGAAAGGCTGGCCGCAGGTTTTTGAGAATATTTGAATTTATTAATATGATCTGCTTCCCGACATATCTTGCCGTGCCCCTCTAATTTCACAAGTGTTACGCAATTTTGAGCCACCTAGAGAATAGCTGTCCAAAGTAGCCTAGATTCCACCCAGTCTCACACTATAGTACAATTCCTATTGTGTACGAAACACCGTCGCATAATCCCTATATAGCTAAGCGTTGTGTGAACCAGCGGTAAAACTTGCCCGAAGTATATACACATAATCATGCAAGCCAGAGTGACTTGTGTACCATGGGAGACATAGAGAGTCATCCCAGCTCCGTAAGACGTTAACCCGGATGGCTTCCGCGCCAGGATGCTATAAACAGATGCTCAACTAGAATACCAGGATCCCCCTCTTCGAGATAATGCTCTTGCGGGAGCCAGCCGAAAGAATCCTTAGGCAGTACCAACACATCTCCAATGAGCTTTGGCTCTCTCAGACTGTCAAGCTCATCTCCTGTATGCTTGATACCTGTAGCATTCGTGAAATAGTCCATTAGAACCTCGGTGAATGCGAAGGGACCCGTTGTCGCCATAACATCCTCGAAGGTTACGGTACCTCCTGGCTTCTTCGATTGAAACAACTTCTCGAGATTCCCCTTGACTCGATCCACTAGTGAAGCAATAGCCGGGTGGTAAGGCTTCGCCAAGATCGTATATTGTGCAAGCTGAACAGAATACGGAGAACCTCGCCAGATGGGCCTTTTGTGGTGGTCATTTTCAATTCCTACAACGAGATTTGCCTTATCCAGGTGGTGCTGAGGAACCCATTCAGAGATAGGACGATGAGGCAAGACATCAATATCAGCCCATACGCCACCCTCTACGAGCATGACACAATACCGCAAGAAGTCGGCCCTTAGTATAGGATCAGTGAAATTAGCAAACAGGTCCGCAATAGCCGAAGGGAGACGGTCTCCAACGAAGGTTTCGCCGTTGGCGTCGGTAATACGTTCATATCGGTGCTGAGGGTTTACGACACGCCATTGATGCGGGAAGCCAACAGTTCGGTCAGTCGGGTCATCGGAATCATCTTTCCAGCTCTGCCAAATCTTCTTGGGGAAACCCAGGGGAAGTGAAGATTGTGACTCGGCTGGCGGCTTTGTATTATCCGGCAATTTCACTATAAATAAGTTAATTTGGTAGCTAAAAGGAAGCCTAGTAAGAAAGAATGAGATGAACTGACAGTTTAGCGGACTAGAGCCTAGAGAATTATACGAAGAACCGAAAGCTAAAAGAAGGCATGAAATAATAGCTGCACCAACGATTATGAAATATTTTCGAGACATTGCTTAATGCGAGGCGCCGAGTTATATTGTCGGGATGACTACATAGTAGGGAGAATAAGAAAAAGTAAAAATACAGAAGACAAGATTTAAACATCCCCGGAACCTTACAGCGCCAACTACAAACCACTGACAGGTGTGGCACGGCTTATATGGAAACTTAAATATAGAGCTAAAGCTTTGTTCTTTCTCTTATAATGTTACAAGGTAACGATGCAGCTTAATTAGGTTGGTTTCATGGAATCTGTTGCTTTATATTATGTAAAACTTGATTATATTTAATATTTTTTATTTGTTTATAAATATAATAGTTTAATAACAATTAAAAAAAATATAAATACAAAATAATTAAAAGTAATATGATTTTTAATTAAATATTTTAAATTAAAGTTTTATTTGTTTTTATATATATTAATTAAACTTTTTATTTTTTTAAAATAAAAAGTTTTTATTAAATATAATTATTTATTATTTATTATATTTAATTTAATTTATTTTATTCTATAATAATGTTTAATTATATTATTATATATAATAAAAAATAATAATGATTAATTTATAATTAATTATTTATTTTATTAAATATTTTAAATTTTTATAAATTAATAATTTTTATAATATATATATTTAAAATTTTAAAAAATTTAATATTTATATTTAATTTTATTAATTTAAAATAAAGTTTATTATTTATATTAAATAAAATAAAAACATTATTATAAAAAATAAATAAAAAATAAATAAAAAATAAATAAAAAATAAATAAAAAATAAATAAAAAATAAATAAAAAATAAATAAAAAATAAAAATAATTAATAAATATTATATAAATAATTAATAAACAAATAAATAAAAAAGATTTATATTATTATATTATTTTAATTTATTAAATAATTTATTAATTTTAAAATAATAAGATAATATAAATTTTATTAATTTATATATTTTTTAAATTTTTATTAATTATTTTATCAATTATTTTATTAATTTTTTATAATTCGTTAAAAACATTTTTTACGCTTAAACTTTTGAAAATTATTATAGAAAACTAATAAATAAATGATAAATAAATGATAAATAATTGATAAATAATTGATAAAAAATCGATAAATAATTTTTTTATAAATGATAAAAAATTAATAAATTGATAAAAAATTGGATATTTTTAATAGATTTTACCGTGTAAGTTTGCAAACACGTGAAAACGTTTGCGTAAGCTTGTAAATGCATACGTTTTCTTAAATTTTAATTTTTTAATTTATTTAATATAAATAAACAAAGTTAAATAAATAATATATAAAATTGTTATATATTTATATTATTTAATAAATTTTAACTATTTTATTTTTTTAAATATATTAAAATTTTATAAATTAAAAACTTTTATATTTAATAATTTTTATATTTAATAATTTTTTATTAAAAAATTTATAAATTATTAATACCATATTTTTATTATTATTAAAATTTTTTATTTTAATTTTATAATTATTAAAATAATTAATATATTTAAACTTTAATTTTTAATTAAATAATTTATAAAAATTAATTATTTTAAATAATTTTAAACTAAAAATTTAAAAACGTTTTAAACATAAATATTTTATTTAACTATATTTTTTTAATTAATTACATTTAAACACATTTTTTAAAAAACATATTTTAATTTTTAATTTAAAACAATTTTAAAATTTTTTAATTAATATAATAATAATTAAATCAATTAAAATATAATAAATAAAATTTTTATATATAAAACAAATATTAATTCGATCATTTAAATAAATAATTAAATAAAATATATACGTTTTAAATTAAAATTAATTATAATGTAAATCATTAATTAATAATTTATATAAATTAATAATTTAAAAATATTTAAATTATTATTTTTTAAATTTAACAATTAATTATTTAAAAAAAATTTAATGTTTAATATTATAAAATATAATAAAAATCTTAAAATAAAACGTATTATATACGTTTATAATATTTTTTTAAAATATTATACGGTAAAATATATAATTATTAATAACGCAAAAATATTATAAAATTTTAACAAAACTTAATGTAATATAAAAAATATATTATTATTTAATATATTTTTTAATTAAATATTTAAACGTTTTTATATTAAAAAATGGTTAATATTTTATTGCGAAAATATAACAAAAGTGTTTTATTAAAAATTAAATTATAAATTTATATATTAATAATTTCAATTTAAAACATATATAAATTATTAAATTAATTATTAATACAACAAAAAAAATATTTTATTTAAAAAATATATATAATTTTAATAAAATTAAATTTATAATTAATTAATTAATTAATTTATAAAGTTAAGTTATATTATTTTTTATTGTTATAATAAATAAAATATATTTTATTTTATAATATTATAATAGTAAATTTATATTTAATTAAATTATTAAACTATTTAAATTATACATAAAATTAATTTAAAATAATTAATTTAAAATAATTAATTTAAAATAATTAATACATTTTAAAAAATATATAAAAAAATATATAAAAAACGTTAAATATTTTTTAATATTAAATAATTATAAAAATTATATATTAATAAAACTTTGTAAATATTACTATAATAATAATATTATAACTTTTTATATATTTATTTATTTATTTTATAAATGTTAAAATTTAAATATAAACATTCTTTTAATTTTAAAACGTTTATATAAATAAATTATTAAAGATTTAATATAATAAAATTTAATTTATATCATAATCTTTTTTTCTTAATTTTATAATAAGTTTACAATATTATTTTTATTAAAAAAATATATAAATTAATTTTACAGTTATTAAATTAAGTTTTTTAATTTTTAATTAGGTTATTTATAATTTAATATTATTAAAATTACACCTTTTTTTATTTTAATTGTTAAGTTACTTAACTTATTTTAAATATTTTAAATATTAATAAATATTAATAAAACTATATTATAATTAATTTTTATATATAATAAAATTTTTATTTATTAATTTAATTTATTAACTAAAAATTTAAAAATTATTAATAAATTAAATAAAATTACATATAAATTATTATATAAAAAAGTTTTATTAAAAAAACTTTAAATTTTTAAAAAATAAACTATGTATTTTTTAAAAGTTAATAAATAAAAAATAAATAATTATAAAAAAAAAATCTTTTACTTGAAAAAAAAAACCGGTTATAAACCTAAAAAGAATATCAACATTTAAAATAATATCACAATTATTATAAATAATTTTATAATAAAACAATAATAAAACTAATAACGTTATAATATTTATAATAATATAAATTATAACGTATAAATTTATTTAATTAATTTTTAATTAATATTAAACGTTATTATTATATAATAAATGATTTAATTAAAAACATATAAAATTATACGCCGTTAATTAATGATTTATGTTATATATAAACTTTAAATTAAAATTACATTTTTAATTTTTTCATAATAATTATATATAACTTTATTATTTTTAATTAATATATATAACTAAATAAAAATATTATAATGAAATATATAAATTTTATATTATAATTAAGTAAATTAAATAAATATTTAATAATATATAATAACTTTATATATTATTTATTCAATTTTTTATCATTATTTATTTAACTTTATTTTTTAATAAATAATATAATAATATATAATTTAAAATAAAAATTTTAAAATAAATATTATTAAAAAAAATTTTTAAAATAAATATTAATTTAATTTTATTTTATTATAAAATATAATTAATTTTTAAAATATTATTTTATAAAATAAATATAAAATATTATATTATTATATTAAAACGTTTTTAAAAAACAACTTTAACTAAACAATTAAAGGTATATTAAATGGGTAATATATTAAATTGTTATGTATTATTAAGTAACGTAAATCACTAGTCAACGGCCCACATAAGTTAACGGCCCAACCAAAATATAACTAAAAATCAACATTTTTAAAAATCTATAACTTTACCAACTCTTGGTCAAACTTTCCCAAATTTTAATATATATTATATAACTCTAAAACTAATATATAAAAAAATTGAAAAAAATACTATTACATTATAATATAAATTATAAAATTATTGGACATTTTTAAACTTACTTTTATATTTTTCATTTTTAATTAAATAAAAAAAATAGTATAAAAATAAAGAAAAATGTTATTATTATTAAGATTTAAATATATACCTAAATTTAAAATCCGAATTTTAATAGGATTTTTTTTAAGTAAAGTGCACGGTTACGCACAGACATATTTTGTATGTATTTTCGTTGGGCCGTTAACTTGTATGGGCCGTTGACTAGTGATTTACGTTATTTGTTTTACCATACAAAGTTACTATTATATATTTATATTGTTAAAATAGTTTTAACTATTTATATTTTTTAAAATATAAGCTTTTTTATTGGTTTAAAATTTTACATTATTTGTTTAATAATATTTTTATTTTAATATTATATTTATGTAATATTTTATTTAATTTAATTTAATTTAATTAATTTAATAATAATATAAAGTTTACATAATAATTTTATTTAATTGTATACATTTGTTAAATATTATTATTTAATTACATACGTTTATTTCGATAAAAAAAGGTTAAAATAAAGTTTTAAATGATAAATGATTTTTAATATAATATGACATTAATTAAGAAAAATTAACTAAAAAACTAATGAAAAAACAATGGTTAATAAGGTTGGCCAATTAAAAACGTGTATTTTAAACAAATTAAATAAATTAAAAAGTTTTATTAAATTCAACGGGATTATTATAAAAAAGATATATGCGATAAAATAAGTTTATATAAAAATATATGTAATATTTATACGATATTTACCAACCCCGTTATTATGTAATTATATTTAATATATTGCCCATTTAATACGTTTTTTACTACCCGATTAATGTTGTTTTTTTAAAAATAATAAATATTTTATAAAAATTTATTATTATTATTTTATTAAA